TAAAAAAGATTTATCTAATAAATATTTTGAGTCAAAATTCTGTTTAAAAATAATTTAATTAATTATTTTTTTAATTTAAAAATTTACCCAATCTTTTATAATTAATTCAAATTGTTTAACTATATTTTCGTTCATTTTGTTTTCATTATTTTTGTAAAATAAAATATTAAAAAACTAAAAATAATTTTTAAATTAAATTTAAATTTAAGAAAAAACCTCCTCAACTATTAAATTATCATAATCTTCTTTTTTATTTTCTTTTATCAAAGTGGATGAGGAGGAGGAGGAGGAGGAAGATGTGGTAGAGGGGGTCTGATAGGCTGGGGTAGAAGGGGAGGGGGGTGTTATTATATTAGTTGTTGCTGCTGTTGATGATGAAGAGGAAGAGGAAGAAGTTGAAGAATTATCTATATATTTTTTAAATATTTATTTTTAATTTTAAATTCAACAACAAAAAACCTTTAAATATTTTATTTTCTATTTTTTGATTTTTCTTTTTATTTTTCTAAAAATTAAATTTAAAAAATATTTTTTATTAAAAAAAACTTTTTTGTTATTTTTCTTTGATTCAGAAATATTTAAATTAATTTGTTTTGGAATGTCTCCATCAAGATATTTAAATAAACCTTCATTCTCATTTTCATTTAAATCTTTAAAAAATAATTATTTTTTTAATTTAAATTTCAAAAAAATACAAACTTTTTAATATTCCTTTATTTAATAATTTTTCAATTAAATTTTTATGCTTTATTTTTAATTCAAAATTATTTTCCCCTCCTTCCTCCTCCTCTTCCTCATTAATTTCTTTAATTTTTTTAAATTCTTCCCCAATTATTTTTATATTTTCTTTTAATTTAAACAAAATTTTTAAATAAAAATTTCCATATTTTTTAATAAAATTAAATTCAGAAATTTCAATTAAATCTAAAAATAACAAAAAAATTATTTTTAATTTTTTCCATTCTTTCTCCTCTTCTTCAAAAAAATAATTATTATTTTCATAAATATTTAATAAAATATCTGCCGTCATTTCTGTTTTTAATTTTTCAATTTTTGTTTTAGCTTTAAATAAATCTAAATAATTATAGGCAATAAATGAAAGTAATTCTTCTTCTGTTGGCTCTTTAAAATAAATAAATTTAATTAAAAATTATTTGGGATTTTTATTAATTTTCGAAAATTTGGGAATCTATTTATATTTTTATATCGACATAACTCTTATATATTTATTTAAAAACTAAAAAAAAAGATTTGATGGACATCCACACATAAATATATCCACAGCTTCCCCCCCCCCCTCCCCCATTATTTCAAATAAAATTCCAAACTCCCTACATACCTATACTAATTATTTCACTCAAATCCCCATTTTCTTCTTCAAAAATAATTTCATAAATATCCATTTTCCTTTCAAATATTTCAAGAATTCTAGCTTTAGCCCCCCTCGTCGTGTCAAGAAATTCTTTAAATTTTTTATTATTTTTAGCAATTTCAATTATTTTATTTCCCAATTCTAATTTTAATTTTTCTTCAATTTTAATCATTACTTCCTCCCCCTCCCCCTCCTTCTCCCTTTCTTTAATTAATTCTTTATATTTATTTATTAATATTTCAAAAATTAATTTATATATTTTAATTATTTCTTTTATTTCTTTATCTTCATTTAATAAATCTTTTGCTGCAGTAAAAATATTTAAATTCCAAAATTCACTAAATATATCTTCATATTCCAACTTTATTTCAATAAATTTTTCATAAATTAAATAAATATATTTAACTATATTTGATATATTAATTCTATGAATAATTAAATTAGCCATTTCCCAATTATTTGGATTTGACAATAATCTTTTAAATAATTTTATATATTCCTCTTCTTCTATTGTATCTAGTTTAAATAAATTTACATTTAAATTTTAGTTTTTATTTTTAAAAAAAAGTATGATATTTTATTTTATTTTGGAATTAACAAAATTTCTATTTATTTTTGGAATTTTAAATATCCAAAACTAATTCCTAAATTTTTCTTATCAGCCCCCTCCCCTTCCAACAGGACTGCGCGCCAAAATTTTCGCGTGGCGCGCCAAACGCCAATTTTTCAAATTCTTAAAACGTGCAAACGTTATCCCCATTTATTTAAAAAATTTCCATCATTAGTGGGTGTAAAAATAATGGCGTTTTGGCGCAAAAAAGATTAAACACGCCAAAACTCCATGGCGAATAGCCCTGCCTCCCCCTCCCTCTTCCCCCTTTTCTATATCCAAACTTCAATCCCTCTTCCCAATTACTTGGACTTAATCCTGTAAAATTTTTTTCTAAAAAATAATTTCTTTTCTTTATTTTTACCAATTTCAAATATAACAGGAAATGCCATTTCTATTTTATTAAACATATTTTCCCCCAAAATATTTCTCATTTTATTTTTAACATTAATTAAATTTTTATCATTATTGTGATGCAATCCAGTTATTTCAATAAGTAAATTAACTTCACTTTCTTCCCCAACTATTTTTATTTTAAAACTTCTTTCAAAACAATTCCTAATTTGTAAATAATGCATTAAATCTAATTCTTTTAATCTTTTTATTCCATTTAAATTTTCTTCTTCAGTTATTTTTTCTTCAATTAATTCTTTTCCAAATAATTTTTTAAAATTAATATTTTTTATTTCAATTCTTATGGAAATATTTTCAAAATAAATAAATAAATTATATAATTTTAACAAATCTTCCCAAAAAATATTTTTTAAATTTTTTTCTAATTTTTTAATTAAATTTTTATATTCATTTAAATAAATAAATAAATTTTCTGTAACTTGTTTTCCTTTTTTCTTTTCTAATTCTTTTGCAGAAATTTTAAATAATTTTCGAATTGAAGGATTATTTAAAATATTTAAATTTAAAAGAAAAACACTCGTTTTTAAATAAATTTCTTTTTGTTCTTCTTCACTAATTGAAGTAAATAATTGTTTATAATAAAGAGGGCCTAAATCGTTTACTCTCATTCCTAAAAATTTAAAAAATATATTTAGAGAACTTCATATTATTCTGACCTAAAGTTATCCCCAGTAACAATTAAAAGGATTTTATCAAAACAATAACTCCCCACTACCCGTTCCTCAAAAATCTTATTTAAATTAAATATTTATTTTCCAAACTTTCCCAAAATTTTACTTCACCTAACCACCCGATATTTTTAATTTAGTCCCCAATTTTGGTCTAAAAATAATATTATGTGCTACCAAATACAACAGTCTCAACCAAAACATCTAAAGTTTCCATTGCTAATAATTCGTTTAAATAATTAAAATAAATAAATAAAATAAAAATAATATTCATTTTTTGGGGAAATATCTAACAAAAAAATATTTTTATTTAAAAATTTTAATAATTATTTTCATTTAATTTTCAAAATTTTAGAATGAGAAAAAACGTAAAATGCGAGGGGATAATGTGACAATACCCAAAATTTATTTAAATTAAATTTTTCTATAAATAGGTATATGCATTTGTGTAATTAAGAAATATTAATTAACAAAAAATTTTAAATAAATTTTTTAAAAAGGAAAAGGGAATGTCCTTTTTGCCAAAAGCGGCAACTTTTATAATAACTTACTCCCCTCAATAAATCGAATATTACAGGAAACCACGTAAATGCACTATTGTAATAGACAACCCAAAAAATCAACAAAATATTTAAATATCCGATAAAATTTAAAAATAAACTCGTAGTTGCTTATTAGCTCCATCTGCAGAACAGAAAGCGTAACACGGAAAGCGAACAATTTAAAAAGCACAAAAATAATTTGAAATTAAGGAGGATATCAGAGCTTTGGAGACTGTTTATCTTTTTTAATGTTATCTTTTGGGTAATCAGGCAAGTCTTTTTAAGCAATGGTAGGTGGCACGCAACAAGACGGTTAACATCCGGAATTATAAAAAAGTGCATTTAAAAATTTCATAATTAAAAATATTTTTATTTTATTTTTAATTTTAAATAGGGAGAAATAATTTCTCAATAAATTTTACTTTTAAAAATTCCTGTCATTTTTACTATTCAAAAACAAATATATTTATTCAGTTATTCGTTAAAAAATATATAAAACTAATAAACATGTTTAGATTTCCTAAGAAGCAACAACTTGAGCTTAAAATAATTTAAAAAACAATAAAAACGAAATTAAAAAAAATTTTGGATGTTAATCATCCATAAAAATAAATTAAAGATATATGTTCATAGCAAAGAATTTATTTAACAAGTATTTAGACTAAAATTTATTTGGCCCTTTCTGAAATATTATTTTAGTCCCCTCTTTATTAAACAAAAAAAGGCTTCTTATATTATATTAATAAATAGAGAGAGAATTATATAAAAATTCAACAATATTTTTAAGAATATTTAAAAAAGTATTGGCAATGAGATTTATATATTTTAAAAAAATTTAGGAAGTTCCCTGAAAATTTTTCAAAGACAAAAATAAATAGAGTATATTTAGTAGAAATATTTAATTTAATTTTTAGTGTATATTTACACTAATTTAAAAATTGTTTAATAAATATATATGTAGTTATTCTATATTGCGACGAACATATTCCCCCACACCTCAACAAAAAAACTCACATTGTGTCACTAAATATAAAAATTATTTAGAAAAGTTTAGGTTTATGAAATGGGAATAATCAGTGACTGCCCAACAAAATCGGAATAAAAAATTTAAAAACAATGAAAAATAAATTTCCAAAAATTTTAAATATTTCTTTGTTTATATGAATGGGTGTTAATCCACGATAATGTCATCCCCCCACAGAAGGTAAAGTCAATGTAAATAACAAATTTATATTTTAGCTACTAACCAATTTTGCGGCCAAACATAAATGATTAAGTCTTGTTATTTTTAATTTTTGGTTCCCAAGGGCGAATTCAACGATAAAAAAATTCGAATTCGACACACAGAACCAATAAATATTTTTTAAATCCAAAAAACCAACATTATTTTATTGTTAATTCAAACATCTCGACGTTTCTTCTTTCCGTCCAATTGACATTCGGAGAATTGAATGTTCAAGGCCTGTGGTTGTTGCTGAACATCGTTGTTGGATATTGTCAATTTTTGTGGTTGTCCCTTCTCCATCAGAAATTCCACCAATTTTTGCAAATTTGCTTGATGGCTCGTTGATGGATGCTGACTCAAAAAGAAAATAAAAATTGAGAAAAAGAAAACAAATAACAAAAATTAAAACAAAAAAAATTAAAATTAAATTATACAAAAAATACTTTTATTTGAGTTTTGCCACATCCAGCACTTGGAGAACGATCTGCACCATAATTATCGTCCAAACATCGCTCATCAATGTCACTCGCAATTGATTCTCCTTCCAAAATATCATCATCATCGTCAATAGCACCATCATCACTTGAATTGTTGTTCTCTTTTGGTTTATTTTCGCTTTTATTTGATACAAGATCTGAAATTTATTTTAAATTTATAGGTAACAACAGTCGATACTAGTATAGTAATAATTCATTAAATTAAAGCTCTTCAGGCCCGTAACCAGGATTCTTTTCGGGAGAAGGGCCAAGGTGAAAAAATTTTTCTGCAGCAAATACTTAATTTGTTTATATTAATACGCGATAAATGTTATTGCTAGTAACATCGCGCCAAAAATCCCCCTTGGTTACGGGCCTGGAACTCTAAATTTAATTAATGTTAAACAAATCCAAACCCATCGAAGCAGGATTGCTAGTAACATCAGTAGACTTTTTAGGAGGAGGACTGCAATCCCCCTCCACCAATTCAAACGGAAAATCAAAGTCTAAACAATCATCCTCCCAACTGTAATTGCCCGAATCATTCGAATTCTTTTGTTGTTTTAATGGTGATTTATCTTCAGTTTTGGGTTTCTTTTCTTCATTAGATTGTTTCGACACTTTGTTAATTTTAGTAATATCCTTATTTGTAGTTGATTTGACTGAAGATTTGGTCATTATTATTTTTGGATGGCTTTTGATTGGTCGAACTTTGACTTTTTGTTTGATCAATATCTTCTTATCATCATCTTGATCACTGCATAAATCCATCGGCTCTTCACCAAGTTCACCGTCTTCCATACAATTCTCTTCATCTGGGATCTCCCCATCCTCCAAGTCCTCAAAATAAATTTTAGATTAATTTTTAAATAATTCCGTCTTACCTCAAATCCCATTTTCATAGGCAAAACAGCAGCAGATGGTTTTTTCGGGCGAACAACAGAATTTCGTCTTTTAGAAGCAAGAGGAATAAAGCAACCACCAGGCTCGCCAACAATTTTGTTAGAAGCTTCCTTATCATATTTTGCACGAAGTCGGTCTAGACGCTCAGAGATAATTTGGTTTTGGTCGAATTTCTTTTTGTCCACCCCACCAATTTTATTTCCATTAATTAAAAAACGTTTTGTTGAAATAATGCCAGCGGTTTTTACACGTGGAGTAATTTTACTAATTTTCTTGTCCGGCGAATCAAAAGTGAGGATATGAGTTCTTCCTGTTGTTTTTGATTGCCAAATTGAGAATTTAATCAACTAAAATTAATTAAAATAATTTAGTCTCTATGTACTATTTTAGATTAAAAATAAACATCCAATATAAGCAAATATTTAATTAAAGAGAATGTTTTGAAATCAAATACTTTTGTAGTAACCTCTTTAAAATAATATCCCAATTTTCCTAAGAGAATACCACAAAAGTATTAAAAATATGATAACATTGAAAATTGGAGTGGAAAATAAAATAATTGAATATATTAAAATGTATTGAAAATAAGCAACAAAATATCATTTGTTTCTCTCAATTTTTAAATTCTCACTCACGCACGCTGGTTGTTTCCCTAGGGAGAGAGAGGAAAATTTATTAAATAAAAATTTGAAATAAAAAATCCAAATTTGAAGAACAGGGAAATAAACAACAAAAATTAACGTTGAATTAAAGTAAAATTGAATTTAAATCCTCTCTCTCTCCAGTAACAATAAAGCGCAAAACTGTTAAGAAACAAATGATTTTGTTATCAAATAAAATATAACTTATTTTAACATAATTTTATGCTATAATAAAAATACTCTTTTCAACGAAAAACTACCCTGCAATAAAGTACTAGATAAACTTTACTGCAATCCGAAAACCCTGTTCTTCAAATTTGACTATTTAATTAAAAAATATCCTACTTTGCGTAATGCTCCACTGCTACTTGGAAATGGACCAACACTTTCATCACTAGATGGGCTGTTGTGACGATTTACACGTGGTTGTTCAGTACCAACACCCTGTCCTCCCCCAATCTTTGTTCCAATGTTTGCATCAGTCGGTTTCGGACCCCGATTAAATGGCTTATTATATGGCTTTGAACGTAAAGCTCGTTCGCACTTCCCGCGCGCCCAGTTCGTATCAAAAGGCTAAAAAAATACAATGCAAAAACCTATTTACAAAATTATCTATTTACCTGTCCATTGCAGTCAAGAAGATCAATGTCAGTATCTCGGTGGATTAATTCAAAGAAATGTCGACGGCCAACCTAAATGAAAATTTATTAATTAACATTTAACAAATTCAAAATTTTCATACAATCCCAACATGCTGCACACCAACATCACCCAGATATGGAATCCGGCGCTCAATTGCAGCACGCATAAATGCATCACTTCCATCAAAAGTAGTAAATTCAATAACAATACAACCAATTCGTCTGCGAGCCCATGCTTCGAACGTTTCAATAAATTTAACCTAACAAATTTAAAAAAAATTTAAAAATATTTAGCCACAAACCATTCCATACTGAGCGTTGATACGACTTTTAAGTTCTTTGCCTGTAAGAGATGATGGAACATTGGTAACATAAACCTGAATATTAGAAAAATTTAAAATTCCTTAATTCAACTATGTAAATCCTTATACTAAAACATAATTCACATGAATAGAAAGAACTTGTGAAAACAGAAGAGAGTTTTTAAAAAATAATTACCAAAAAATCACTTCGAACATCCAAATATGGTAATTGACGACGCTGCATAACCTCAAGTAGATCAGATAAAATGTTCTAAAACTAAATTTAAAAAATAATTAAGAAATAAAAGTAAAAAGTTGCAAAGCAACAAGTACAGAAATAAAAATGGGAGATTGGACTAAATTTTATAAAAAAATTAAAAAAACAGGAAAATATTCTTTTAATTATTTGCTGCTCTTAAAATCGTCTCATTTTCATCAATAGAATTTGTAAGAGGTCGCCTTTCCTCTTTTACTGGAGAATCTTCTTTAATTGGTTCACAAGGTTCTGCATTGTTCGATTCATAATAAAGAACAGTGAGAAGATATTCAGAATATTCTCGGTTTTGTTTGCGAGATGGGCAACTTAACGAAAAATTTTAATTCTGAAAAATTCTTGTTAAAACGAACCGATCAGAAACAACAATAAATACATCAGTATCTTTATTGTATCGATCACCAACGAGTTGTCGGAATTTTAGATGTGCAGGTTTGTCCAACTCAAGAACATCAAGCCGAATGCCCATCGTGACTTGACGTGCGCGCATATCTCGAATGTTTGTTCCTTGGTGGATGTAATCGCTGTAGCGAAATTCTAACGGAAAGTATTTTTGTTGACATTCAACGTCTTTTAACTCGTCAGGAAACTTGGTACAAAATTCTGAAAAGAGGAATAATTAAAATTCCAAAACACGGGTAGAAAAATAGCACCAAAAACTAAAACCCACAATATAAACTGATTTTGTAAACCTATACAAAAAGGTAAATAAGAAAATTGAAGAGTTATGCCAAAATAAGAGATCGCAGACATTGATTGGGTTTAGGCAAATGTTTTCTGGTTTATTGGGCGGAGCTATCTTGCACATACTGCGCCTCTCATATTGATTAATTTTAGAACAAGGGTCAAAATAAAATAAAAATGAAGGAATACTAAAAGATAAAAACAACAAAAAAGATACTTGGGTAAAGTCGGTGGGGTACTATTGAGTACCGCCGATTGAGTACCGCCGTTTGAGTACCGCCGGTTGAGTACCGCCGTTTGAGTCCCTGGCCAGTTGAGTCCCGGCCGGTTGAGTCCCGCTGGTTAAATTTCCCTGTCTTTGGAACAACATTCCCTGACTTTGGAACAACTTTCCTTGACTTTGGAACAACTTTTATCGCCTTTAGAACAATTTCCCCCGTTCTTGGAACAACATCCCCTGGTGTCGGAACAACAATCCCAGTTGTCAGAACAACTTTCTTAATAGTTGTAACAACTTTCTCAATACTAGGTCGGTTCATAAAAAAGTTCGTTTTTTCCAAAAATTTATTTTCAAAGAAAAATCGATAAATCTCAAGCAAACTAAAACAGATAAAAAATCTAACTTTACTAAATAATTGTCCCGAGTCTTAACAACATTCTTAAACCAGAGAAAAGTTCGTGGATACCTCTTTTTAAAAAATCTGACCCCATTTCTGAAGCACTGTGTTCCCCACCACAGTCTCGACATTGGCGTCTTCAGTCAAGTGCCCGTCCCGTAAAAAATTTTTTGAAGAAGTGAAATGATGTTAATCTGATAGAGCAGACTCAGGGCTACAAGGGGGGTGGGGTAACACTTTCCAACAAAGTTTATTTGGGGCATGGCAGGTCATCAAAAATGAGTGGTGTAAAGGGGCGTTATTTTAATGGAAAACCAGAGGTCTAGTAAACAGTCCCTGGCGACGTTGAATGTAACAAACGAAATCTTCCTGTGTGAGTTAGTTAATATGCATGTTGGAGTTTGTAGTGGTACCAATTTGAAGTACCTCCGTCATCAACGGACCGAGCACCATCCAAAAGAATACACAACATACGTTTTTTGGGTGGTTGGTTGGGCGGGGGACCAAAAGAGGGTCTTAATATTTTTTCCTCCAAATAATTTTTTGTATATTATTATCGTAATTGGCATATGTTTAAACTTAGGTAACAATCCGGTTCCATCAACAACCCTTTCGATAGTTATCCAGGCTTAAAAGGCTAAAAAAAAGTCCTTGTTATTTTTGTCTCTCAGTCGGTTGGTGCATTACTCCTTTTGTCCTCCTCGGCTCAAAATCCGTTTTTTCGGACAATTGCCATATTGTACTTATAGAGCAATGTCCCCTCTACAATTCTAATAAAAAAATATCCGGATATCTTTCTAACCGGCGAGCAAGGACGCATTTGTTTACAGTCGGTCATCTTCACGACCCGTGTTTGTGTTTGGTCCTATTGTTCCCAGATCGAATTTTTTTGAAAGATTTTTGAGCTACACTAGGTTAGACAAGATCCCTGCCTATCATTTCATTGATTTTTCTTGATGCCAATATTGCATTATTACTTAGTTTTAATGGGATGTGTAACTGCCCCTAAATATTCCCCTTACCCACTCTCACTTCTGAAGGCATAAAATTTTTTTGATCCTTGATATTTTTAAAATTTTGGTATCATTATAAAGCTAAGACTCTGGGCTACAAAATAAGATAAAAATAAAATCGGATAAAAGTAGTTATCACCCAAAAAACTTGCGATAACAAAAAACGAACTTTTTTATGAACCGACCTAGTAGTTGGAACAACCAGCATCAACATTGGAACAACTTCCCCGTTGTTGGAACAACTTTGCATAATGTTGTTCCAACCTTTCCCATAGTTGGAACAACTTTCCCCGTAGTTGGAAAGTTATTCACATATAACCAGCGGGACTCAACCGGCCGGGACTCAACTGGGCAGGGACTCAACCGGCGGTACTCAAACGGCGGTACTCAATCGGCGGTACTCAATAGTCTCGTTCCCGGTAGAGCTAGGAATTTTGAAAAAACCGGGACCGGGTCCGGGAAACGGGTTCTGAAAAATGGACCGGGCGGGTTCCGGGTCCGGGAAACCGGGAAAACCCGTTCCCGGTTTCAACCCGGTCTAGAAATGGGCGGGTCCCGGCCGGGAAACCGGGAAATTTTTAATTTGTTGAAATGATGGTCTATTTTCCACATAGGGCTGTATTTTTCAACTATCCTCCTATACTTATTCTAAATAACCTCTATTAATGTAAGTAAATGTCATTCACGATTATTTAACTAAAGATCAAATTCCCTTGTCTGAAACATAAGTTCGTCGGCAACTGGGGATTAATGGAAAATTCAAAGACATACTACATATGTTTAATTTCTTTCTATAGCCCTTATATGGTGGCCGAGAGGTTGTTATGTTAGTTCCTTCAGAATGTTAGTTCCCCTTAATTCCTTCAGAATCCTTAGATATCCCTTTTGATTCTTTTTAATCATATTAAATTAAAAATTCTTTGCGCCGTAGGCGAAAATTTACAGAATTTTGTAAGGCCTTAGGAGAAAAAAATTCAATTGTCAGAGCTGCCGGCGAAAAAATTTTTCGAAGTTTAGATGGTAATGAAGCCAGAACTCTTAAATCTTCTGCGCCACAGGCGAAAATTTTGGAAAATTCATGAAATAATTAAAATTTCTTATATTTTTTCAAGTTTGAAACATCAAAAAAAGTTTGCAAATTTAAAATCAAAATCAAAGTTTAAAATTATTTATCTTTGAAAAGAAAATTTTCTCAGCCACATTTCCATACATGGACTCGAACCCCATCCCTATCAAAATAACTAGATGAGTGAAGTAAGTAAACTTAACCACTCAACTATCGACCGACAAATGCAAAATGGAGAAATTATAAATATTCCTTTGCTTTTTCCTTCAAAAATTTAATATCAAAGTACGCAAATACACTAAATATTTTTCCCGGTTTCCCAGTGAAAAAAAAAGCCGGGACCGGGTCCGGGAAACGGGTTCTGAAAAATGGACCGGGCGGGTTCCGGGTCCGGGAAACCGGGAAAACCCGTTCCCGGTTTCAACCCGGTTGCTTCAAAAAAACCGGGAAAAAGGACCCGGAAACCGGGAAACGGGTCCGGGTCCCGGACCCGTTCCTAGCTCTAGTTCCCGGGTAAAGTAGGTGTGCCCATAAAATACCCGGTGGGGTATCTTTCCGCGCCGACGTTTCCGCGCCAGGTCAGTTCCGCGCCAGCTATACAAAATATGTGATACTTTGATTTTTAAATTTTTTTGATTCTAAAAAGCCATTATCTTTTTAGGTAGGTAATCATACATGTATAGAAAGTGGACCGGCTCGTGTTCAGGTTATTATTTACTTATTTTAAAACTGGCGCGGAACCTCTATAACTGGCGCGGAAACTGACCTGGCGCGGAACTGACCTGGCGCGGAAACGTCGGCGCGGAATCGTCCCTAACCGTAAAATACCAATATTAAATTCTAACCCTTTTTGTAAAAAAAATTCAAAACTTAATTTTGATAGCATTACAATGCTTTTGTATATGATGCGGTGTCAAATGTAAAAAGTTTGGTACTTTCATTAGCTCCAAATTTGCATAAGCTGCACGTGAAAGTTTCACCTTAGCCTCTTTATTGGTAAGGTAACCCATCCGTATTGGAAGAGGCACAACCGAGGAGCGGAAACTTTGTGCAGCAGGCCAGACACTCATCCAATCTTGATCAGAAGATTGCTCCAAAGCGCGAGGTTGCCTTACCTAATAGTATATAAAAAGTGTAGAAGTTAATTCAAAAATTTAAGTAAATACCATCAACGCCTTAAAATTTGTATAGAATTTAAAAATTACCGAAATCCTCGCTGAACTCGAGTTTGCAAACTTTTTTCCTTCGCTTCTATCAAACAGTGTGTCCAACGTTTTTTGCATAAAAGTTTTGCGTCCTTTCGGATAAAGAAAGAGTTCGTTGAATTTCTTCACTCCTCCCGTTGCCATAATCTGATTTTCAAGTTACAATTTAAAAAATATAAAAAAATTATACTGGCAAATATTGAGTTATTGTCAAAACATTTACAAAATAAATATAAATTGTACTTTATGGATAGTAGATATCACAGAGGTAAAAGTTGTAAAGATGTGTCAATTATGTATAGTACTTTACTCTATTCAGTTAGAGCATAAAATTTGTATAATGTCCGGACGATGTTTTGGTCGGACAGTTTCTTCCACCCACCCATACTATAATACTTAAAAACCGTTCACTAAAAATACACCAATATCGTGTCTTTAAAAGATAATTATTTTTTCGTGCATATTTATGGGAAAAACAACTTTTAATGCTTAAAACTGAATGGAGAAAGAGAATAAGAATTACATAAAATTAAATTAAAAAATATGATTAATATTTTGAACCTTTTAAAATTGCACAATATACATAATTAAGCATAAGCACCAATTTCGAATACATATGTATTAGTATTATTTAATATTATAATTTAATTAAAGAAAATCATATAAAGGAAGGTCCCAACTTTTGAAGAAACTGCCGCGCTGTTTGTTTTGCACCATTTAGCATAGAAGCAGTGGAGGAATTTACGGTTGCCTTTGCCGTTCTTTTGCCAAGTGTGTGTCCATCATTATTTGCTGCATCCTCCACAACCTTTAAATAAAGATAAGAATCAATAGACCAAAGATTTTCGTTTATTTTTGTTTTGTTAATGTTCATTTTTCCCTTTTACTATTTTTCTTTACCTCAAATCCTTCTCCATCAGTTTCATTATCAAAACTTGTAATATTTAAATGATCCATTTTTACGAGATTCTCTAAAGCAAAAGGATTATGCGGTAAGATTATTTTGGCTTCATTTTGTAATAAATGAGAATTAGAATGTTGTTGAGCTTCTGTAGAAGTGATTGTTGAACACGCAGAAATACTTCTAGATTGCTCGCTTAAAAGAAAAATTATCCAAAAAATTCATCTAAATCGAACCTTTGCTGTTGTTGTAATGCTTGCAATCTCGCAACAAGACGTTTCTCATCTTGTTTCCAAGAATTTAGAGTTTGAAGCGTTCGATCGAATTGAGACCAATTCCTTTGCCAACGTAGATAAATTCGTTCCCAGAGAATCTTTTTTTAAATTTTATTTGAGTAAGAAATCGAATAAAATACAATGCTTTGTGGAGCGACTGAAGGCCAAGTTGGTTGATCATAGGGCCGATAAAGGTAATTGAGAAAGGCAGGAAGCACAGCAGGATGATTCACATATGACCATAAAGAAACTGTGTGTGTCTGAAAACAAAGTTTTTTAATGAATAACGTGAAAATACAATAGTTAACCTTAACACTAAAATTTTTCTTCTCCTGTTCATTATTTCCCTAGAAAAAATAAATAAATAAAAATCATTCAATAAATAAATAAAAATCATTCACTTACCAAAAAAGTTCCAAACTCTGATGCATAAGCATGCTCAAATAAAAAAATTAAAAATTGTTCATTAAATTCAAAACAAGAAGGATATTGTCGCATTAGCTGAAAATTAGTAAAATTAATAAATTATATTTTCTTTATTCCACATTTTAAACCTGTCATTATTTCCTTTTGCGATTTAGAAAAAAAACTCACTTGCCAAACACAATCCAAAAAGGATAGAAAAACCGGTGATTCATGTGGTCCTGTAAGTGTGCCAGTTGCAAATGATGAATGAGCACAACGAATACTAAACGGATGACCAGCGCCCGTCCATTCATCTTCAATTAATGATTGAAAACCACGAATCTAAGGATATAGAGTAAAATAAAAGTTTAATTTAAAAAACCGTTCTAGCATCTAGATCTAATATAAGCCGTGCAAGTGAAGTGACTAAAAGAGTTGAATCTGTTCCATCTCCTCCATGCACGAGCACAGGAACTTCTGAAACTGAATTAAAATATATTAGCTAATAATCATATGTTTCTAGCAAAAATCAAAACCAGTACCTTCATCCATACAATGTACAATTTGTGCAACCGTTGCTGCTCCAGTCAAAGTATCTGTAATATATTGTAGCCATCCACAGTTTGCAAGCCGTGAAAGGAAGGAGACTGGGTTTTCAATACATGCTAAAAAATATTTTCATTTTAGTTCTAAATTTTTAATAATTATATGTATATCCCCGTTTATTTCATGCTTGTCCTTATTTTTATGCGTCGGCCCAATATTTCCCCTATATTTGTATTTTAAATTTAAATGTTTTCGGACCAAGTTTATATTCTTATTGGGGAATGGGTAAAAACTGGTAACCCGCTAATCATATAAGGTACCTTCAATTAAACGTGTTAATGATTCATGCAAATCTTTTATCCTTGGCACATTTCCATTAACATATTTCCATTTCGAATAATACATTTGACTTTCACAACCGCCACCTGATTTAATATTAATTCAAATTAAAATATAGTAGATTATACCTCTTCCTCGACTTGTCTGTGCAGTTAGTTTTGACCTTGTATCATAAATTAATCCTTGGGAAAATTTTGAAAGCATTGAATTTAAAATGACTTCATCCTCTTTACATCGCCTGCTTGTTGGTCCGATTAATGGCTGGCCGCATCGATAAATTGTGGACTAAAACCATAATGTTAAAATCGGAAAACAAGAATGTTAATTTAGAATATTAATCTAATTCTGGTTCCCGACCAGAAATTTTGCGGCCCCGAAAGATTCGAAACGAAATTTGCATTGACACTAAAGGAAAAACTAAAGAAATTAAAATATGCCGGTCCGTAAAATTTGGGTTTACAAATTTGAATACGAAAAGTTCGACATGTTTAAAAATTTATTAAAAATGTAAAAATAACTTTGGTCCTCTGATGATAATAACTTAAAACTGGAAAACGTCCACCACTCCGAAATGTAGCAGATATTCGAAGATAGTCATCGCCAATTCCTTTTGGGACAATAACTTGCTCGGGATAGGAAGAACAAGTCTTAAAACTTTAAACAATATTTGAAAGAAAATTTTCTGCACCTCAAAATCTTTGTTGACAGAGCTGATTCGGAAGCGTTCCCCAGTCAACAATTGTAGTTTAGAAAATTTGTCTTCTATGACATATGCTCTCCAACCATCGTCAAGAATAGTAAAAGGACACCGATAATAAAAAGGATAATCATGTTTAATACCACCTAAATTCAGGAAATTTAAATTTGTAATGTAAATGGATCTAATTTACTAAGATTTGATAATGTTTCAATTGATCTTGCGACAAGATGACAGTCGTGTAAATCATCAAGTTCAAAGCAAATATGCAAAAAATTCTAAACTCATGTAAGGTAAGAGTAAACATATAAAACAACTCACTTTACATTTCAGTCGAAGATAGGCACCTTGCTTGACATTAGGATTTCTATTTACCTGCTCAACAAGAACTCGGTCCACAGCTCGATGCAATAGCTAAAATTCCTTGTTTTCATCCTACAAATTACATACCCAAAATTCCTGATTCTCTATTTGCTGACTGCTTGCATCACACTTTTCAGGACAAACTCCATTCTCACTAATTATTTGTGAATTCCAATCAGTCTTCTCTGGCGAGAAAATCAAATGATGACCAGTCAAAGCCAACGACCCTTTTTGTGGTGGCCTCGGTCCTTCAAATTTTTCCTTGGATTATAACAAATAAATAAACACTACCTTCACAAAGAAAGACTCCATCTATACGGCTTTTTTCTATTAGTTCTGATAGCTCCATCACAATTCAAAATATTGCTGTTATAAAAAATGAATTAACCAAATAAAAACATATAATTATTGGAAAATCCATGAACAATAATGTAAAGCCAATTTTAAACGATGAATGAACCAAAAAAACAACAACAACAGAATGGCTCAACAAGAATTTTTCAAAAATGGTAATAAAAATATATGTAATTTGGAATAAAAGGGAATAGCATATCCACTCAATGAAATTTCATTGTCCATTTTTTCTATTAGGTAAATTGATAAAAATGGATATGCTTTCTAAATAGTATTTATAATTTACTAGATTTAACTCTTATAAACTGAATCATTTAGTATAAGAAGTTAGGATTAAATCGAGTAACTCGTGGATTTCTGGGATACTTTGAAAATATTGATATCCTACACAAAATCCTGAGCTACCCGTTGAACTAAAATAAAATTCCATATCAATATATATCTGTTAAATATCATCTTCCTCAGAACATTCATTATCTGCCGGAGTGTTACAACCTAGTAATGAGGCGGGATGTATCGCTGCCCATTTTCTTGAAGTCTGCATAAACGAATCCTCTGATGTATCAGAACCTTCCATTTTTGTTAAATTAAGTGCATTTCTTATTTTATCAAAACCATTAACTGATGAACCGTAAAAGCCTAAAAAAGATTAAAAAATTAATTAAAAATAAAGTAGATTACTCTTTGGATTTAAAGAATTATTTGAATTTATTGGATATTTTCTCCCCTTTCCAATATCTCCAGAGAACAAAGATTGATTGCCTTTAGATGATGGGAATGATTCTGTTGTATTATTTTTGGAAGACGATGCAATTAAAGAAACTTTAAAAAGAATTAAGTAAAAATATAGGTAAATATAAACTAACTTCTTCGATCGTCTTTTAAAAGAGATTTTCCCAAAATATTTGAAAGCTTTTTATCGGATTCTTTTCGTCTAAAAAGAAAAAAATATAATAAAAACAATTAAGTTCAATTTACCTAAAAAGAGTACGGAACATTCCAGCATCGTCGCTACCGTCAAACTCGGGAGAGGTGACTTAATTCCAAAAGTTTTTAAGAGTATGATATTGGCATTAATACCTGGATTCCACCAGTCGTATGCTGGTAATCGTGGCATTTTTTTCACGGGTTTGTAGCTTTTACAATAATCATTCTCTTCAGTGCTGGATCCTATACTACTCAATTCATCTTTATAAGGAGATCGAGAAGAAGGCGAAATTATTCCTGCCTCAACAAGTTCTTCCTGGTCCAATTGTTCTTGAATGCGTTTTTGCCTTTGCATAAGACGCTGTTCACGAGACTAAAATTAATAAGAAAAGTATCCACATCAAAGCCAAAAGATAATTTATTTACCTGTTCGCAAAGCTTGAATGCACTCTCAGTAAGATATTTTTGCTCGTCTTCTTCTTTTTTTAGCTTTGCTAATTCCGATGCTTTTCTACGACTCTCCTCCGCCTTCTGTCTTTTCTTTTCATTCAAAATAGCAATACGTGAACTTTGGCGTATCAATGCTTCTTGTTCCAATTTTTTAATATTCTAAAAAATAAAGAAATATTAAATTATATAAAAATACCCCCAATTTACCTCTTTTTCAATTTCCTGAATACAATGCAAACATTCTTCGAATTTTTTAACAATAGAGCGATTAGCATTTCCTTGTGTGTAAGCCTGGATCAAATTAGACAACTGATCAGAATTTTTAGCAACGACTCGAAAACGAGGACATGTACAGAGATTTTTGTTAGCTTCATCCAAAACTCGTTGAGTAAATGTGCTTTAATAATTCGAAAGATTAGAAGAAAATAAATAAATAGATACCCCTTTGGTTTTTCAACGGTAATTTGTTTGATTTCCTTATTTGGTTTATTTTTTAAATATTTTCGTATATCATTCTTGTTATTCTTTTTAGCACCAATTTTCTTAATAAACATTCTGCGTGATTCAATAGCTTCATTCAATAAATCGTTAACTTTTTCCTCCTCTTCCTCAACATCAAATAAATTTCCTTCTTCAATAAATAGCCAAGTATCGCAGAAATACCAAAATTTGCGTCCAGAATTATCAATGGCAATTGGAATGATTCTCTGTTTGTCATCCGTAAATGTCTAAAAATAAATATTTTCGTTAACGTAGTATATTTAAAAATTAAAGAGATAGTCAAAATATAATAAAGTTATTATGACCTCATCCAATTGATTAGCATCATGTGCACAAGCCAATTGCGCATCGATTAAAAAACAAAGAAGCTTCAATTTGTCAACAGTTGATAAATTCAAAAAGTCAGGAATTCGTTTCTTTGAAGAAATTTTACTAGAAGTCTGATATTTGCAAATAAATTAATAAAAACAATTAAAAGTTAAAAACCTGATATTTACTGTCGGAATTTTGATTAGAAATACTAGTACTCTGTTCTCTACTTTGAGGGTTGGAAACATCATTGTCACTTCCCTCTTCTTCTATTTCGTCCAATTTCGGCTGGGGTGGAAACAATAACCGAGCATTGAATTTTGGCCTGCACCAACGGTTTACAGTTATAATCAGTCCATTCAGCTTTTTGTAAATATTCGAACTAATTTATAAAAAATGGTTCACAATTGTAAAAAAACCTGTCAAATCTAATACTGAAAAAAAGTAAAATCTCTGCAATTAAATTTTCCAATAAAGCGCTGTGTAAAGCTTGAGGAAACCCTTGAGAAGGATCATAGGAATGCTGATAAAATAGAAATTATTTAAAATCTAAAAACAAAAACCAACCGAAGCATTTTCTTCCTTTTTTAAAGCCATAGCAAGATCAAAATATGAAAAAGGAGTAAGCGACAAAAGATCCCCATATTTGTGTACAAGAGCAACAAGCTCAACAAATTCAGGGTACGATTCGAATGAATTATCAGACTAAATTTATTAAAATTGAAATGTTTAAAAAAGCAATTAACCTTATCTTTCAAACATTGATCAACGTCCAGGTTTTGAGACATTTTTTGTGTTCTAAAAAATTTAATTAAAAAATATAATTTCAAAAAATTTCTCTATTTAATGTTAAAACAATGAAAATAATTTAATAATTAAACAAATTAGAATTTTATTGCTATTCCAATATATAACAGACTTAGAAAAATGAGGTAACAAAAAGGTAAACTCAAAAAATATAAAAGTTTAACAATATCAAAATATATTTTTTAACTAGATATACAATAAGTCATAACAATCTGAATTATTCAAATAAATAAAAAGTTATTGCTGAACACAGGGGAATTATTAAATTGTCCCCAGAATTTAATTGAGCCTCAGCTATTGTTGAAACCAAAGCAGATAAAATTAAAGACGGACTTAATGAGCAAAAACCAAAAATAATTTCACTTGCAATAATTTGTGTAAAAAACATAGCGATTGAGCCTTCAATAGTTTTACGAGATTTATTTTTCAATCCAAAAGGCCAAGGAATACGACCGAATCTGCCGATTGAAGAGAATAAAACAATTTTTAAGATGAAAAATAACCTTGAGCCTACAATTGCTGCAAAACTATCACCTACTCCAACACTGAGAACTCCAGAAAAATGTCTTTGTTTAAGTGTCCAATTTGGCGAATAAAGCATTGTTGTGTCCATAAATAAAGGCAAGAACATTCCGGCAAGCAGAAAAATTGGTGTTAATATGAGATCATGCGAGTCTTGTCCATCGATAAAAATAAGAAACATTTGATCAAGGAAATTCGACCACGGTTCAATTCTTTGATTTCTAAAAATCTGGAATTGTAAAGGAGAAGAAATAAAAAAGAAAATCTATTTTTAAATTAATTATTAAAAATTACAAACTTCAATAATTATAAAAATCTGCAGCATAAGGTGCCCTGAAAGCGCCAAGAAAAGCGGATCATTATAAAGTCCACTAATTATAATTAAAGAAATTGTTAAGTGAAAAAATTTTCTATGAGTTGTGTTTGCTTTTCTTTGCCTACAATTAATCATTATTGAAAACAGAATTGATTCAATAGCACATAATAACCAAAAAAGTAAGAGGCATAATCTACATATTTAAAAAATAAAATTATATAATTTTGTAGTAACAGAACCTTTTGTAAGTGCCATCAAAAACACGAAACAATAATATTAAAAATGTTCCTTTCAAGTCAGATTCGACTAAACAAGCAAATAAAAAATAAGCTGCAAAGACGGCTAAACCCAAATAAATATTAATTATTAACGATGATTCAAATGGAAAACGTCGTTTTCGAATTAAAGTCATGACAATAAATGAGCAAGTAGCAATCCAAGAAATTCCAATAAGTGCTTTGTCATTGTAGACTAGTGACTTGAAATCTTTATTCATAAAACTCTTTGAAACAGAATTTTTGTATTTAAACTTTAAATTATAAATATTTAAATTAAATCATTTAAACAATAAACGATTTATCAATAAAAACATCAAACTTTAATCTCGACCTAAAAAAATAGGATTCGAATACACGCCCAAGTAGGCGCGGGCCAAGTAGGCGCGACCGAGTAGGCGCAGGTCAAGTAGGCGCGAGTAAAGTAAGCGCGACCGAGTAGGCTCAGGCCAAGTAGGCGCACGGCCAAGTAGGCGCGACCAAGTAGGCGCAGGCCAAGTAGGCGCAAATCTTTTTATAAAAACATTTTTTTAATTTTCTCATTTATCCTGTTATAAATTACTTAATTTTAAGAATTTTAAGAGATTATAAACCATGCATTGGATAAAAAATTAAGCTAGTTTAATTCCCAGCAGCCGAATATAGAAGAAAAGCTCTTTGCTTTTTAATTTATTTATTCTTACAACACTTTTCTTCCTTTTCTTATTTTTATTTATCTTATTTTCAGTAGATTATAAATTTTATTTTCTTTTATTTATTATTGTTATTATGAGAGCAAACTATCATCAAAGTCAAAAGCCTGAGGCAGCTTTGCAACGAGCTCATGAATTTATTTCTGTTGGGAAACAACGAGATGCGCTTCAATCACTTCATGATTTAATCAAGGTTTCTTAAGTGTTTTTTATGTTTACTTTCCTCTCTAGGGTCGTCGTCAGAAGCAATGGTCACAAATACAAGAACAAATTATGCTTAAGTATGTTGAACTTTGCGTTAATTTGCGTAACTCTACAGTAGCAAAAGATGGACTTTATCAATATAAAATATTGACTCAACAGGTTTTACCACATATCCGTTATGATCTTGTAATACCATGTGCTTGAAATACCAAACTGAGGAGGAAACGTAATACTAAATAAATCGTTGGAAGTCGAAACCGTTTAGTTTTCACACTTTGGTATTTCAATCGCTTTTGGTGGTTCGGTATTGCGGCTTTTGTATTACAAGACGTTCCGTTTTTGCCCTGCATTCACTTTTTATTTTCTTGAACAGGTTGCTGTAAAGTCGCTTGAGACTGTCTTGTTAGCTTTGCTTACTCTTGCTGAGAAAAAAACCTTAGAGGCACAAAAATCTTCTATTGAAAAGATGGAAGAAATTGATGATCTTGATGTTGCGGATACGCCAGAGAAGTATTTTCATTTATTAGTTCATCAATTTATCTCCTTTTGAGTTTGTTATTGTCGGTTGTGTCTGGTGCTGTTCCACAAGATCGAATGGACCGCACAGTTCTCAGTCCTTGGCTTCGTTTTCAATGGGATACTTTTCGCAATTGTCTCGATTTGTTGCGTAATAATATTTATGTTGAACAGATTTATCATCAAATTGCTCGTCAGTCTTTTGCTTTTTGTCTTCAATACCAGCGACGAAATGAATTTCGTAAACTTTCGGATATGCTACGGTTTTTCCAAAATTTTAATTTTTTCAATTTTAATCTTTTAAGCCTTCATCTTACACAAGTACAAAAAGCTCAACAGGCGCAAACAATTCCAGCTCACGCGTTTGTTTATTTCTTTGAATTTAACTAAATTTTCATTTTAAGAATTAAATTGACAAATATCGACTCGTTGACTCTTATGTTGGAAACTCGTTTGTGCCAATTAGACACTGCAATAAATATGGAATTATGGCAAGAAGCCTATAAAACTGCTGAAGGTTTGTTTTTATTATTTGATGACCTAAAGTTGACTTTAGATCTTCATAACTTAATGCAAATTGGAAAGGATAAGAAAATCGCCAAACCCTCTAGTTATGCTAATTATTATGACAAGGTTGTTATAAACTCGATTTTTTAAGGTTTAACATTTTAGATTGCTCTTGTCTTTTGGAAAGGAGGAAATACTCTCTTCCATGCTGCTTCACTTTTACAAAAATTTAATATTCACAAGGACATGAAAAAACAATTTACGGGTGAGGAGGCGACCGATCAAGCTACGAAAGTCTTATTGGCAACGCTTAGCATACCCGATGGAGCTGAAAGGCCTTCAATTTTGACAAAACATTTAGATATAGAAGAGCAGCATGTTGCCAATACAAGGTTAATTTTTGATATTTTTGAAGGAAAAGTGTTGGCTCTTGTCTGATCATGCGTCTATGGTTCTGTTTGGTACAGGCCCATAGCCAGGGGGGAATTCCCCCCCCCGAAATGGGGAAAAGAGAAAAATTTTGGGAAGGGCTGGGGTTAATTTTTTTGGCCTACGGCCTTCTAGAATTCTAAAAATTTTAGAAGGCCGTAGGCCAAAATTGTGAAACAGGTTTCAAATTTTTGGCGCCAAAATTCGGTGCCCGACTCGGATCGAACTGGACTATCAACTCTAGTAGTGGGGCCGCCAACCTTCAGGAAGACCATATACTTGACCAGATTTGCCATAGATTAGACATTGAAATTTGATTGAACGCATAATGTTGCGATTGAACGCATAATCAGGACTAGAGCCACATTTTTTATTTTTTAGAATTCTCTCTGCACTTTTACGTATGCCTATTATTCCAACTCGTAATGGAATTTTGAAAGAGATTGCTCGTTTAAACATTCCTGAGATTGCAGCTCCTGAAGCTTTTAAATTATATAAATGTATTGAATTTGATTTTGATCCTTTACATATTGCCGTCAATGTTCAAGAAATGCTTTTAGTTATTGAACAATTGGGTGAAAAGTTGGGACATTCTGAATATGGTCAATACTCTAATTCTATTAAGAAAACTGTGGCCGCAAAAATCGTGAAACAGGTTTTTTAGTTATAAGCCATTAGCACTTAACTTGGTATTTCTGTAAAATTATTTTTTCTGGGCACTGAAAATTCGCTTGGGTCTTATCATAAAATATGGATAAAAATTGGAACAACTTACTTTAATTTTTTGTTCAAAATTTTAGATTTCGTCAATTTATGAGTCAATAAAATTTGCACGTCTTTCTGAAATTATCCCATTTTATAATCGAATGCAATTGGAACAATTTTTAGTTGATATCTGCAAACAAAATTTAGTTTCTGCACATATTGACCATCGTCAAAATTGTATTTATTTTGGACATGTAGATTCACTTTTAGCAAGTGAACTTGAGAGTGAGCATGGGCGTATTTCTGAGGTTTTTTTTAATTTAATGCTTTTGATTTTTTTCCTTTACATTTCTAGATTTCTAAAATTACAACACACGTATCTTTGGTTTATTCAATTTTGCAAGATGCGTATCTTGACATTGATCAAAGTTTAGTTAAGGAGCTTCAAGAAAAGGTTTTTTGTTTTTTAAGTTTACTAATCCTACCTGTTTTTTAGTTGGCCCGCCAAATTAAAATTTATTTAACTCATAAAGATGGCGATTTTGAGCGTGTACTTGCACGTCGTAAAAGAATTGAGCTTTATAAAGAAAATACTGAGCAAATGAAAAAAGAGAAGTTGTTTCAATCTCAGATGTTGGCTAATAAACAAGAAGAAAAACGTCGAACTGAAGAATATAATAAATTAATGGAAGAAAATAAAGAAAACGAACAGCGTCGAAGATTCGCGGAACAAGTATATTTTTATTTTTAAGACCTAACTTGGAACTATTTTTGGGAAATTATTAGTAGTTAAAAAGTTTGGAGGAATGTATAGAAATGCCAAATACTGGAAAGTCATTCCCCCATTTCGGCGATTTTGGTATTCAATATCATACCTGCTATTCTCCTATTCCTGAATTCTATGTTTTTTAAATAAACTAATTTTGAAACTTTCTGACAAAAATTTTGGCAAAAGTTTTTCTTGGATTTCTAACAAAAGTTTTTTAGGCTGAAATTCAACGTAAAGTAGCTGCCGATCGAATGCAAAAACAAAAATCGCATCCATTATACGCAATGTTGGTTAAAGAATTGGGTGAAGAGGCTGTTGAAAAGATGGATTTGGAGCAATTTGTTATTGAGAAGGTTTATTAAATTTATTGAAATTTTTTAAATTAAAGAAAAAAATTTTACAGCGTAATCTTTTGGATAAGGAACGAAAAGAACAACAAAATAAGATGCTGCAACAAGAGAAAAAATTTGATTATTATGTTAGAGCAATTCATTTGGAAGAAATGTTAGTTTGGAAAGAATTATCCGATGAACAACAAGCTTGTGCTTCGGAACTTTTTGACCAATATGAAGCAACAAGAATTGATAAAGAAATGTTTGTATTTTATTTTTTAGAGGAAAATTTTTTGTTTTTTAAGAAAAGCACGTGAAAAAATGTTAGAAGCTTTTCAACTTTTGACAAATGTTAAAGATGATGCTATTAAATTTATGCGTAGTACAATTCAATCACATGCTGAGGACTTGAAGATTATTAATGAGAAATGGAAAAAGAAAGTGGAATTGGTTCGTGAAAAGGCTATTGAAAAATTGGCAAATGAGAGGATGAAAACATGGCAAAGTGAAGTTAAACTTGTAGAGGAAGAACAGCGTCGTAAGGAAGAAGAACAACCGCCACCAAAACAAATTTGTGTAGTTGAAGCGCCCCCACCTCAACAAGAACAAAGTAAGGAAGTTGTACCGCAGCAAAAGGGAAAATATTTGCCTCCTCAAATGCGTAAAAAACCTCAGGAACAATAAGAAGAATGATAGATGGTTTTATTTTTTTATAAAAATTGTTGAAAATTTATTTGTTTTATTTGACTGTTATTTCTTTTAAAAATAATGTTTTTTGGGGTATTTGACCAATAAAAAAATTTTTTATTATAAAATATAATTTGCAGGACCATGAATATTTTTTTCTTTTTGAGAAGCTTTTCCTTTAAAAATTACGAAGCCATTTATTAAAAATTCTATTTTTTTTCCTGGGTCCTGCAGTATTTAATTTTACTTTCCTTTTTTTCTTTACCGGTCATTTTGTAGACAAAAAATATATTAGTAAGGTAATGCATTGTTTACTGTTACCACAATTGATATTAGAGACCGGACCGAGAAGAGAGATCGATCAAAAATCCCGGTTATCGTGATCGAGAATTTTTCGAGATCTCGATTTCGTACGATATTTTTCTGGTTTTTCGAGATATTTCGATCTGGATTGTTCGATTCTCGTATGACCCTTCCAGTCCAATCTCTAGTTGATATATAGATTTGGTACTATTCGATAGAGGATCCCCACTTCCTATCCTTTTTCTCGTAAAATGCTTTTTGGATCTCATTGTTCCTTTTTTGTAAGTTAAGGAAAAAAGCTACTATCTTGTTGAAAAATTTTTAATTGTCGTATAAAAATTATTTCATTGTTTTGCTATTTTATTAAATAAATACAAATGTTTTAATACATTTTTCTCTCTCACATGGAGAGAGATTAATCTCAGGAGAAAATTTGGGTTTTCATTAAATCGGCAACATTGCCTAATTGCCTCAATCCATTGCGAGTATTTATTAAATCATATTTTTTAGTTGTAACAGATATGGAGTCTACATCAAATTCTGATAAAACAACAGCTTATAATGAGATGTGCAGAAGGATTGTACAAGCAAATCCCCCAACTCCAAACAAAATGAAGCCCTTTGATAAATTTAAAGCAAATTTTCGTTTTTATGTTCAACAATGTACTAGAAAGCCTTTGTTACTTAAAACATTAATTTCTGTAGCAACTGTTGGGTTAGTAAATGGAACAATTTATTACAATTATGGTCCAGATCATCCATGCAATCTTATTTTGTAAGTATTTACAATTTATTTTGACAAAAAATTTTCAATTTATTTTTTTAAGTTAAAGCATTTTGTGTTAATGAATATTTCAAATATTAAAAATTGTTGCTTTTTAGCTAAATTGACCCTATAAAAATTTTTGGGATCGTACCTAAAAGGGTACTTATTTACTTCCTCTCCTCCAGTCCATTTTTTCGGTCCCCATAATTTTTAAATTTATTTTATAAAATAAAATTTCTTTCAAAAATTATTTAATTTTTTTGTAAATTTTTAGATGGTTTTACTATAAACGCAACGATAAATTAACTACAGAACAATTGTGGAAATCTAGAATGGTTTCTGAATATCAACGTAGCTTCTATCAAAACTTGGATCGTTCATATTATACTTCAGAGCGTGACAAGAAAATAAATACAATGCTCTTTTAAAGTTTTGTTTTTTTAATAATTATTTTTAATTTAAAATAAAATTTAAGGTTTTTGGAATTTTTGAATATTGTTTAAAGTGTTGTAGTGATTTTTATAAGTATTCTTAAGTTTAAAAATAAAATTTAAGGTTTTTGGAATTTTTGAATATAGTTTGAAGTGCTCTAGTGAATATTGTAAGGGTTTATTTAGAATTTTTTTTGTTGACTTTTGATTTCTTTAAGAAATACATATGTTCTTTTGTTTTTTAGATTAATTAAAATTTTGTTTTAAAAATTATTTGAAATATTTTTTATATATTTTTCAAAAAATTAATATCTTTTTTTGTCATTTAAACAACCTATTTAATCATTTTTGTATATTTTTTATAAATAAAATATGCAACAAATTACCGACTTCTTTTATCATGCTAAGGTTTTGTATAATAAAATTATTTTAATTTTATTCAAATTTTAGGGTGATCTTTTCTACGGATTTCTCCTTTTATTTTCTTCCATTTTGGCTTTTTTACTCAGACATTTTGGATCATTTGGTACTCGACGAAGACTAGATGGTTTTATTGGATTTGGAATTACGCTTTTTGTAGCGGGGAGAATGTTGTTTTGCTCTTTAATTGTTGTTGTTGTACATTTGGTTATGTTCCGATTTATTAAAAATCCCAGGTTTTTATTTTTTAATTAACGAGAAATACCTTTAAAATTTTTCTTTCAAATTGTTTTTCCTTTCATAACCAATTCCAAGAAATATTTTTTAAATAATCATGTTTGAAAACTCAAAATATTCACTTTACAATTAATTAAACTAGAAATTTCACAGACTTCTACCAAATTTGTCTTTCTACGGAACTTTTGTTTTCTTAGCCATTCTTCGTTTGATACATTTTGTTGGTCTTCCAAGGCTTGAATTTGTTACAAATGCCATCCAACTTATTCTTACTTTAAGGGTTTTTAAAAATTTTTAAAATAGCTGTTTCATTTTTAGGTAATCGGATTAAGTTATGAAATTGCTGATTTTCGATTATCAAAAAAGTCTGACAATAAAAAGATTGAATATTTTATTGAAAAAGAGCCATCAACATTTGAAGCTTTTAATTATTTTTATAATTTTACAGGCCTTTTTACAGGTTTAATTTTTCTAAAATATTTTTTAATTTTACTTTAGGTCCTTATTTTACTTATCGCACTTATTCGGATGCTTTAACAAAATGGAAAAGGCCACTTTTATGGAGTAAACTTTACCCATTGTTAATAGGAAAAATGAAAACTTTGAGTTGGTCATTGCCCTCATTAATTTTCCTAACATGGCTAGACCCTGTGAATGTTGGTACTTTAGTTTTATATGAGAGAATTATTTGTTATTAAAGGTACTTCGTGGGGAACGTACTGCTTCTCTTTTGGGACTTTTTTATGATTTTGTTTGGTGTGCACTTGCATTTGTATATCTCAGAATGCGAATATATAGTGCTTGGATGGTTGCTGAATCAATTTGCTTATTAACTGGTATTGGACTTTATCCAAAGGAAGGAAAATCAACACCGGGCAATGGACCGACGGAAATGCAAAAAATTATGTATGTGTTGAATTTTTAATCATCGAAATTGAGAATACATTTTTTTGTATATTCTTTTAGAGTGGCCGAGTATAGGGTCACTAGGTTTTTCGGATTTTAAGTATCATTACTTCGTTATCTAATTGTAAGTATAGTGTTTAAAATCTGACTTCAGATTAGTACATTAAATGAGATTTGTACCGTTAAAAATCGGATTATAAAATGACAATTAAAAACTAATTTACAATAATTTATTTCAAGACTAGGGACAATACACAATGGCTAATAATTACATATTAGCTAACAGATTTAGGGGGAAACAAACAAAGCAATAGCAATATATACATACATTTATGGGAATAGGAGTGGGTATTATCAAGATTTGTCCACATTGAATCTTATGGTGTCATCGCTCTTCTCCTTCCTATTTCTTCAGGTTCCTGTCTCGCAGCTTTCCTCGTCCTAGCAGCTCACATGTAGGCCGACTGGTCTCCACGAGGCGGTGGCGGCGCATTGTTGCCAGACGGAGGTGCTGAGCCTGCCTCGAACTCGAACTGGTAGCTGCCGCCACGGGCAGGCTGAAAATAAAAGAAGATTGTTAATGATTAATAAGATTGTTAAAATAGAAATATTAAACGTACCGCTCCACCACCACCACCATAGCCACCACCACCACCGGACTTCTTGGGCATGGTCCCTGGCGAAGGCATGTAGGCGCTCTGATCTCCCATGACGATTGTTGAACTCGAGCTGGTTGAGAAGAGTTGTAGTTGACTGTAGTTGTGCTGACGAACTGTTTGGAAATGAGTGAAAAGTTGCGTTTTTATAGTAAATTAGTGTTCATACACGGTGGCACCCAAGTATAAAAACAAACCACTCCGTCCGCATCAACTTCGTCAATTACAACTCTTCTCAACAAGCTCAACAATCATCATGGGAGATCAGAGCAACACACCGCCTCATGGGGATCAATCGGCCTACATGAGAGCTGTTAGGACATGAAGAAATAGGAAGGAGAAGAGCGATGACAGCCTCAAAAATTCAATGTGGGCAGCGAGTTTGATATTTTTATATGGTATGGTAAAAATTTTTGAGATTTAGTATGTGTAGACTTTGTAGGGAAAATGAACTCGATCTGTTAATTTTTTAAAGTAATCGGAAAGATACTCATTCCAGTTCCTAATAAATAATAATCATTCTAAAAATTTGAGATTTTAGGGATATCGATTGGAATGATGTGTCCATTGAATTCGATTCTGAAACCATTAATAACCTGGATATTCCTAATGTAGAACATAGTGATGGTTTCCGTTCAGGAATGCGCGCGTGGAATAGAACAGTGCAGTTCTGGCTTGCCAATTTTGTATATAGACGAAGCGATAGATCAATTAGGTACTTTGAAAAATAAGCATAAAAATTATTAAAAAATTTCTAAACGTAGAATGTTCTACACAATGCTAGTTAGTTCCTTTTGGCATGGAATCCATCCTGGATATTTTCTCTCATTCTTAACCATTCCTCTTTGTACAGCCGCAGAAGATAAATTATTCAATACATTTACTATAGAGAATAGACCTAAATTATTACAAATTTCGTGAGTTGCCTTCTATGTAATTTTTCCCTCAATTTTTACCCTTTCAAGGTGGAGTTTTATCCGGACGCGCGGATTTGAATTTATGGCTGCTGGCTTCCTACTACTTGATGGTTGGGATACTTTAAAACTTTGGGGAAGAATGTATGCCTAAAATTCTTTAAATTAGTTTTATTAATCTCATCTTAGGTACTTTTGGTTGCATTTTGCTATGTTGTTCGTAATTGTGGCAACTTATTTACTAAAAAGTGATCTAAATACAAAGCAAAAAGATCAACGAACAAAATTCCCGTCTAACGATGAACAAAAAATGAACTGAACTTATCTAACAGACTGGGAAATGATACTCACGTCAGAACGGTGATAAACAAGTCGATTTTTATAGTTTACATTATAGAATAGATTCATGAATTAACTTAGTTCTAACATGTAAAAAATACTTCAATCTATACCCAAGGATATCCATAAAGCATTTTATTTTTACATCAAAAATACAATAGAAATGGAGAATAAATTTATATATTACAAGGGGAGATCTTTCAGATTCTTGAACATCTTTTCATCTCAGCCTCTTCACATAGCAATTAGGTCCGTAGATCTTTCCATTTATCACGTAATAGCGTATGAATTGTTCTCCGTTGCGCTCATCACAAGGAATGCCAATCTAAAAATGATAAAAAGGTTTTAAACAATTTAAACGAAATTTACCCCGCATCCTGCACATTTGAAACAGGCCCTGTGCACTCGTCTCCCCTCCACAAAGACACATTGTCCCAACAGCGGCGCTCCACATTCATCGCACTTTGCTAAAACTGCGTCAACTCTAAAATCCCTGCCGGCTGCCATAGCGGTTTTTCCTAAATTTATAATTAAGAGCAATGTAATCTAGAATCTTTAAACGAACCTAGCAATCAGGCGAAGGATGCTTCTCGGACAGTAAATTCTGGACTTTAGCGTACGAAATGTGAAAATTAGAAGTCTTTTATAGTGTGAAATTGTTTATTTTTCGAGTTTGTACAGGGATCTCCATGAGGCAGAAGAGGAGCAAAAATGGCGGAATTATGCCATCGGAAGACGTAACTCATCCCTAGTGTATGAAATCTTCAGTAATTTATCATAGCAGATTTCTGACGAAAAAATACAAGAGATCAAATAACGAGTTAATTTTGTTTACACAGATGATCTCGGGTACAAAACGATAATATAGACCCAAAATTATGAAAAATATTAAAAATGTTCAGATCTTTTTATCTTGACTACTAAAATAGCAATAATGAGTTTAAATGAAAATAAAACAAAAAGTCACCACAAATTAATCACGAGATGATGTAAAATAATAATAAAATAATAATAAATGAGGTGTTTTAAAATTGATTTGGAAAGAGGAAGGAAGCTCCCAAACAAAATTTGGACGAATGAAACCAAAGGATGAATGTATTTTTAAACGTCTTTGAAAATGTTTCAAACATCTAGCATCTTTTTTCTAATATTTTTTTGTTATACTAATGTATACAATTTTCATCCAATTTACTATTTTTGTTTCAAAGATGCGCAGCCTATAAAAATAAATATATAATTGTAAAAACATAATTATTGCATCCCCTTCCCTCCACTAAAAATACCCGTAACATTCTTCTTTGATTCATTAAAAGAATCGAGTTTTAAAGAAAGAGATTCAATTGGATTTAATATATACGTAGCAACCCGTACCCAAGGACTGAAACTTTGAACGGCCATAACTCGGCCCAGTCATTTTGCAAAAAAGACGGATCATTCCACTATAGTAAGTCGAGGGTCCTCTATCGAATGGTACCAAAAAAATTATCAGATTCGCACTGACAGTAAACGATGTTCCCTTGTCAGAATTATCCAACTTAATTTTTTATTTATCATTCATTATCTTACCACACAAATATTTGCTTACATTTAAATAACTAAATTTCTTTACAAACAGTCACTCATACTAGTTGGCACTATCACATTAGGCATTCCCCCTCCACTAACAATAGTCATCGTTTGATGGGGAATGACAGTATGTGAAGAAGCAATCGGCGTCATAATGTTTGAGATCATTGCCTGATTGTTGTCAGTTGAGGTAATCGTTGTCAGTTGTTGTTGATGAGGATTGCGATGGCTAGAAAGAGTATCAGTCGTTGTTATCGGTGGAATGTTTTCTCCCCCGCTATCTTCTTCCTCTGTTGAGGGAGGAGGTAAATCAGCATCCGTACCAAATTTTGCGGCTAACGAGTAACGACGATGAGGACGCTCGCCAAAAATGCGTTCCTTAAAATATTTTTTGAGAATAATAATTACAAGTTTGATGCCCAACGCTTGATAAAAAAATAATCTTTAATTAATAATGCCCAAAAATTTTAATTAAGTATATAGGACCGGCGACAGCGCATTCCTTAAAAACCCCAAAAAATTACTAACGGGATCATCTTCCGGTTGGATAGAACGAGAATAAGCCTGAATACGACCATATAAATTCTCAATTTCCGTTTCCTCTTGTTCCGACCCATTTTGCTGTGTCAGCTTGCTTCCATCAAATTGTCCCAAAATATTCGTTTCCTTCTAAATTTTTAATTTAAAAAAATTAAAATATCAAAAACCTTTTTTTGTTCATTCTCATTAATTCCATTTGAAAGAACGGCAGCCAAAGTTTCAGCTGCTCTCGCCTTTTCCATTTTTGTAATCCCATCTTCTTCCTCACTCAAACTGCCAACCAAATCGTGAGAAGGCCAATTAAAACCGCGACTGATTTGGATGGGCAAAGAAGCTGGAACTACTGAAATACCCCCACTATCAAATTGTCCATGCACTTTATGAAGAATATTTGAAAGTGGACCTTAAAATAATTAAAACGGAATAAACAACACAGAAGTAAACGGAAAGCCTTCTACCCCATATTGATTTTAAGGAAAGAAACCTGGGTAATTTCTTTGAAAAATTTCTTTAAAAATAAATATGACTTAAAAGAAATTTAACATTTCTAAACCTTTTTTTTTCCAAAAAATCATTTTAAATTCTTAATTAAAAATCCTTATTCCATAAAAAAGTTTCAAACAAAAATCTTATTACTCAAATTCCCTCCTCTTAAAAGTACAGAAACACAATTTGAAAAACTAAACCTGAACGTCCAGTATTTCGCATTCTAGATGGAAAACGATTTGATGCAGAATAAGCACGTCCCCCATGTAAACTCTCCATTTCTCTTGGAAATTCTATTAAAATAAATTTATAAACAAAACCCTTTAAATATTAAAAACCATCATCATCAGATATTGTCGGATCAAAATCAGCAGTATAATGACGTGCTCTTTCACCTTCTTTTGCATTAACTTCTTCATCCAAAGCAAAAATTGGATCTAAAAAAATTAATCAAAATTTGACAGAAAACTTTTTTAAAAGAGAAACCTTCATCATCAATTCTTGAACTAATCATTGAAAATGAGGTAGAATTATTACTGTTACTTAAACTTTTTTTATGTTGAAGTATTTGATTTAAAGGTTGTTGTAAACCCGTAATTGTTGTAGAAGTATTTATAACTGTTGTTGTTATTAAACTTTCTTCATTTTCACTAGCAATAATTGGTGTTGTTGTTGTTGTTGTCATTTTTGTTGAGAAATTTATTTGTTGTTCAACAAATGATGATGATGAGGTTATTGTTTGTTGTTGTTGTTGTTGTGATTCATTCTTTTCCCGTTCTCCATTTTTTTCTTTTTCCCGTTGCTGGAATTCTTTAGACATGGCACTTTTTCCCCGCTTTAATCCTAAAAATATTATTTTTTTAAAAATTTGTTTGTAAATAAAAGAAAATGAAAATAATTTCGAAAAAAAAGAAATTTATTTATTTGTTTACCAAAATAAATATTTTTATTTATTTTTTTATTTAACAAAATTTCACATTCTAAAATTTCATTTCATCAAAAAAAAGTAATAAATAAAAGAATTTATTTTTCATTTTTGGAAGATTTTTTTATTAAATAGTCTGGGAGAGATTACTTTTAAACAGTTGTTTAAGTTATTTTTAAATGATCAAAAATCATACCAAAAATTTATTTTAATTCACAAAAATTTTTATTTTTTAATTTTATTTTTCTAAAAGATTTTAGGGGGATATGTGCTTATGGAGACCGGCTACGTTTTGGAGAAAATACGTTACTACCGTATTTGCTAAAATAATTACACAGGGTAATTTTTTCAACCTCTCTTTGAAGGGGGTAATTAATAGGGAGGGAGTGATTATTTGAGAGGGACATTATTTCAGCATTTTCGGTATTTATCCCCAGTCAGTTTTTTCGATAGATATGTAAAAAATGGTCAGACAGTCTTAGGTTATATAATTCGTCGAGCTGTGTCGAATAACACCAAAATCAGCCCCCAGTCTTAACGTTTAGCCGACACAGCTTAATTTAAAATTATTTAAAAGTCTCCACCACTTTAAATAAAATAAAATATTAAAAGAATATTTTAATTTTTAATTTAAAATTTTATAATTTAACAGCTCTATTAAAGAGACGTATTTTATTTAAAAATTTTCATTTAAATGTAAATGCTTTCTCTTTAAAGCTTCTTATTTTAAATAAATATAGTTAAATTAATATAAAAACATAAATTCCAAGACAATTTTTTTTATTATTTTATTATAAAACTGATAAAATTGAATGGGAAATTAGTCGAATCCTTATCTCTTTTTGGCTCTTTTATTTTAAAAAGGTACATTAAATGAATAAAAAAAACGCTAATAATTATTTTTAAAATTTTTTGTCTTTAATTGGCTTCATTCCAAAAACAAATTTTGAAAAAAAATATTTTTAGAAGACTAAACACTAAATTGCCTATTAAAAACTAAAAATTATTGGAAGAGATTTTTATAAATCCTTCACTTAAAAGTTGCTAAAAATAGAGAGGAGAGAGATTAGAGGATTTAATTTTTGGATGTGAGGGAACTGATTTTTGGTATATAAAATAATTACAAAAAGTAATCAATCAATAGGTATCCAGTGTTTATAAAAATAAAAAATTATAAGGGAAGAAATTGTAAAGACGAAGATGATGGAGGGGGAAAGGGGAGGGGGAGGAGGGGGGGGTGTGAGTATTATAAAAATATATTTTTCTTTTTTTTTTTAGTTAAAAGAAAATTGAGAAAGGAAAAATAGGGGGAAGGGAGAGACAAAGTAGTATAGTGGTAGTAGAAAAATAATGGGAGGGAATGGGGGGGGGGGGGGGGGGAAGGGGGGTAGTGTAGTGGAGTAGAAGTAGTAATGCTTTTTCAACTCTTATTTTGTGGTTGAAAATAGAAAGCTTTCTTCTTTAGTCTTATATTTTTCTGTCTTTTGGGTTTACCGGTAAAGGATGGTTGGTGCTTATAAAAATGATAAATGTGGATGAATTAGTTTATAAGAAAATAAGAAAAAAAACTTTAAAAATTGTCAATTTTTTGTGGAATCTAAAATTTAGGTATTTGTGTGAGGAAAGTTTGTTTTTTGGGTAGCGGTTATTGTGAGGGATTTGAGAAAATCAGAATTTAGCAAATTCTTCTCCTTTATCTCTAAAGTAAAAATAACAAAACTCTGGATAAAGTTTAATGTACTACTATATCACAGATTCATTTATTCTTCCCAAAATCTGTTGGGCGGAAAAAGTAATTTTTACTTAAAAAGTTTTTTGTTGGCTGGATACTTTTTTTATTCAATTTGATTTACTATTAAAAAAATTTTTTTTCCCAATTTTCTATGGTTCCAACTTGTCTTTTTCTTGCGATTGAAAATCTCCCTCCTCCTCCTCTTTTTTCCCCTTGTCCAAGTACTACCGGTTCTATTGTTCGTTCCTTCTCCCCCTTCCCCCCTCCCCTTCCCCCATGTCAACTCCATCACAAAACATTTGCAGTCAGTCAATAATTTTCACTACCAGCCGGGCCAGACCTCTTCCCCCTCAAACATATTATATAAGTCCAACCGACCACTTCGATATAACAACCAATTTTTCCACCTACTGCACCCTCCATATATTTGCTAGATGGAAAAAATGATTATATAAAATATATATGTATTTACATTATATACACATTAGACGCGCACACATGTGTTTGACGGTCTCTTTCATGATTGCATTTTTTAGTAGGATTCTTTTTCCGGAAAATTTATTGGTAAATAGACACACATTGTTAAAAAAGGCTTTCTGTTGGTTTATGGGTATTCTTTTGGATATTTTATAAATTTAGTAAAATAATGTGGTCCAAATTCTAATACACCCTTTTTTTAAAAATTTCAGTATCTTGGTAAAGCTACGATGTAGAAAACTATTATACAATAATTTAATTTTGGCTTTATAAAATAAAAGTAGCTCTTTCTGTATAAATAATTTCTAATCGCAAAAATGAGAGATTGAAATTTATGTAATTTACCTACTTATATTTATTTCTAAAAGAGATGTTTTTGTCTTTAAATATTTTTTTCAGAACGAGTTAAAAAAGTATGAGGATAAATTCTTAGAATTACCGACTAACCTCTACGACTTACCTTGATAATATTTACTCAAAAGGAAAATTATACTCTGGAAAGAACATGGAAAAATAAAATTCTTATTTAGGAAAATTTTAAAAATAAATAAAAAGTTAATAATCACCCAACACGAAAATGACTTTCCCGGCCGGTTACATACAAATAAATTGCCGACTGACTCTAAAATAGACGAAAATAAAAGGAGAGGGGGGGGGGGGATTGCAATAAATATACTTCCTCTTTAAATTTCCTTGTGTTACTTATTTCCTTTTCCTGTATGAACTTCTGTGGAGTTCAAAGTGAAAAATAAATTGCCAATTTTGAGCACATACTGCAGCATTTTGTCCTTCTGGTCAATGGCTTACAATAATTCATGGCAAATGTGAAACAGATTTTAACTAGAAAATTGTTGAATTTTTAATAGGGTTGGAATTTATTAGGGAGATTTTTAAAGAGATTGCGGTTTGTAAAGGACGTTTTTTGGAGGGGGGAGGGTGATTAACTACTTTTGCGGAATTACATTCGACGAGATAATTTCAAAATAAACTGTTAGCTTTTGAGAAAAATTTTATTTGAAGTAGTAGTTCAAAATTTTGACTCATTTTGGCTTTTTAATAAACTATATAACATGCATTTTTGGACCTAGAAAAGCATTACTGATGTCGAGGATGAGTTACAAGTAGAAGATTAAAGTTATCATAAATATCTCCATTATCTAAAATATGTCATCAAAAATCACCATTATCCAAATCACCATTAAGCAAATCACCATTCAATAATCGCTGACTTATTATTATTCTGTGGAACAAATGGAGAATGAAGGATAAAATAATTTTTGGAAACAATTCTAAATATTTTAAGTTTTTGATGTTTCTTCTGAAAAAAATTGCATAAATCTTGTCTATAAAAGAAAGGACTTCGAATTAAAGCTATCATATTCTCCATTCTCCGTCAATTGTTTCGCTCCTATTTTGGCTAAGTAAGTTTTAATCTTATTTTTTAACTTTAAATCATTAATTAATTTAACAGCTTCACTTGACAATGATTGTTCTTCAGCTGCTTCAAGTGCTTATATCAGCTGTTTCCTTTGCGGCTACAGTCGGAACATTATGTGGGTCGCTTCTGCTCGTTGGATGTTCCAAAAAGAAGAATACCAACGCTACTCTTCCTACGTATGTATTAGAAGTGAAAGATTGGAAGGAAAAGAAAGATCCAAAAGAAAGGAAGGATCCAACAAGGAGTAAAGAAGATATTCTGAAATTACCTCCACCACCAAAGCCTGCCAAACCTGCAGTTCCGCCAACGACTCCAGCCAAAGGCGCAGCTTCTCCACTAGATGGCAGCACTCCAGGAAAAACTCCATCAGCCCCTAATATGGATGAGAAGAATAGCCCTAGAAACCCCGGTAAAAGACAAAAGGGCAAGAAGAAGGCCAAACTTGCATGGGACACGACGGAGAATCTTAAACCACCGTCATCTATGCAAAGTGTTAAGAAGAAAAAGTCAAAAAAACAGCTCGGAGACCAAACGGTTATGCGACGGGATGTTCCAAAATCATTGGAAAGTGGAGAACATGACGGTATGTTAAAAAAAACATTTCCTTATTAATTTTAAAAGTTTAGACTTGGAGAGTGCGAAGGTCATGGAGGTTCCTACCGATGAATTGCTTCAGTCGGGTAAGGACCGCAAAGGATCAAAGAAAGGAACTACAACGACTGGAGGAGATTCTTTTCTTGATAAACCGCCTCCATCTCTGCAGAGCAAAATGGGTGAATTCGACAAGAAATTTAAACCTGGCGAATTTGGTAGGAAAAATATTTTAAATATGACAAATCTTTTTGGTTTTTAGTTGTCAAGGCCGTACCAGAAGAAATCAACTACAACAATGTCAAATACAATGTCGAGCAGCAGGCATCCGTTGAATTGATCAATGAAAGTGATGTTCCAGCTGCAATCAAAGTGAGAAAACTTTGGAATGTTTTTAGTCAAAATTATTTTTTAGATCAAAAGTACCGATGCAAATATATACCGAGTGATACCCGTCTTCCGAACAATAGAGCCAGGAGGGAAATCACTTGTGCAAATAATAAGAATGCCTTCTGCACCCAAATCTGACCTAATCGAAGTTGTTGCTGCACCGGTGAGATATACAAAAAAATATTTAAATGAAAAAATATTTTTAGATGACTGAGGGGCCATTGCCTGATGGAGGAATTCCTGCCATCTTTAAGATTGTTGACGTGAAGGATCACAAAATCATCAAGATTCCTGTTCAATTGATATAGGCAAGGTTGAAGATGAATGAATAATAATATCTTGGCAATTATGTGTAAATATATTCTCTATGTTTTCCCCCAAAAATTCTGATAATGTGTATATAATGTAAATATTATTGTTAAATATATTGTAGATATATGTAAGTATAAAGTGTGGGTAATTAATGCCGACTTTCTTTTTAATAGATATAATCTTCATAAAAATGTTGTTTGATTATCTTGTTTGATCCTTTGAATTTCAAACAAATTTTTGGATACAAATTAGCTGATTTTAAAGCTAATCTCGATAGTGACAGGTTGATACATAAATCAGTGTGTTTGAGCGAAGGTTTTTTGATCCAGCTATAAGGACACAACACATAATAGGATAAGCTAACTAGGAATAAATATCTGTAAGTCTCGAATGAAAAGTATAGTAATAAATCCAAATTCCCAATTCATTTTCGGAGAATTTTCTATTTATTTATTAATGCTAGTCATTACCGTAGTCAAAAAGTATATTTAATTTTTTGGCATTTATAATTTTTCTTGGCCAAATGTATTTATTTTCCAAAATGTCAATTAGAGTCTTAAATAATATTTCTAATTTTTATTTATTTTTTAATTTTATTGTTAATTATTTTTAGATAAATGAATCGTATAAAAAATTGTGTAATTCTACCGCCATTTAAAAATTCCCAAAATTTATTAATATGGAAACCTCCATTTTCCTCTGAAATTTTGTCAAAACGTCAACTTTTCTATCATTATTTTACAAAGGTTTAAATTTTAAAAAATATATTTATTTTTTTAATTTTAATAATTAAAGGATAAAGAAGATTATGAGAAATATAGAAAAGCTAATAAAGTAAAATTTCGATGGGAAAAAAATCCAGAAGGTCCAGAATTTCCTATGAGAAAATTACAAATTGGACATCAAGGTTAGTTTATTTGGAGATTAAATAATTTTGATTTTGAGAGAAAATAGGGAGATAATTGTATATACTTTATGGTTAATCTTTATTCCTTCCCCAATTTCACTCATGTCCAAGCTCCCAGCCATACATCGAAATCGTTGTCGCTTAATCGGGGTTATTCATTAAGTCGCAAATTTTTAATTTCTAAATTTTTAAAATTTGATTTCAGTTTGTTACAGGGAAATAGAGTGGAATTGAAAAGGAAAAAATTGACAGTTATGTACAGTAATACCAGCCGTGGTATTACCAACGAGTCTAATCAACATATAAAAATTTTTTAATTAAAATTGCTGATAAATCTGTAATTTGTAGACTTTGAGTAACCAAAAATTATTTTCTAAATTTTTTAAATTAAAAAAAAAGAAATTTTAATTTTTAAGATGATCCCGAATTGTGGGGCACAATGGATAAATATTATAAATGTTCTCCTCGTTTTGGTGAAAATCCTAAAGATTTTCCTGAGTAATTTATTTATTTTTTAAATTTATATTTTTTTAAATTTTTTAAAGATTTAATTATCGAGACGAATATATTTATAAACCTCCTTTTTTGGATCGATTTGCTTCTAAAATTGTTGCTTCTTTAATGTGGTTTGCTTTTTATTTTTAAAAATTTGAAACAAATTTTTGGGGTTGTCATAAATGTGATATTTTTGTTTACTTTAAATTAGGAATAAAAAAAATTTCATAAAATTAAAAGAAAAATACAAAAATATTTTTTTAAAGTTTTGTTAAAAATAATATTTTTAAGGGCTTGGTTATTATATCATCTTTATTGGAATCATTCTATGCTACTTGTATGTTTAATATTTAAATATATAACTTTAATTAAAAATTGGAAAATTATTTTTTTTGGAAAAAAAGTTTTGCTTTAATTAATTCTGAAAATTTTAATGATTGTAATAATTAAATGTTGGGAATATTTGAAAGGGAAATTGTTTAATTTAAAAACTTTAATTTTTTAGGGACACGAATATATTCCTTATCCATATGAATATACAGACGAAGAATTGGGTATTCCTCCAGATGATGCGCCTGATCCAGAATATTGGGGTAATCATGACAAACCTTATCGAACATACCGATGAGTGTTGAAAATAGAGAAAAGAGAAAAGAAATTATTTTAAAAAAGTAAATGTAAATGTAGGTTTTAACAGAAATGTCCAGATTTTCTCAATATTCTTTTGTTAATATATTAAAAGTTGAAATTAAAATGTATTGGACATTTCTGTTCTCATTTTATTTGTTTGTTTGTTTTAATATTGCAGTAAAGGTTAAAAAAGTAAATTTTTTTGAAAACTTTGTGTTTTTATTAGAAATTTTGAAAAAAACCAAATCCTTAAGTTACTGAAATAATGAACCAAACCGAAATTTCAGTTAGGTTGAGTGAAACCGATAACCTTAAATATGGTTCAAATCGATCCTAAAACTGTATTGATTAAGACTTCAATGGGTATGTTTCGAACTTTGGCAGTATCCCCGGGAATTCCCTGACCCGGGTAACCTTAGTTTTTATTTTCATACTTTGAAATTTCAACATTTTGTCTGTCAATAATTTTTACTCTTTATGAGAGGAAGAGTTGTGAATTTTATGCATTAAAAAATGCAAAATATGCACTATAATATGCGCAAAAAAATACCAAAATATGCACGAAAATATGCAATAAAACCAAAATATGCATGCAAATATGCAAGAAAAATACACTTTTTACCTAGAAATTTTACATTTTTTAGTCAAAAACATTCAAACAACAATTTTTTATTAAGATTACTCCCATTTTAAAGGCATAGTCGACAAATTGAGTATTTTTTACTCTGTTGGACAATATGAGGTTCGGCGTTTTGGCGGTGTGACCTTTTGGCGGTGTGACATTTTGGGGTGGGACATTATGTGTGTGGGCCATTTTTGTGGTGCTCCCGATAAACAAAAAATTTTTTTCCAAAATTTGTAAATTTTACAAATTTTTTCCTAAATTTTTTCAAAATTTTCACTTTTTGGTAGGATTTTGGGCAATTTTTGCGATATTTTCCCCAAAAACCTCAAAATATGCAGCAAAATATGCATTATGCAGCAAAGTCTGAAATATGCAAAAATATGCATTATATGCAAATAGAAACCCCCTCTAAAGTTTTCAAAACATGCGGAAACAGTGTTTTTTGTACATTATACATCATGCCAAGTTTGCAAAAAAATATGCATTTGCATAAAAATCACAACTCTAATGATGAGGGAAGGAGAAAAAAGGAAACATTTGCGAATTTATGGGTAGATACTCCTCAAGTACAAGTTGTTATTCGAGATTGTAATTAAAAATTTCCTTTTATGGTCATCAAAATTAAAAACATTTAATTATAGCCAGGATACTCTTTTCTAGCGCCACAGGAGGAAATTTTTGTAGTCAAAAAATTATTTTCATTTTACCCCTCCTTAGTCCCTTAAGCATTAAAACTTAAAAATTTGATTCTAATATGAGGATATTTGTTAATTTATCTCCTTAACTTTTTTATATTTATTTATTCCAAATATTGTTGTCAAAAAAAGATATTAAGAACAAATAACTTTTAGATAATCTTTCTTTTAGATTTATTTATACGATAACCCCCCCCCCCCCCCCCCCCCGCCTTTCTTAATAATAAAAAGCAACAAGGAGAAAAGAAAAGTTTTTTTAATTTAAAATATACAAAAAACGGCCAAGAAAAGAATTTAAAAAAATAAAGAAAAGTTTGTGTATATTTGTAGATTTAGATCAGTGTAGAAATTAAAAAAAGAAAAGCTAAAAGTTGTTGGACATCTGCAAAGAATTTTTGACCAAATAAATGAAAGAAAAAAAGGTTTTTTTAATGTTTAAATGCTAAAATTGTTTAAAGAATGTAAATAAATAAAAATATTTTTGTTTAAAAATAAAAGTTAAATTAATGTTGCTAATTTAAAAAAAATAGTAAAAAATAATAATATTTTCGAAAAGTTTAGGGCCTTTGGAAAGTACAAATTAAACAAAATATTTCTTTTCAAATTTTATCCTCAAATTTAATTAAATCCCTCCTATTAACTCCTCATTTTAATTTAGAATTTAAAATAAAATTATTTTATATAAAATACGGCGCGCCGAAATTTGCGGATTTTAATTTGCGGACCCGAATTTTGCGGACCCGAACTATGCGGACCAGAATTTTGCGGATATGTGATTTGCGGACATAAAATTTGCGGACTGACAGTAGAGTCTACTGAACTTCGGAAATTTCAAAAATTTTAGCCTGCGGCGTTAATTAGGATAAATTCAGGCATCATGACCATATGAAATGGCCATATAATGATTTTTAAAGAATTTTCTTGATTATTTAAATTATGAAATAATTTTAAGATAAAAAATCAATAAAAAATTTGAAAAATCAAGAAAAATCTTGAATCCGGTACGGATTATCGTAAACTCTGCCGTAATCCTCGAAAAATAAAATTTTTAATTTTTCTTTTTTACTCAAGTGTCGGTCTTAAAATCTTGGTTCCGCAAAAATCAGGTCCGCAAACTTCGTGTCCGCAACCTTCGGGTCCGCAACTTTCGTTCCGCAAAGTTCGGGTCCGCAAAATTCTGGTCCGCAAAGTTCGCGCCACGATAAAATACTGCCCACCCACCCATCCTTTTATTTTTGTTGCGCTCGTGCCTAACAGATTTTTGTCCCCATCAATCCTACAAATTTTTGTTTTAGAAAAAAGAGGCGTTACTTTCTCCCTTTTATTTAACTTTAGCGCATAAATTAAAAGAAATATATTTTTAAGGCCTTTTTTCTAAAAATATTTATTCATCCTTTAAAGGGCCATTTTCTTTTTATTTCTTTTTTTTGTATTAATTCTTCCAGTCGTTTCTTTATTTCAAAATCAATCATTTGCCTAAAACAGAAAAAAATAAAAAAATATTTTTTTTGGAAAATATATTGTTTTAAATTAATAAAAAAATTTTTAATTAATTCATTAATTAATTTTTTAAATTTCTCTCACATTTTCTTTGGTCCATCAGCAACGTTATTATGGCTATAATATGCCTAAATTAGTATAACTGTTGATAGTCTAAAGGAAAGGAAAGAGATAAAATATAAATAATATTTTTTAAAATTATTAATAACTTCTAAAATTTAATAATAAATAAAAGACCCGGAGGATTTTTAAATTTAAATATTTTATTTTTCAATTACTTCTTACCTTCTTTCAAATTTATTTAAATCCCCAATATTTTTTTTAATTTCCAAAAAATTAACTACCTAGTTTTAATTTTAATTCTTTAATTTTTCCCAAAATCTCTCTCAGCTTTTCCTTTTTTTCAAATAAATTTTTATATTTAAAAAAAGCTAAAAACCAGTTCAAAAATAGGATTACTTACCTTTCTTTTTTTATTTTTTCTACGTAAAAATAAATAAACGACCCGGATTTTCTTTATTTTTAATGTGAGAAATGAAAAATTACGGAAATTAACTTACGGCGATATTTTAATAAATGAAAACATATATTTTTACCTTTTATTTAGTTTTTGATTAAATAAATAAATATTTTTTTAAATTAAATAATATACTAATCCACTTTCACTTTTCTTTTTAAAAATAAAAATTAATTAAAATAAATTCTGTTTAAAATTAATTTTCATATTTATTGTTTCTAATTCTTAACTTCCCCCTCCCCCTCCCCCTCCCCCCCCCTCCCCCACCTCCTTCCTTCCCTTTCAAATTTAAATAAAAAAATTGAATAAATATTAAATATTTTAGTCAAATTTCTTTGTAAATAATTAAAAGAAAAAATTGAAAGGATTTATTATTATTAAAATAAATTTAGAACCAGAAAACAGTTAGTAGCGTGTAAAAAAAAAGAAAATATAAATTTAAAAGAAAAAAATTAAAAATTAGATAAAAAATATATTTTTAAATTAAAAAATTGTTTGTTTTTAATTAGTTTTTTACAATTAACTAATTTATTATGAGATATAACAGAACTTAATTCGAATATTAAATTCTCTTATATTTTTGGATTGCATTTATATAATTAGTTTAGTTTAATTAATTTTATTTTAAAATAATTTTTACTTAAAAATTCTAAAATATTTTAATCTCGAAATTAAATTACAAAAAGGATATAGGTAGATATTTATTTATTTACCGAAGAAAAAGAAAGTGATGACCCTATTCTTTTTCCCCTTTTATTTTCTTGTACTAAAAAGCTTCCCGAATTTAAACAAAAAAACCTTTAAAATAGAAAATAAATCTTTCTCTTTTTTTAATTTAATATTTTTATTTAAAATTTAAAAAGATTTTTTTTTGAAAATAAAATGATTATTAAAAACTTACTACTTCAATTACCCTTACTTTCCCTTCTTTTTTTGTTTCTTTTGAATTTTACTTTTGCCGATGACAAAAATTTATTTCAAACAAAAAATGATAATAAACCAAGTAATTATTCAAAATCGCCTGTAGAAGTTGGTAAGTTGAAAATAAAAAATTTTTCAAAATATTTACATATCTCGAGTAATTAACGAATATAATAAAATCATTAATTAACACAAAATTTTATTTTAACTTTAATTTTTATATATTTTTTGGAGGTTGGGGACTTTATTGTTTTTTTTTTTAATTTCAAAAACCTAACAGTATTTTGGTTCTAGGAAGTAGTTGATAACCCTATTGAAGTATAATATACATATAAATTTATTAATTTTTCAGCATTATGTGAGGGTTCAGCAAGTGCTTTCTTTGTCAGCGGTAATCTACATAATTTTTAATTTTAAATTAAATATTTATTTATTTATTTAGATAATATAAATATTCAAGAGAATATAAAACCTTCCTCAATAATTAGAGGAATTAATGAACAACAATGTATTGAATTTTGTAAAAATAATAGAGATCAGAATGGACGGACATTACTTTGTTAGTTTTTGAATAAATAAATTTAGAGAAATTTGGTTTAATACAAAATTTTTTAAAAAATAATCTTTTGATTCTTAACGAAAATTAAATTCGTATCTTTTTTTACTTAAATTTTCAAAAATTAAAATATTTTAAAATAATTTTTAATTTCCTCCTAAATAAATCTCCCCAATTACAATTTAAAAATACACAAATAATTTTAATTAAAGGTTCTCTCCTCATTTATCGAAGTGAAGTCCAGGAATGTCGTTTATTTAGACACACAACATTTCCAGACGGAGAATTATTTAGGCAATCATTGGAGGGTTATCGTTTAATCGAAAAGTTTTGCTTATCAGAAGATGTTTCAATGGAATGTGCTTCCAAACAATTTATTAGAGTAGATAATTATATATTGAGGGGGTATGCACAATCAACAACAACAGTCCCAACATTGGCTGAATGTGTTAGTGAATGTATGAAGGAAAAAGAATTTAATTGTTTGTCGGCAATGTATTTTTACGAGGAAGGGGAATGTATTACAAATACGGAATCTGCAATAACTGCTCCTGATGATTTTCAGCCACCTGAGGAAGATGACCAAAAAGTTGTTTTCTTTCATAATGCTTGTAGTAAAGGTAATTAAATGAAGGGAATTGGATTGAGGGGGGGGGGGGGGGGTTTAAATAAATATTAATTTTTGAAGATTTCTATGAATATACTCCCCACCCTACTTTCTTGAATTTTTCTATAGTCTTTTTTTTTATCAATTATCGTATTTCTTACTTTTTCAATACTTTGCAAGAGAAATGTTTGATTAACTAGATAAATATTTTCGGAATTTTTTTTATTTAAACATATTTAAAAAATTCATAAAAATTTTATAGGAAATGATCATCAATTAGAATTAGCACAATCACAAGATTCTGCAATAACAAGTACATCTGCATTAATACAACAAGATGAAATTACAACAAAAGGTGTAGTTAGTAAATTTAAAAATAATTTAATTGAAATTTTAGATTTAATATTTACTTCTTCTACTTCTTCTACTTCCTCCTCCCCAACTACTTCCTCCTCTTCTCCAACATTATTAACTACAACTTCTTTACCTTTATCTAGTACAGAAGAAAATAAAAATAATTTATTTATTCAAGAAAATAATAAAAATGAGGAACAAAATAAGTAAAATAATATTTAATTTTTAAATTTAAAATTTTTATTTAAAGTATTTTAATCCCCGAAATAAATACTGTAAGAACAACAAAAATATCAGAAGAATCAGAAAAACAAAAAGAAGAATTAAATAATCAGAAGAATTCTTTTTCAGAAAATAAAAATAAATTAACCAATTCTTCTTCTGTTTTTGTTTTACCAGAAGAAGAGAACAATAATCAACAAAAACAACAACAAATATTAATACCCAAAGTTTATTTACCTCAAAAAGAAGAAAATAATAATTTAGAACAAAATGATAATAATTTAATTATTCAACAACAACAACCTTTACAAAGACAATATGGAGCTAAAAATATTGTAAAATTAATTAATTAATTATTTTTAATAATAATTCTTTTTCAATAAAATAAAATACATTATTTACCATATATCCTGTATTAATTGCCCTCCCTCAAATAATTACTCCATTTCTATTAATTACCCTCTCCAGCGATAGATTGAAACATTAATTGCCCCCATCAAATGCCCTAAAATTCAAATTTCAAACCTCATATAGTTACCCTCTCTTAATTACTCCCTCCAACGGAAGATCGTAACATTAATTACCCAGAATAATTATTCAAAGTTTTACGGTATATTTACTGTGGTGTGTTAAGGGATAATATTGGCACTACTAAAAATAAATTAGTGTTCATACATATACATAATATCCTCATTATTTTTCTCTAATTTTTTTTAAATTCAAACAATTTATATTTAAAAAATTTTAACAAATAAAAATATTTTTTTATTTTTATATAAAATTAAAATAATTTATTTTTATATTTAGGAACGTGCCTCAGACGGTTCTTTTCAAGAAAAAATTCTCATAAATTCTTCTGATGATTTGCTACCACTATCTAAATCAAATAATTTAATTAAACCAACAAATTTAAACAGAAAAGGGCCAGAATCAACAAAAAGATTACATTTAAAATTAATTAAAGATCAACAACCAAAAGTAAAATTTTGAGAAAAAAATAAATTTTCAATAAAATATTTATTTAATTTTAGCCAGATTTAAATAAAATTATTTTTTCTCCTTCTTCAACAACAATACCAACAATTTCCAATACTTTACCTCCAAAAATTCACAAATTAATTCCAAAAAATTATATTCAACAATCATTACCTTTAATTTATTCTTCTTCTCCCCCTTCTACTCCCCCTCCTCCACCTCCCCCTCCTTCTACAACAACACCTCCATTAATTCCTTCAACAATAAAAGAACAAAAACAGCCGGAATTTATTCCTTTAGAATTATCAGAACCTTTAGCAGAACATTCTGCTGAAGAACGTTTTGAAGGTTCTGAAGGGTATTTTAGTCTTTGGGGGCCGTGGACGCCTTGCAATATTCCTGGAGAAAGAAGAATTAGAAGACGGAAATGTTTAGATTTAAGAAAATGTAGAGGGTCTTTAACTCAAGTTGATTATTGTCCAACAAATATTGATGAAGAACAAAAAATTAATGAAAAACAAATTAATGGTAGAGAGAAATGATATACCGTATTAATTACTCTATTGATTACCCTCCCTCAAGTAATTACCCCGCCCCCCCCCCCCCCCTCTGTTAGTTACCCTCTCCAGCGAGAGGTTGAAATATTGCCCAGGGTAATTAATAGAGTATATACGGTATGTAGACTTTTTAAAATTAATTTTTAATTTTTAAAAAAGAATTATCATTGCCTTCTCCTCCTCCTCCTTCTGAAAATTTTAACAACAAAAATAATAATGAAGAAGAGCCTAAACCTCCCGGAATTACCCCTCCACCTTCACATGAAATGATAGAAAATATTGACAAACAAAAGGAATTAATAGTTAATTAATTTTAATTAAAAAATAATTTTATTTTATTTTTTCTAGTTAAATAAACACCAAAAACAATTTGGAATAAAAAATGAAAATAATTCGGAAATTTGGTCTGCCTGGAATGGAACTTGTCAAGTAAAAAGGAATAATTTTAAAAATAATTTAAAATTATTCTCTAAAGCATTTTGCAAGTAGTCAACCATGCAAAGATGGACAAGTTATTGGTTTTGAATCTCGTGAATGTATTGCTAAAGACCCCCTTTTTTGTAAAGGACCTTTCTTTAGGTAAAAGTTTATAATTAATTGTTAATTTTTAAAAAATATATTTAGATATTGTACATTGCCTTGTTGATTATTTTGTAAATAAAATACATATTATCTTCAAAAATGTGATTATGCCTTCTTGTTTACACATTTATTTTTAAAAAATATTTGTTTTTAAATTTATCTTTTTATCATACAACAAAAATATACATAGAAAAACAATATATATACATAAATATTCTCTATTTATTTATCAAGCATTCGAATTATTATTAGAGCCAACAGAAACATTCGAGTTTGTAGAATTCCCTGTCCTCGTATTACTACCACTATTCCCTTCATTGTTGCTATTAGTGTTTGTCCTTTCTTCTTCTGATATTGGAGGTGTTGTCGGTCTAGCCTAGAATTTTTATAAGTTTTTTTTAAAAATTCTACAAAATTTTTCGTTTACATTAGCAGATCCACTCGTCACTCCATTCTTCGTAGTAGAAGACACCAAATTTGCAGTTTTCTTCACATTCGGTGTTGAAATATCTTCATCACTCTGTGTCCTTGGATCATCATTTACTGTTCTTCTAGTCTCTGTTTGGGAAGCTGTATGAAGTCTTGCCTTTTTAAATAAAAAAATTTAAAAACAAAAATTACTAATTTCCCCAACAACTTACCACAGCAAATCCACTTGTTGCTCCACTAAATTTTGGTGGAGTAAGTTTTGTTTTTGCAGTCTTCACATCTTTTGGAGTTTTCACTTCAGTTGAAGTTGTGGTGCCTGACTTCTTTACTTCTTCTTTTACTGCTTCCTTTACTTCAATGGCTTCCTTTACTTCTTTGGGTTTTTGTTCCTCTCCTTCTTTTGGTTTTTGGACTTCCTTCACAACCACTTCGGTTGTTTGTTTTGGAGTTTGTTGTTGTTGTTGGACTTCTTGTTGTGTTTGTGTTGGTTGAACCTGAGCTGTTTGTACCGAAGATTGCGATGCTGTGACACGGAAACCAGTGGCACGAACTTCTCGGGGAAGCTGAATTTAAAAAAAAATTAGATGTCGCTAAAGCAATATTTGCTTCTTACAAGCTCATCAGAACCAAAAAACTCAATTTCATCATCATCATCTTCTTCTTCAGCTGGCTGTGTTGGGGTTCTAACAACCATTTGTGGTGTATTTAGAACATTACCCTCATCTGTCCCAGTTAATTCCCTAACTGGAACCATTATTTCTTCAATATTCATCAGAACAAGTTGCATCTGAAAATCATTTTCATTCTCAGGCGCTATTTGAGGAGCATCCACAAAGAAAGAACGGCCAATCTTTTCAGCAAATGGATCCATTGGAATAGCCTGATTGATAATATCGACATCTTTGATCTGAAAAAACAAAAAAATATTTTTTGTGTAATGTTTGTAAACACACAATTTTCCTTTCATGTTGATGTGAAAAATTTGACCCACGATAGAGGACAACACTATCATCAAATCCAATGATGATTCGAAGACGAGCAGGACAAACATAGCAACCATCTATTTGGAACTGAAAAGGGATAAGGAATTGGATTTTTTGTTTAAAAGTTTTTTACAAATAATCTTGCCTTGCATCGCCAATATTCCACACTTCCTCGTGGATGTGGCTGGCGAGAGTTGACCTTCCAGTTTCGTCCTTCATCCTTCTCCCACCAATCAGAGAATGCGCGAAAAGTTGGAAAGCTCCGGAATTCATGATATTTCGCATCCTTCTCCTTGCGTCGTCGACGTCCAACCCGTGCGGCGATGGTGCTGCCGGAGACCGCTGGACTTTGCGACATGATGAATTGAATGAGTTGGAGAAATCTAACATTCGTAACATTTCTTTGCGTTTTTATAGCAACTTGTCTTCACTTAAGACTTTTTTACTTAAGAAAGTTGACTTAAGAAAGTTGATTTCAACTTACTTAAAAAAGTTGAAATAACGTGAAAAATAGACTTAGGTATAGGTAACCAACATAATCCTTACCTAAACTCGAGTGGCAATTTTCGGTCATTATATTTATAAAAGAAAAAATATTCAAATCCTTATATTAGTCAATATACCAGTTGTGCCACAAACTATCGCAAGCGCTATATTTTATGGATAAAATTTTAATAATAAATTTCAACACAAATTGACGCGAATAAAATATTTATTTAAAAAGAAATTTTTTTCTAACAAATTCAGAAAAATATTTAAACAAGGACTTTTTTTAGTTCTATTCTTTTAAAAATTCAATTGTTTCTTTAAAATCATCTTCTCCCCTTTCTTCAATCTTTGCACGCATCAATCCGGGCGCTAATGATATTTTTCGAAAATTTGAGTCAATATTTAAAACTTAATTATTTTAAATTAAAATTTAAATAAATTTAAATACCTTCAGTAGAAAAACTATTTTTTATTGCAACAGCAGCTACAGCACAACGATGTACTAATTTATCCATTCCATTTATATCACAATTTTCCAAAGCTTTATTAAAACAATCAAATAATTTATCTGGGCCATCCAACTGGACATAACGACTTTAAAAAATAAAAAATATTTTGAAAATAATTTTTAAATTTACATTAAAGCAGGCAAATAACTTTTCACCATAGCAGAAATGGCACCAACACTTTTGTGTCTATATTCCTAAAAAATATTTAGAAAAAAAATGAAATAAAAATTCCAACCACAGTTTTAGATTCATTTCCAATAATCTTTAAACATTCTTCTAAAAAGGATTCTTTCAAAAATAATTGTTGTACTTTATTATTATATTGTGCCAATACACCAATTAAATGTGTAAAAGGAGCACTAACAAAATCACAATCTTTTGCCTTAAAAAGTAAAAAAAATTTAATAGATTATATAAATTATGATTCCAAAATTAGGCAGCTAAATCAATAGATGGGCAATTTGATTTTTTAAAAGCTCAATTTAAAAAAAAATCAATCGAATTAGTAGGATGTAGACTTTACAAAAATATATTTACAATAGATTGTTGAATCGAACGGAATTTTTTCTGAAAAATTTGAGTTTAAATGAAACATAAAATAAGATTTCTGACTTTTATCTCAAAAAGTTCAAAGAAATAAAATTTCTAAAAATTTACCAGAAATTTCTTCACCAAAGCTAGTCCACCAATATTACAAAAAATAAGTGCCAAATCAATGTCACATACCAAATCACCTGTTAAAATACTCAATTTACAAAAATAATTTTAAAAAACCTATTTCATCCAAAATATCATTAATATCGGCCGAATTATTTTCATTCGGTTCTTCAATTTCCTCCAATCTCTGCATCCATCTTTTTAATTTTTTGACAGGATCGGTATCTTCAGAAATGTGTTCTAATGCATTTTCCAACCAAACCCGATTCTAGAAAAATACTTTAAAATAAAAAAAACATTTTAAACCTCTTCAGACATTTGAGAAACACTAGGATCTGCTGGCCTATCGCCCTGTGCTTCTGTAGCAAATGCAAGTAACTGATTGAACATTGGATTGCTGCTTGACTGCTGTCCATCACCGCTAGCCATTTTTAATTTTATGACAATAAATTTGTAAAAAAAGAACAAATCTGAAATAAAAAAACAATTTTTAAAAGGAATTTTCACATTTAAAATTCCTTCAATATTTAAAAACAACTGCAGTAATATCGATTAAGTTTTGGGGAAGAATAAATCGATAATATTAATTAAATAACACCTTGAAAATGGTAGAATGTGTTTTAACAATTATAAAAAATAAATATACTACTGAAAGTAATTAAAAATTACTAACAAAAAAATCAAGAAATAATAAAAAAAATATAATTTTATAAAACAATTGTTGTCTAAAAATGAATAAAATGCTTTCTTTATTCAGAAATATTTATATTGTACAGTAAATGCTCTAATAAAAAGGGAAATCAATTTGTGTTTAACCACTAAAAATACCCTCTAAGTTAGAACATTTTGTTAAAATTCACAACAATTAACAAGTCAAAATGTGTTGTGAGTGGTGCAAAATTGAAGGGAAATACAAAACAAAAATTCGATTGAATATAAAAAATAATGATTAACATAATCTAAACAAATGAAGTCTCACAGAGTAAGTCAACAAAAAAGCAAGAAAAAAAATCCACCAATAATCCCAAAGTCAATCTTTTAGTTGAGACAAGTTTCATTTTGATACACTTTCAATGTATTTTTTAAATTTTCTCTTTTTTCTTCATCAAAAAATTCTTCTGATTTTTGTTTAATCGAATAAAGCAAATGCCAAATTTCATCACATCGACAAAGTTCATGGGCATCTTTATGTTGATGTTGCCACCATTTTAATTCTTTCTGTTGTATATAAGAACTAGTAACACATTTCTGTAATATAAAAACAAAATAAAGAAAAAAAATAAAAGTTTTAGAACCGCTGTTCTGTCTAATTCCAATGAATAAAGAATAAATTGAGATGAACGTCCGGCTTGCCAATCAGGGTTAAAACAAACATAGCCATGCCCTTCAGTGGGCCAATCTTCTTCTTCGGTTTTTGTTTTCCTGGTAATCAAACCCATTGAATCAGAAATTGGTCCAAAATTTCTGCTCATGTGAGTATCATCCATTTGGAAAATATAACAACGAAAATAATCCTCGAACTAAAAATAAAAATGTTAAAAAACATAGGATTAAATCCAAATTATTTCCGCAAAAAATCTCACAATAAGCTTGTTCCCCAGATAATAAGTGTCAATTGGTTTACGTCGTTCTTCTGAAATAAGTTGATAATTTCCAATTAGATAAACTTGTTTTAGTGGCCAATAAGCAGCAGAAAAATAGAAGAAGTGTCCCATTTTTATATTAAAAATGTCTGGATTGGAGAGAAAAATACGCTTTTGCGGGTGATTTTCAGAAAATATAGCATTTGTTTCTAAATCAACTATTAGACCAATTCCAAATATCTAAATGAAAAAAAATAAAATTTTGGTCGTAAGAATATTAAATATTTACATTTGGATAGCTCATCATCTTCTCAGAAGCAGAAAATTCTCCAATACTTTTATTTAATTCTGAAATGGAAAAATGCGCCAAACGCTCATGTTCTGGTTCAAGTCTAACCCATACAGGACATCCCTTCTCTCTATGGGCATCCAAAGAAACATTTCGCAAAATACTTAATAATTTAATAATCAGATTAAAAAATAAATTACAAACAATTTAGGATCAGCAATTAAAATATTTTCAAATGGATCACAAATATACAAATTTTTGAACAATGGTGACTCGCGAATTCGGACAAAATACTAAAATAATTAAATTAAAATTATTTTCTATGCAAAGGAAGTTTTAAATGGAAAGAAACAGTAATGTTCATGAGTAATAAGGGCATATAAAAACAAAACACCCCAACCTCATTTACTGGATTTCCGCTATCAATAACAATCCGTTTCTCTAGTTGACTTTGTGTAGCCTCTCCTTCCTTCGATAAACGATAATTCTGAACATAATAACACGAAATGAATTCTAAAAATCTTAAATTACAATTTTTAAATATAAAATTACCATTATAAATAATCCAACCAAAGAAAAATTGCCCTTCATTTAATGGAGGATAACGTAAACGGATATCAACTGAAATACTTTCCCAAATCATTCTCTCCATTCCCAAAGTAATTTTGACTTGAGTCCTTGGCCAACGTGCACGAATAACACGGTTGTTTTCAAAGTACCAAAGGCGAACTTTTGAAAGCGCTCTTGTCGGAAAAGGAGGTTTGTTTTGGTTTTGTTTATAAAAATGAACAATTCCTTCTTCTCCATAGTCCCAATAAATAAGTTGCGGTTTAATTTCTCCACTCTCAACTTTTTTTGTATTCCATGGCTATAAAAATTATTAAATAAATTAAATAATCTATTCTTAAAATATACACAAATTCGAAGAATGTCGACATGCTCACTGTACCTGAATAAAAGGCATTTTGTCAACACGAAAAAATCGTTGTTTCGTCCCACAGAACAAATCCGTTGTCCTGTCCCTGATAATTTCAAAACTATATTGTCAAATAACGAAACAAAAAATAATTTAAGGAAAATGTAATTGAAACGTTGGATTTATTCGGTAGGACGAAAGGATGAACGGGGACGAAACAGGAGGGATGAGACGACGCTCGCCGTACCTGAAATATTTAATTAAATTTAAAGTTATAAAAATTTTACAATTTGCTTTGCAGTGGTTTAACACGGATAAGTTTGACCAATTCAGGACGAATTTCAACTTGAGTGGCTGCACTAACTCTTGAACCATCATCATTTCGGATAAATAGTTTGCAATCGACGAATGCCTCATATACCACATTTGGAATTGGAGTAGCGTTTAAACCTCGAGGTGGGAGAAAAACTTCTCCGAGTTCCTTACTAAAGCATCGTTGAGGAAATTCATCGGATAAAACACAATTCACTTTGAAAAACTAAAATGAAGAAAATGTTTTTTCTACCGAAGATTTAAAATTAATAAAACTTACGCGTGAATCTGTTGGGAGATGTGAATCATTTTTAGTTGTGTTGATATAAGCCTTAAGCAAATGATAAAAAATTAACATTAAAATTAACTTTGACTGTAAAATCTTTATCACCAACAGGATCAACCTTCACTAAGAATCTAACGTTGTGACCAGGACTAAGACCATTATGAGTGTCGAATCTAAAATCACTGGAAATTAAAATATAGAATAATAAATAAACTTGGATTGCAACGATTTAGTAAGTCTATAACATGACAGTGAGCAAAAAATAGAACTGAAAGAAAAATATATAATGGATTAAAAATATGGAAATTTATTCTAATCCCTAACAGATTACCGAATTCAATAATTTAATGAAATTTTCCTACAGGTCACCTATGTTTGACAGGTTCCCAAATTTTGAGTTTGCGTAAAGGACATTTCAAATAGAGACAAACCAGTATAGTGTTCACGGAAAAAGGGGGTGTAAAAAACAATACACCATTAGCACAAGCATTATTCAGCTTTTAGATTAAATATTAAATTAAAAATAATTTTAAATTAAAAATTTTTAAATTAAAAACTACAAATCAAAATACCTAGGAATCAAATAAGTAAATTCTTCATATCTTGACCAAGCCACACCTGGGTACTCAGAGGAAACACCATGCAAAACACGAGCATAAATACTAAAATGTGATTAATTTTAGTTGGGTAAAAAATCTACTGATGTTAGCAAATAAAGTACTACAATAATCATTAAAACACGAAACGAAACCAGAGCTTATAGAATCTAGACTGGGTTATGATCGTGCATTTAAACCACTTCAAAGACGCGTTTTTGCATAAAGCCCAACCTCAAACTCATAACCAACGTTAATCACCTACAATTAACTAATAATAAAAAAACTTACTCTCTGTATTTTTCCGGCCAATCCTTTAATACATTCTTAACGCCACTTTGATGTGAATCCATCTCAATAGTAACAATAAGATTAATAAGTCTAAAATAATTATAAGAAAAATGAAATTTGAAAAATACAGTGTCTCAAACATTTAATGAATTACTAAAAAAGATAAGGCAGAAATTTTACTAAAAACACAAGCAAATGAAAAATAAACTACATATTCTATTTATCAAATTGAGCTAATTCACTTTCAATATCCTTCAAGCTTGCCTCCAAATCATGTTTGGTCTTTCTAACTTGTGCGAGATGAGCTCTGTTCACATCTAACTGAAACAATAAATTGTAAAAATTATTTTTTAAAGTTACAAACCTTCTTCTCAAGATCTTGCAACTCTTCCTGAACATCCTTGACTTCTTTTGTGGCCTCCTGATAGTTCTTAATCTCTAAATAAAAAAAGAAAAATAAAACCAAATATTACGTCAATACTTACCTTCATCAATTTTGAAAACCATCACCCCAGAAGAAAATTTTAAAGAAAATTCACTCAATTCTTCGTTTTTCATTTTTGTTACAAGAAGTCTATCGCGAAGCTGTCTAAGTTGTCCATTAGCTATAGCCTTTTTATCCTTGGTTAAGTCCAATTCGTTATTGTATTTATTGAAATCCTCCATTGGTCCACTGAAATAAATTTTAAAATATAAATATAAAAAATAAATATAAAAATCTAACATCATATCGGCACTATGCAGCGCATCATGGTAATCAAAAATTTCATTCCTATGAGCTTCTTGGCCATGAGGTGCTCGCTTAGTAGCTGAACCAAGACATTTCACATGAATCATCTAAAAAAGCAATGTCAAATAAAATAGCAATTTTAACACAAGTGTTTAATTTATTAATACCCTAATTTATTAATACCAAGATCAAAGAACTTAAACAACAAATGACGAAAATACAATATACTCGTCTCAAAGGAACGCCCTAAAACGTTAACTTTTTCACCTCACACATCGAGTCCACATGACGAACCATTGTCTTCTCATAAATATCATTTGTATGTTGTCTCTTCTCCATTTTTAATTTACAAATAGCACAAAAAGTACGTTTAAAAGAAATTTTGAAATAACAATTGAAATTTAGAGAAAAGGTAAACTATGAAAGTAAACAAACATTTAATGACATAATTGTAAAATTCAATTTAAATTAACTAACTTTTATGCGGCAGAATAAAACTTCATAAAGAATACTGATATTTAACAAAAACGCCGTAAACATTAGATGCTGAATGTATAAAATTAAAATTCCAAAAATTAAAAATCCAAAAGAAAAAAATTCTTTTGCAAATATTGCTTATAAAGTTCAATAAAAAATTAAACATTCTGCATCTTTGATAAAATTAATAATTGCTCATATACGTAAAAGTAAATTATAAGAGAAATGATGCCAAGCAAAAATAAACGCTTGTCTTTTAAATATCCATTTCGATTCGATTATAACACTTCAATTACGACGGCTACGACCAAAACCTCCAACGACTGGCGAGATCATAGCACCTTAAATATAAAACATTTAAAAATTTAGAGGTTAATGTTATATTTGAAGACAATTACTAAATTTAAAAACCTGGAGTAACAATAGTTGAAGTAACGACCACCGACGATTCTACAACCTTGTTGTCATCATTGTTGTTGTTGTTCTCCTTCTCCTCAAAATCACCAGTACTCCCACCATCTATTTTTGCCGAAGCATTATCATCTTCACCATCGCCCTCTAAAACTCCTTGTTGTTTACAACTAACAATAAGCTTCTCAGAATCTTCTTCGTTCTCAACATTGTCGCCCTCCTCCTCACTTTCCTTATTAATGCACTCATCTTCAGGCTTGCATGCCGGCTTTGCCACAGAATAAGGAGACTCGCTGCCAGTTTGTGAAGAGTTGTCGTCGTCCGATGCATCAGAGACATCATCAGTGAAATTTCCGCCTCGGCTTGGCCACGGAGTCTTATTAACCGATTTTTCCTGCAAAAGAAAATTAAAAATAAGGTACAGCATTCAGAAAATATTACCCCAAGATTCGCTCTGTTGCCGCCGGTGCCCAATGGTTGCTTAGACTGATACTGCTTACGCTCATAAGCATTTTTATGTTGCTGAATTCCACCAGACGATCTCCCGACATTAGAAGGTGCACTACTAGGAACCCAACCACTTCCATAACCAACAGTAGACGCAGGACTACCAATCGCCGACAAACGCTTTGAAGTAGGTCGAGCTCCACCTCCATGATGAGGATGACCATTCGCAAGATTTGGTGATCGCGGATAGTAAGAAACACGCCCAGTTGTAGTAGTGTGCAAGGAATGTCTAGCACCACTCGAATAATGTTGCATAGAATTTCGAGGAGGATGTCCACCATGGCTATCACGATTAATCAACGCTTCGAGCTAAAATAATTGAATGAGATAGAAAACTCATAAGACATGCCTTAGCCTCAATAATATCCAGTCTTTTCTCAAGCTGCTGATTGTGTTTTTCAATTCGTGCGAGATGAAGAGCGCTATTTTGGCGTATTTCATGTTTCATCTTCTGCAATGAAAAGATTTAGAGAATATATCTTCTGCATAAGAAAACTTACCAATTCAAGGTCCAAAATGGCCCTCGCAAGAAGTTGCTCAATTGTATTGTCAACCGACATTGTGTAACTTCGAATCGAATAAAAATAAAATAGAGATCGTGTAAAATATTCTGCAATGCGAAAAAATTATGAATTGAAATAGAAAATTTTTTTTAAATATAGGTTAAAAATGAATAAGTCAACTTATAATTTAGACCTTAGAAGGAAGCAGCTTAAAATAACCCATGGTGTTGGGTTTCAGCGCAGTACCTGTATCCTAATTATTAAACGAAAAACAAATTTAGAAAACTCGCTTACTTGGGTTAAACTTAAAAAATACTTAAGCCTACAACGTACTAGCCCTAAACTAATCAGTCAGGCAAAAAAGTAAGATTCTACTGAAATTTCGTCCAACTTCAAATTTCGTCCAACAAGGTTAATTGATAAGAATTAACCTCGATAAAAAAACTAGAAAACTGCAAAAAAAATTTTAAAAAGCACACCTTCAAAAAATTTTTAAATACAAAAAGTTTGTTTCATTTTGTCAATTAATTTTTGGTCATTAAACTTAAAAACAAAATTTCGCCAATAAAATTTAGTAAAATGTCAATTTGGTAACACACAATATGTAGAATATTTTTATTTTAGAGTGGGTATTTTTTGTTCTTTTTTGGGTTTTTAAGTTTCTTTATCTCTTATATTTTTTAGTTAATTAATCAACTATTTTAATGCTTGAACCATTTATCAACGCAAAATCTTGTGGCAAACTCAAAATTGCTGTTAGTTGTTCATCTAATATGAACAGAAGTATGGAAGCACATTACTTTCTAAAGTTAGTTTTCTAAATTATTTTTTATTTTTATTATTTTTAGGCAACGTGGGTTTAATGTCCAAAGTTTTGGTTCTGGAAATTATGTAAAGCTGCCTGGACCAAGTATTGACAAACCAAATATTTACGATTTTGATTCGATTACTTATGATGAAATTTATCAGGATTTGAAAAACAAAGATTCGAAATTGTAAGTCTTTAAAGAGTATAATCTACGAGTATAATTGTGTTTATTTTTTAGATATACACAGAATGGGCTTTTGAACATGCTTGATAGAAATAGAAGGATAAAGTAAATTAAAAAAAATATTTTTATCTAAATTTCCAAACTAAAAATTTTCTACATTTGCCAATAAATTTTTTATTAATTTTAGAAAATGTCCCCAAAAATTCCAAACTTGTCAAGAACATTTTTCTATCATAATTTGTATGGAAGAACGAGTTTACGATCAAATTGTTGATTTTCTGCAAACAAATGAAAGTTCTAACAGTACAGGAGAGTGTGTACATATAATTAATTTTGACATTCAAGATAATCACGAAGAAGCGACTATTGGAGCTTTAATTGTGGTACAATTGTGCAAAAAGGTTTTTTAAATAAATGTCCTTTAAATTAAAGAATTTTTTAAGTTGGAAGAATGTGAAGATTTGGATAACGAAATTGATGAAGTTTTGAGCGATTTCGAATTGGAAAATCAAGGAAGGAATCTTTTACATACAATATGTTTTTATTGACGTTTGTATTTTTTAAGTTTAAAGAAAGTTTTTAGTGTCCTATTTAAAAATCTTTTACACCCGGTTGGTTACAAGCCCTATGACTGACCGATATTTGTAATCTTTTTCTAATTATAGATTTATTACAAAACTCGTATAAAATTTTAATCGTTGTAAATTTTGATATTTTTAATTTTAACATAAGCATAAATGTGATCTATAAAAATTTGTTTATTTACTTATTTTTTATTAATATTTTATACATTTTTAAATTTTGTTTTTTCCCATTTGATTTTTTTAATTTTAAATTTCGTGATGTGAGTAAAGAAAAAAGAGAAGGGTGTACTGAATTAAGAATTGCCGATTTTCTGTCAATTTTGCCAAATCAATATTAATTTTTTTGGCAAGTCAATATAGAATTTTTACTTTATTAAGGGGATGGATGAACACGTTAATTTCCTCCCACTTGCTCCACACTTTTCAAAATAAACAATAACAGGCCCGTAGCCAGGATTTTTTTTCGAGGGGGGGAAATTTTTTTGCGCCAAATTTTTGGCGCCGAAGGCGCCAAAAATTTTTATTTTCAGCGCCGCAGGCGAAAATTTTGAGAATTTTAGAAGGCCGTAGGCCAAAAAAATTCACTTTTTCGGCGCCGCAGGCGCCAAAAATTTGATTTTCAGCGCCGCAGGCGAAAATTTTTTGAATTTTGGATCTAAAGAAGCCAGATTTCTTCCTTTTTAGCGCCGCAGGCGAAAATTTTTTAAATTTCAGAGGCCGTAGGCCAAAAAAATTCACTTTTTTTGCCCCAGCCCTTCCCCAAATTTTTTCCTTTTTCCCATTTCGGGGGGGGGGGGGGAATTCCCCCCCTCACCCCCCCCCCCCTGGCTACGGGCCTGAACAATAAGACCAACTAAAATTTCATCTCTATTCTTTGGATTCCTTTTCTCCTTTATTCTTTCTCAAATTTTATCTTAAAAAATCCTATAAATTTCAAATATTTCCATAATTTCATGGTGGCCTTTTTTTTAATTTCGAATTTCTAACTTCCATGCATTTTTAAATTGTCTCATGTCAATTGTAAAAAATTTTTCGTTTGCCTTTTTTACATTTTTTTCTTTTTTTTATTCACTCTATTTCTTTTCTTATTTATCTCCAACTCATTCTTCTCTAAACAATCATTCCAACCACGTTAATATAAAATTCGTTCTCTTGCTCTCGCCTTTAGCGACACAGAGCCCTTCAGCCGCTGACTTAAACCGATTTGCGATTCGATTTCATTCCGCTATTAACCAGTCATCATCAATAGATATAATACAACAATTATATTTTCTAACCTCCACGAATCGCGTTTTTTATTCGTGTCTTTTTTAACATTAATTATTTGTATGTAAAACTTTTCTAATTTTTTAAGAAAAACTTTGCAGATATCATTATTATTTATATTACACATATATTTTGTTAAAATGACTTCACGCGAAGACGAGTATGACTATCTATTTAAAGGTTAATTTCTTAAATTTAATAAAAAAATATGAGGTTTTTTTAAATGATTTTGTCACTTGGGTTGCTTCTTTAGCTTCCGCTATCATTCAGTTTTTATCTATAAATAGGCTTAAAAGGTTACTCAAGTATTATTTTATAGTTGTTTTGATTGGCGATTCCGGCGTTGGAAAATCTAATTTACTTTCGCGATTCACTCGAAATGAGTTTAATTTGGAATCGAGATCTACCATTGGTGTTGAATTTGCTACGAGAAGCATTCAGGTTTTTTATAATTTGTTCTTATCAGTTAAAATATAAAATCCTTCATAGGTTGACGGGAAAACTGTAAAAGCGCAGATATGGGACACGGCAGGGCAAGAACGCTACCGGGCGATTACTTCAGCTTATTATCGTGGAGCTGTTGGCGCTCTTCTTGTTTATGACATTGCCAAGCATGTGACATATGAAAGCGTGGATCGTTGGCTTAAAGGTGATTTTTTCATAATGGGATACCAAAAAATATTACAAAATCATATACGTTTTTTTGTAAACGTTTCGGGTAGTGCCTTTTTCCATTGGGCCACCGAAACTTAATAAATTTATAGAATTGCGTGATCATGCTGATCAAAACATTGTTATTATGTTGGTTGGTAACAAAAGCGATTTACGCCATCTGCGTGCAGTACCAACCGAAGAGGCACGTGCTTATGCAGAGAGAAATCAGCTTAGTTTTATTGAGACTAGTGCTTTGGATTCAACAAATGTTGAAGCTGCGTTCACCAACAGTTTGACCGAAATCTACCGTTCTGTTAGCACAAGGTTTCTTATAATATTAATGATATAGACTAGGACAAAATTAATTGGGTTTTAAATAATTTATTGTAGAAAACTTGGAATATAAGGAACTTAGGATCTTTTGAATCTTTTTCCTCTTATGAAGTTTTTAAGAGTTATGATAAGGAATTAGCAAAAATAACTCTGGGCCAAAATTCCCATACTTACAATTACTCTATTTTATCGAATATCAGAAAATCTCGACAAAACATCTGATATTATTATTAATTTTTATATAAATTTAAGGCAAGTTCCACCTGACCGAACAGTGCCAATCAACAGCCAAAACAACATAACGCTTTCTTCAAGCACAGATAAGCAAAAGAAGCCTTGTTGCTCCAATTCGTAAAGGGTAAAGAGACTTTCTATATTTATACGTTGTTGGTGATGGTGTAGAGGTGAAGGGCACAAATGACTTTACCAAGATAATTTTTAAAAAACCTTTGAACACCAAGTGCGTACCCAGTGGTAGGATTTCTGGTATTCTAAAATCATTTTGTTTTTTATCATTTTTCCGGCATTTTATTTTTCATATTTAAGTGAGGTTACAAGCTCTAATATCCTTTCCCCACTAGGTGCACTCTTGGTGAATACACGTAATTTTATGTATTTTTGTGCTGACCATCCTTTAAAAATATTTTTTAATTAAAAGTAAATTTTCTCTTTTTTAATGCTTTTCACACAATCACGCCAAAGAACACTGAAAACAAAAATTTCTTTGAATTCTAGCTTCTAACAATAGGTTCCATTGTCTATGCTTTGATTATTCGAGTTTACAAAGTTATATTCAAAAGATTTTAATAATTAGGGGGGTAGAAATCGAAATTTTAAAAAAATCATTGGCCCGTGGGCTCTTGCTCATTTATTACCTTTTTATATTTAATTTTTTAACCTTTCCTAAATGTCCACGTAAGAAGCTAGAATAGTAGAATATATTCTTATAAATTCTATCACGTGATTTCGTTTAATTCTGTTTGTATTTAAGTGCCTGACTTGTTTGTTTTAAACGTACTATTTTGGTCGGACTATTGGTGATTTTTTTGGATTTTTTAAACATTTTAAGCAAAAATCATTGTATCAAAAAATGAGAGTTAATTTCTTTTCTTTAAATTCAGAGCCCAATTAATGCCGTTTTTTATGATTTATATTACTTTTTTTGTCATACCAAACAGATCAGATTGAAAATAAAAAGTTAAGTAACTTTTTCATCTGGTCGTCATTACCAGTGCTTCGAAGCTCGTACCAAAATTCGTACTCGTACCTGGTACGAGCAAAAATGGGGCGAGTACGAGCAAAATTGAAATTTCGAAGCACTGGTCATTACTAATATTTTACAATCGAATCCCGCTAATACGACACATCCATTCATACATCGGTCCAGTCTAGTCACTAACAAATAAGTTGACTTGGCGGGATTCCATTGTATTTTACAACCTTCCCACCACTAAGCTACAAAAAATTCTTTTTCTCGTAAACTAAATTTTCCCCTTTTCTGCGATTTTATATACTAAATTCCATTATTTTCTAATCTTGCATAAATATTTTGATTTTTATTTAAATAAAAATTTCAATCCAAATATAGAAAATTTAAAATCAAAAAATAATGGTTAAATAAAAAAAGAATTGTTAAAAACATTTGAATTATAAAAAGAGGGAAAGAGCAGACTTAATTTAAAACTAAAATTTAATAAAAATTTTAAACATTTTTTTTGAAAAAAGTCCGCCCTCAAAAAATACAATCTTGTAAAATAAAATGAAAAATTTTTAATTGAAAATAAATGGAAATTGTCTTTACCAAATTGTCTCTCAAACATTCATTCGCTTATCAAAAGGTTTATGTAATGTGCGCAGAAATGAATTTTCATTAGTAGTTTGGTGCATTAAAGTCCAACAAATTTCGCAATAATATTGAAGGCATGTAATGTCAGGACAAAAAAGAGTTGCTGGAATTCGAGCACAAAACTTTCCATGACAATTATCGCATTGCTGGTCATCCATAATGTAAGGCTTGATCTCTAACTGAAAAAGAATTTTTTGGAAAGAGCGAGAAAATTAATAAAAGGAAAAATTTCCCACAAATTTGACAATATTTATTTATGCCTACAACAATTAAAACTGACAAGAAAAATAAAAAAAACATACACGCTTCGTGCATCCATCATTCGGAATTGTGATGTACCGATTTTTAATTGCATTCACATAAGAATTGTACATTCGAAATGTAATACGAGCGGCGCCTTGAGGATAGTTAAGCGTTGGATCAGTATCAATTCCAGCATAACAGACAGGGCCGAAACGATCCTTAAGAATGGTGGCAAGCATATCAGCTTTGATATGTCGAGGCAGAGCACCAAGAAATATCTTTAAAATTTTTGACAAAAATCTTTTTTTAGAGATTTACCGTGTATCGCGGATTCAATTGTTCCGACGGATTTTCAATATAGGAACAATCACTAAGTTGCCAAGGACGAATTTGAACTTTTTTATGTGAGCCAGCCGTTGAAATATTCAAATAATAGTGGAGCCCTTCACGAAATGTATCATTTATTAAATGTTGAACTGAGATTTCTTTGTCAAAAATAAGAAAAGCATAGCCCTTTCTAGTGAGTTGATTTCCACCACCTAAAATTAATAAAAAATTTGGAACAAGCTTTATCCAAAAATTACGATATTTCTTATCAGAAGAACGTGAGTCCCACTCGATGAGAAATTTTCCATAACTAAATAGATAAAGTAGAAAAATAAAATTTAAAAAAAACCGGATGAATGTATTTTGAAGATCATTTTCGGTTATATCGAAAGGTAGACCTCCAACAAAAACTTTTCTTGAAAAAACTTCTTTTAAAGACATTTATAGTAGATTTAAACTTTTTTAAAACTAAAAAATAATAAAGAAATAATTAAAGTAAACTGGGAAAAATTTGTTTGAGATTTTAGATTTTTAGATTAAATTTACAAATTTGATTTTTAAAAAATACAGAATGCCAACTCCCTAAATTTATGTAGTACCTATTTTCAATTTAAAATTTACATAAATATTATAGGTACAAGGACAAATCCGTTCCCTATTTCATAACAATTAATCTTCTAATTATATTAACAACAAACGCTATCATTTTTTACATAGTTTTCCTCCCAAATAAGGTTGTCGGTTTCACCAAATTCTTCGGTTAACCTACAACCCTACTCCCAAAATTTAAAAATATTTTTCCTGCTATTTGATTAAAACAAAAGAAACAAATTAATCTCTTAAACTCCCTTTTGGAAATATTCAGCATAAAAAATATTTTATTTGGAAGAAAAAAAATGATAGAATTTTCTGAGGCTTTCAGAAAAATAGAATTTTTAAATTATTATTCTTAATATGAGAAAGTGATTAACTAATTAATTGCCTGTCACCTTTTACATTGTTCAAAAAAGCAAAAAAAAATCATTTTGGGGTAATTTTGAACTTGTATTTCCATTCTCACCCATTTCATTCTATTTTTGCGTTTGGCATTTTAGCATAAAAGAAGGATTAATTTTTTGTATAAATAGTGTTAAAAAGAAGCCACGCGTCTCACTTTCAAAAATAATGAAACGATCTAAGTAAAAATTTTTAATAATTTCTTCATGTAAAACCATCATGTTTGAATAGCAATGATTTCGATAGGATGGAGCTGGGGATCTCTGGGATAAGTCTGGGATAAGTGACTCTGGGATAAGTGACATCTATATCTATTGTAATCTCCCCTTATACATATATCCCACTGTCCCTGTGTACCACATATTCAAAAATTTCAAAATCTTTTTTGGTAGGGAAAATTGCAACTGATATACTAAATCTAATGTTTTGAACATTTATTGGTTCATTTTTAAATGTAAATAGATTTTGCATTTAATAATCTTACAATATTTATATAAAAATTTACACAATATAAATTTAGATTAATTAATTTTTAATTTTCTAATTAATCTTTTAAATAATTCTAAAATAATCTTCTCTACTAACTACATATAATTCCTAATTTCTTAAAATTCTTATTTTCAATATGAGAACCAATGCAGAAAATGGAGAACTTAAATTTACTCAAAATCCCGTAAATTTGTTTTTATTTAAAATTAAAAATAATTATTTTCTTTAGAAAATCTCAACTTTTTTTGATGATAAACGGAAATCAGATAAGGCTAGGGAAGAGGAGAAGAAGATTAGAAGGAGAATTGAAGCTTTCCGAACTGAATTGTGTCGAGGTTTCTTTAAATGGGGGCATTGCTCTTTTGGTGATAATTGTCGATTTGCACATTGTGAAGAGGAATTACGTAGTAAACAGGTGCAGTTTAAATATTTGAAATTTTTGATTGGATTTGGAACGGACAGAGTGGAGTTGTCATTATTTTAGAATATTTTCTGGTTAATTGTAAAGGGTTACTGTTAACTTTTCTCATAGGCTTAAAGGAACAAATATAAAAATAAATAGCATGATTGCTTTCAAATCCAGAGCAAAAATAAAAGTAATAGGCTAAAACAACTGTTTAAACTTTTTGTACTCCGAATCTGAAAAGGATTCTAAATATTTAATTTTTTTTATTAAAGTTACATCCAAATTATAAAACAACTCTTTGTCGAAATTATGCACAAAATAGTTATTGCATTTATGATGCTAAGTGTCAATTTATTCATCGAGATCCACCAACTTCAAGCAATGTAAATATTTTTTTTGACATTTTTCAATCAAATTTTTTTAAATTAAAGCCTTCGTCTACTCCTTCACTTTTTATGAATTCTGCGTTTGATTTTGGAGTTAATGGTGGAAATTCAAATTTGCATTCCTTACATCGTACAAATGCTTTTAATGTTCAACAACGGAACAACGATTATTTTGACGTATCTTTGGTTTGTTTATTTTTAAAATAATTTTTTGGTTAAAATTTTAAAATTAAATAGGGAGTAGAAAATGTTTTAAGCCGCTTGTCTCTCACACAACAATCACCATTTACTCAATCACTTATGCCGACACCTCTAGTGCCTTTTCTTCATCAAAAAAGTCAACACTATTACTATAATAATGACCAACGTGTTTCTTTTCTTTCAAGTCAGGCACCTGCAGGTTCATCTTCTAAAGAAACGAGAGTTTAAAAAATAATTAGAAATTAATTTTTGAATATATTTTTTGTGGTATATATTCACTTTTTATATTTGGCATATTTAAAAGTATATTTTTGTCAAACTATGTATTTGTAATTTGGAAAAATAAAATTTAAAAAAGATCAGAATCGAGGAATTGAATAAACAAAGATATTTTACATATGTAGTTCCAATACTAGGGGTTATTATCTGTTACGACCCGAAGTGTGTCAGAGATTTAACTAATGTCGACGACCACAATAATCAGTTTATCCAATGTAGAAACAAACAATGAAGGCGAGGGAATGGGACATACGAAGGAGATCAGCGACTAGCCCCGCTAGTATGATCCAACTAGACTGATGCTTACACTGGCCTTTATACTATCCGTAACCACTAAACAACATTATCAATCTCTCAATCACAAACAGCTTGAAAGGGTGTAAAGCAATTTGTTTGTTTAAATAAAGTATGTAATAATTTTTCTGTAAATTTCTGTAAAATTCATAAATTAGTCACCAAAATCCCCCTCCTTCCTTTTACTCCTAAAGACTAATTGACATCAATATTTTATTGATTAGCTTAAAACCCGTCACGCAAGAAAAAATTTGGTGGATGCGCGCCGTGCTTTTATTATTTCTGTTTGTGTGTAAATGAACAATAAAAAATTTTGTGCACAATTTAATATATCTCTAATAAATTGTTTTTCTATATTGTTATATTTGGATTTTATTGACAAACAAATTTTGAACGGGAATGTAGATAGATTACATAATTATTAATTAATTTTAAATAAAATTTTAAAAAATTAAAATATATTTTCACAAAATTTAATTTTAATATTTATTCCCCCCCCCCTCCCTAAATTTCTGTCAACAAATACATATGTATTTCTTTTCTTTTTCAATTTTCCTTTAAAATTATTTTAAAAAATTATTTTAATTTTACAGATAAATTTCTAAAATTAAAAGAAAACCTTCCAAAAAATCCACCATTTCAACAAATTTATTTATAAGATTTAATTATGGCTTGAAAATAATTTTAAAAAAAATATGAGAAAAATATTAACTAATAATTTAAATTATTTAACTAAACAACAAATTAATGTTCACCATCGAAATTTAAATTTTTTTCCAATTTTTTATTTTAATAAATTTAATAATTTAATGAGGCCTAAAAAATATTTTTCTTTTAATTTTTTATTTATTTGTTTAATTTTATTAATATTACCTTTTAAATCGGTTACTATTTTTGATGTTCCTTGCACACGTTTGTTTTCTAAATATTTACAAATAAAAATAAAAATTTAGAAAAGTTGATAGGAAATAAATGTTTATTTGACGAAGAATGTTATGGAACAAATACAGTATGCCGGGATGGGCGCTGTACTTGCCCAACAAATTTTGAAGAATTTGATTTGGATGAAACAAAAACTGTTTGTAGACTTGGTAATTGAGGGGAAAAAATTATTTAAAAACAAAAATTAATTTTTTAAATTAGCGCCTAGCAAAATTGGAGATAGCTGCCAAAGAGATTGTAAACCTCCTTTGCTTTGTAGGGATGGAAAATGTGAATGTTGGGGTGGAAGTATAATTAATGGTGTTTGTACTGTCCGTCAGTTATTTTATTTTTAAATAAGGAGATTTGGGGGAAGTTCTTACAATTTTATTAATATTTGGATTTCTATAACGAATATTTTTCAATTTTATAGCTTGTCCCGCTGGTCAACAACTTTATGGTGTTGAATGTACTAGAGTTGCTAGTTGGGGGCAATCTTGTGAAAAAGTAAAAGAAAATAAAGGGAATTTTAATTTTATTTTTTCCAAAAGGATATTCATTGTGTAGATTCTTTTAATTCTTGTATAAATGGACAATGTCAATGCTCGCCTGGTACACACAGAGATTATAATAAAGGAAGATGTTTTGCTGGTATTTATAAATATATTTTTAAAGAAAACCCTTTCTTAATTAAAAGTTTGCCCTGATGGAAATTCGCCAATCCAAACTTGTCGTCGTTTATTTATTAATGATGTAGATATGCTAGATAATGCAGCAACAACAGATAGTTGTCCAGTTGGTTATCGTTGTGTTACTTATGGAAGTCCGTATATTGGGCATTGCTGCAAAATTTATTGTCCTTATGGGGAGCCTGATTTAAATCAATCTTGTGATTCTGGGACTAATGAAGAATTAAAGGTGGGGAGAGGGGGGGGGGCGGGGAAGGGGAAGAGAGGAGGGGAATGGGGTGGGGGAAGATAGTTGGGAATTATTTTGAGACATTTTTTAATTTTTAAGTGTCGCCCACTAACACATTTTTGTATGACATTAAGTGAACCAGGTTGGAAAACCTCTATTTGTTGTCCAAAACCTTGTAGAGACCCAACACCTGTATATCACAATGGACAATGTTTAAGTATTGCACACAGAGATGATCCTTGTCAAAATGATTTACAAGTATTTATTTTTTAGAAAAAAAATTAATTTAATTATTTAAAAAAAAGTGTGAAGGTGGAGTTACAATGTTTTGTAATTTTGGGCAGTGTGAATGTAAAATTGGATTTCAACCGGTAAAATATTATTTAAATTAAAAAATTATTAAGAATATTTTTATAGAATAATGATCATCGCTTTCCAAGTTGTGAAAAACATTGTGAATTAAATGAGGTAAAAATAGAAAATAAATAAATTTTTGTTAAATTTTAATTATTTTCAAAAAATGTTTTATCAGAATTTATAGGATTATTAAAACTTTACTTCAATATAAGCCTTTAAATAAATTCCAATTAAATTCCCTTTGAATATTTTAATTCCTACATAAAATAAAAGAATTAAAAAAAAGACTAAGAAGCAGTGATGCAAGGGTTCGGTTCCAAAAATGGAACCGTGGAACCGGCAAAAGTCTGGAACCGGTTTGGAACCGGAACCGCCAAAATTAAAAAAGCGGTTCGGAACGCGCAATATTTTGGAATTTCAGCATCACTGGTATAATAAGGGATTCTTTTAGTAAATGTGTATTTAGTTTCTGAATTCTTTCTTCAAAAATTATTTCTAATTAAATCTTCAAATTTTAAAAATTTATTTTTAAAGGTTTCAACAATAGATCGTTGTTTAAAACGGGCAGCATTAGGTGAACGTTGTATAAACAGTAAACAATGTGGAGATCCAGCAGCAGAATGCCGTTTTGGTATTTGTCAATGTCTTTGCTCTTTTAAAGCAGCAAATATACTTGGAGAACAAAGATGTTCAAATCCTGATGATCCTTTAGGTTTTGGAAATATTTTAACGAGAGTTGAACAAATATTTCAAAATAAACAAAGAGGATTTAATGGAATAAATACTTAAATTATTTTTTAAAAATATTTTTGAATTAATTTAAAAAATGGTCAATAAATTTCCCCAAGTGGAGAAATTAAAAGTAAAAAATAATTATGAAAAAATTAACAAAAAGTCATGCAAAAATACTTTTTTCTCTTAACACACCCGAAAAATTTCTCTTTTTAAGCGACATTTGACAAATTATTAGAAATATTTTTAGGGTATTCCCACATAGACATCCGTGTCAAGAGTTTTGTCGAGTGTCAAGCGCACTCTCCAACATAGACATCCGCGTTGAGTAGTACGGGCCCCTTCCCTCCTACATTAGAATAAAAAAGGCACGTAACAAAACGCTTGACACTCAACACTTTACATGAATTCGAGTAGTGTTTAGAGGAAATTTTTAGTTGACAGAGAATTTGCCAAAAAAACGTCCTCAAAGTTATCGTAAATACATTGTTTTATCTAATGAAATTTTAATTTTATCATCAAATTATTTTTGTAAATATTATGACACTTTTTAAAATTATTATTTTTTCTTCCATTCTGTCTTTCAAAATTTTTCTTCTTAAAGTCCAAATTTTAAATCTAAAAATATTTAAATTAAAAAAATAAATTAGGAAAACAAAATACCAATTTCCTCTTCCTGGTCCTAAAGTCAAAACATCACTTTTAATTAAAAAATAATTTTAATATTTTTTAAATTAAAATTTACTCGTTATTTCTTCTTCTTGGATATATACAACAATTGACAATTTTGTAAAATAAAAATTGTAAAAATAATAATAAATAAATTAAATTTATATACAAAGATGAAAACATTTTTCTAAAATATTTAAATTTAATCAATTTGGGAGGATAAAATTCTAAAATAAATTTTTATTAATTGGGAAATAATGAATTGTTTACTTTAGAATTTTTTAAAATAAATTTAAATTTACACACCTTTCCAACAAATTTATTTTTAATTGTAAGGTGTGATGAAATGCTAGTAAAGCGGGTAAAGATATCGAACAAATGAGAAAATTATAATTAAGGCTGCCGTTTTCGAGTCGAGCGACGTTCGAGGCATTTTTGGGCTTGTTTTATCGAGTTGGGCCGTACGAATCACTTTCAGGCTTAATATCACTTCGGGCCAAATATCCCGTCGAGAAATTTTTATTGAAGAGAAATATGCAAACAAAAAATTTTTTTTTGATAAAAATCCCTCCCAAAACTTTAAATCAAAAATGAATCAAATAAATAATTTTAAAAATTTATTTATTTTGATAACAAAAACAAAAATATTTATTAAATAATTAAAAACAATTAATTTCTTCTTTTCTTTTTATTTGGCCCACCACCACCCCCAGTCCTCATTGATGGTCTTTTTCCTTTTGCCCCAGCTTTTCCACTTTTACCCTTTTTCTTTAATGATTTATTATCTTTCTTAAGTCTTCGATCAACAAGTTTGAAAGGTCCTTTTGGTCTTGTCATTTTTCCACGTTTTCCTTTTGTAACTACTTGATATTTAACTTCCTTCTTTTCTGGTCTAGCTGCTTTTTTGTAAAGTCTAAAAAATTAAAAATAAATTCTACTAAATTTCAATTTCAACAAACTCACTTTTTTAATTCCCTCACTTTCTCTACATGCTCCATTTGCTCATTTTCAAGAATTCCTTCAGCACGTTTTTTAGCCTTTTCCAATCGCCGTTGCTGTCTTTTCTTTTTACGCATTTTTGCTTCAGCAACTTTCTTCACAGAACGAGAATTAACTGGAGGATCTCGTTGAGCATAAAATTGAACTCGAGAAAAATCAACACCAGGAGGTAATTCTGTCGGACGATTATGACGTTTTTCATCTGCCAAAAACCAATCAGGCAATTCCTCATCATTATTTGTATGTCTAAAAATAAAATATTTTAAAAATTTAAAAAGTAGAATAACCTATTCCAAGCCCAATCCTCAATATCACGAGAACGCTTTTTTGAATAAATCATTTGTTCACCCATTGCAAGCTGTAAAGGTGTAAGTTTTTTCTTTTGAGTTGAATTTTCATTACCCTCATTTTCTAAAATATTTTTTATTAAAAAATCCAAATATTCAAAAGAAAACCTTCATTAACATCATTCTCCATTTTATCATCATTCCATTCATTTTCAGATAAAATGTCCTCGTCCTTCTTTTGATTATTCTCTAGATTTGTAGTTTGTTTTTTGTGATTTTCAGTAAAGTTCTGTGCATCCAATTCATCACTTAATTTAGAATCTTTTCTATATTAAAGAGAAATGAGGGAAAAACCTACTCTTCATCATCACTTGTAGAAATATTTCCATCACTTCCATCATTTTCTTCTTTATCTTCATCCTCTTCCAGGTCGTTATCAGAATCCACCATTATATTTTTGCCACTACTAACAGCGTCGGCAGCCGCTAAAGCTCTAGCCTTTGCTTTCATTACAGCCTTTTGAATAGTCTTAAGTGAAAAAATTTCAAAATCTTCTCCAATTGTAGGTTCATCTCCATCATGAATCATATTTAATTTTCTTCTTTCATTAAGTTTTTGTTTTTCTTTTAAAAGTTTTTTCTTTCTTCTAAAATTTATAAAAAAATGTTTTTTAATTAAATACAACCAAACTTTTTAAGCTGTGATTTCTCCTCAGCTTGGGCATTCCTTATAAGTTCATCAATTTCTTCAAGTTCTTTCATCTCCTGACTTTGTTCTTCCTCAATCTCTTCAATTTCATTAACTAATGGATCTCTAAAATTAACAGCAGAAAAATTAAATTGAGAATAAGATCTAATTTTTTTGTTTGGCATCAAAAACAGTTTGGAATTCAGAGGTTACTCTCTTATCTAAACCTATTTAACGCATAAATTTTCATAAATATAACATACTTTTCCACCATTTCCACATCCTTTTCCTCCATTTTCTTTGCCATTTTTTGTTCTTCTATTAACTTCTTTCTCCAATTCAATATTCTTTTAATTTCAGCAGGTCCACAAACCTTATTTCCAATAAAATTATTAAAATTTACAAAAAAATAAACCTTCAAATCTGATAAACATTCACGAATTTCCTCAGTTGTGTGCTTACTATTAGCATCTTTTTCTGAATCCAAAACAAGTGCAGATGCTTTAGCCAAAATTTGTAGGGAATTTTTGGAAGAAATAAATTCACTAGCAGGCAATTCTCGGTGCTGACTAATTTCTATATTATCTTCATATCCGAGAGCTTTCGGTTTTTTATCTTTTCGACGTGGATGCAGAAGCAAACGTTGTCTAAAATTTTGAAATTTGAGACAGAAAAATAAATAACACGAAGTCTTAATAAGAAACCCAAAAATTTAGTTTCGTAAATTTAAAAAAAATCCGAACATAAAAAACTTTTGTTAATTCTTCGAAAAACAATTTTTTAAAAAAGTCGTGAGATAATCCTACTTATCAAAATATTTTTAATCTTAAATAAACAAAGAAAATCCTTACAAATTAACATTTTCTGTTTGTTCACTTTGTGAAGAAAAAACTTTTTTAGCATCAAGAAGTTCTGAATCCACTTTGTCTGGTTTTAAATATTTCTCACAAACAACAAAACTTTCAGCTGATTCTAAACGAGATGCAGCAGGTTTCCAATGATGCACCTAAAAATAAGTTTTTCTCTCAAAATAATTAAAAAATAACCTTTTTAAAAAGTTTTTCAAAAACAGAAATAAGCATTTGAGAGTCAGCAGAACGAAAAATTTTTGTGATAAAATAACCCCCACGACGTAATATTTGTGTGGCTAATCGAAGAGCGGAAAGAACTAAACAATTTTGTTGGAAAGCATCATGTCCCCAATTAGTTCCAACATTGGGAGCACCGTCGTGTAAAACACAATCAGCTTCCCAAGTGCTGAGTTCTTTACGGACAGCATGGCGAGTCTTCAATTAAATTAATTTTTGAAGAATGTTAAAATTAAAAAAACCTTTTCTTCGGTAATATCTCCTTGGAGTGTAATACAATTTTTAATTGGTTTAATAGGCACTAAATCAACACCTGCAAATAGAAAGAATAAAAAAAAATTAAATTTTCGTTTTATTTATTTAGAAAAATTACCAATACGCAGAGAGGAAACGGGCATATTTTGTTCTGCCACCTGCAGCCATCCTCCAGGCGCTGCACATAAATCAACTAAGGCTCGGGATTTTTGTAGAAATTCAAAGCGTTTATTTAATTGAAGTAATTTAAAAGCAGCACGTGATCGAAAACCGGCTTCTTTGGCCAAAAAATAAAATTTATCTTTTCGCTGTTTTCCAACTTTAGTTTTTTTGCCCATTTTGCTAAAAAATAAAATATTAAAAAACATAGTGAATATTAAACATATTTCGAAAGGAATGAATTAAAAAATAAAATTAAATAAAAATATGGCCAAAACCAATAAAAACATATCCCGAAAAATCCGAAAATCCCGAAAAACCCGAATCACGCCTGTTTGGTCGCCAGAAAAAAGTGACAAAATATCGCCCGTTTGGCATTATCAAAAACTTAAATTTTAGTTACTGTAACGGTCAAATTTTATATTGTGGCAATTTTTGGTAGCGTACAATACAGAAAAAGAATGAGACTTTATTTCTCAAAAATTAAATTATGCAAATCAGAAGTTGTAGTTATGTCCAATAATTGTATAAAAGTAAAATTCTGTATAAAAATATTTATGCTCTAATATTCTCGTCTGTCTATTCTGCATTGTTGTACCACGATGAAGCGTCGATCGGACCAACGTAACTCAATGCGGAAGCCAAGACAGCCGCTCGATATCAAGAAGATGACTCGCAAACCCGAAGCGCATGGAATTATGCGAACACATGAGGGAAGGAAGATGCACCCTCTTCTTGAAATGGGCTATCTCGTGCGCGGCCGTTTCCGCATTCATGACATCGTTGGATCTGGTGGCTTTGGGCAAATCTTCAAGGGGTCTGACAAGGTGATTTAATTTATTTCTGCTTTAGTTTTCATTTTAATTTAAAAAGATGACTGGACATAATTTTGCTGTCAAGATTTGCATGGCTGAAGATGAGGGCAACCGTCTAATAATTGAGCAGCGAGTTATGGCCAAGTTGAACGGCAAAGACAACTTTCCATTTATGGTGAAACAATCTTCATTTAAACATTACTTCTTTTTTGTTTTAGGTTGCAAGTGGCACTTTACACCTTTCACGTCGTCCAAAGTGTCACTACATAATTATGGAGTTGCTTGGCCCAAGTTTGGCAGTTCTTCGAAAACAAACCCAATCCCGACGCTTCAGTATTGGAACTGCCCTCCGTGTTGGCGAACAATGCCTCGATGCCATGGAAGTGATGCATCTAGCTGGATACTTGCATAGGGACATAAAACCATCCAATATGTGTATTGGACTGTCTCAGTTTGGAAAACATCGCACTGTATTCATCATCGACTTTGGAATGGCGAGAAAATACTTACAACCTAATGGACGTAAGAATTAAGAATTGCTGCAATGCATAATCTTTTTCTATTCAGAACATCGCAAGGAACGTGGAAGAGCAGCATTTCGTGGCACAACAAGATATGTGTCACTAACTGTTCATGACAGGAAGGAAACGGTATGAGAGAATATTTGAAATACTAAATTCAGTTTACTCTCATTTTAGGGTCCTGTAGATGATCTTTGGTCTCTATACTACTCGATCATCGAAATGGGTGAAGGAGTACTTCCATGGAGAATGAAGCTAAAACAGAAAGATGTTGAGGATATGAAGCGAAAGTCCACATTCACTGACCTTTGCAAGTGAGTTTATTTTTGTAGAAAAATATTTTGATTTTGTAGACGTTTTCCTACGCACTTCTATGAGTTCGATAAGTCCCTGAAGTGGCTAAAATGGGATGATATGCCTAAATATCAAGTTCTAAAGGATGTTCTGCGTGTAAGTTACCCATAATTTAAATAATTCTTTTGAATATTTTAAGGAGTGTTATCCTTCTGAACAATCAACAGAAACGCCATTCGAATGGGAAAGAACGACTCGACATGCTGCCTAAAGAAAAATATTGCAATCAATTGTTTATTGTTGTAAATTTTGTCATTAATAAACTGGTTATAAGATAATCCTGTATCTTTATCAGGGGAACATACTTTAACGAATTAAATTATTTTAAGCAAGTCAGAACTAAATAAATTTTTTGTAAAAAGTTTCTGACAAGATCCAATAGTAAAATAACAATGATTTTTTAAAATGTGCCAAAGAAATTTTTGGAAAAATATTTTTAAGTTTGTGCGAAATATTTATACTTAACTTTTGTATAAAAATTATTATTTCTCAAAACATTTTTATTTTTTTTTGTTCCAATATTTCATTCCAATTTATTAAACTCCTCTCTATTTACATAACCAAGGATGTCTAGATGCCTGAATTGGTGTTAAACGTGTTTCCGGATTCCAAACCAAACAAAGCTTTAAAAAATCTAAAAAGAATTCATTTCCCTAAAATAAAAATCTAAAATTTTTAAATAAAATTATTTTCCAACTTTATTCTTTAAAGCATCTTGCATAGTTCTCGATCCTGGAGGACCTCTTAAGTTCCCCTTTTCACCTCCTTTTAAAATCTAAAAAAAAATTAAATTTTAAATATTTACTTATTTTTTAACCGTTTTTTCTTCAATTATTTTCTCCTCACAATATAGTGGATTTCCTTCAGAATTAAAAAATTCTTTTTTTCGTTTAACTTTTCCTAAAAATTTTTCATCCGGAATTCCCAACAATTCAATTATTAAAGCTAATTGATCTCCTTCATTATTACCAGGAAAAAGTACACGCCCAGTTAATAATTCAGCCAAAATACAACCAAAAGACCACATATCTAATGCCATTCCAATTTTTCCTCCAAGAATTACTTTAAAATTAATTTTAAAAAATTTGGTAAATTTAATAGTTAAAAAGTAGAGAGGGTAGCACCCCGTCCTCCGACAATTTTTTTGACAAAACCTCTGATCTGAACCCGCCATGCCCTCTCTGGCAGACATTGATCCCCTATATCATCAACCCTGAAGGGCCTGGGTGCTACGCTAGCTTAAAGTCACCTTCAGGTGCTCGATAATGTCTTGATTGAAAATAATTATAAAATGGTTGTCCTTCATAAAAAGCACATCCAAAGTCTGCAATTTTTATTGAACAATTTGTTGGTGTTTCTAATAAAATATTTTCTGGTTTTAAATCTGTATGTATTATTTTATTTGAATATAATAATTTTAAACATTGAAGAATTGAAAGGGCAAATTTTCGAACAAGCTAAAAAGAAGAAAATTTCAAAAAATATTATTAAAAGAAAACTTACAGTTAAACGAAAACCTTCAAATTTATTTTTCTTTAGTAATTCATAAAGATTCATGCTAAGTAATTTAAAAGTAATACATTTATGATCACGAAAAGTAAAGGATTCAATCATTGGAATAATATTATAATTTCCATTAATATCCTGTTTTTTAAGAATCTCCAAAATTTCAATTTCGGTGGCCATCTAAAATATATAATTAATTTTTGTTTGAAAATTATATTATTATAATTTTTAATTACTAAATGATTAAATTTCTTTTCCTTTCGAAGTATTTTTATGGCAACAAACTAAAAATAAAATAATTTAAATTACTATAAATATACATATATTATCATATCCTCTCTAATAGTTTAACCTCTCAATTTGAATGATCCATCTTAGAGATCGGCCTGGGTCTCGACCAAGGCCTGGGTTTTTCCTGTACCTAGAGGATTTTTTTTTCTACAGGCCCAGGATCCGGCCCAGGTCAATAAATCAAACCCGAAACCCAGGAAAAGCCCACTTTTCAAAATTTCCGATCTCTGATCCCTCTAATTAAACGACACTTTTCGAGGGATTGTAAAAAGAGTCATTCTTTTGGAGAGAAGAAACGTTACTTGTTTATCCTTGTGATCAAAAGCCCTTACAACCTTTAAATAATAATTTTAAAAAATATTTATTTATTTAAATATTCTATGTACATGTCCAAAACTTCCTTTCCCAATATATTTTATTATTTCAAATCTGTAAGCTAAATGATCATGCAAAACTACTTTATATACACCATCTTTATCATCAAAATCAATTCGTTTTTTAGCATGTGGACCAACAAAATAAATCTTTTAAAAAATATTTCTTTAATAAAAAATATTTGCTTTAATTAACTTTTGAATATTCTTTAATTTCAGAAAGTTCGAAAGTAGTTAATTTTCTTTTATCATAATTTTCCTCACTGATATCAGCTGAAAGCTGAAAATAAATCATTAAAACAATTAAAAATATGAGAATCACAAGTTTAGGCTCAGAAAACGGAACAAATGAACAAACAGGAAGGAGTTTAGCCATTAACAATTGTTTTTTTTTATTAAAAATATGTATGTATTCGATGAATTTAGAAATTAAAATTGTTGATCTAAAAGATAAAGCAATAAATTATGTACATATTATCTAACTCAAAAGTATATTTTAAGATTTAAATTATTTTTGTAAAAAGCTATTTTATGGAATAAATTAATATTAATTAGGATTTAAAAATGGTAGTTATTTATCAAAGTTACACATCAATTTTGATTAAATTGAAAAATATAAGTTTTAAAATAAAATGTTGAATGATAATGGAAAAAATTCTGAATATATTGAACATTGAATAATGGTAGGCTTTATTTACTTTTTTTTTCTTTATAGGAGAAACTTAAGAGAAAGCAGGTCAGAAGTTTTCTTATTTAGGTCATCTCCAGACAACTTTCCTCTTCGCCCAGGCTTGCAATCTAGTGTACATTTCTTCCATATTTACAAAATTTTGCCTCCTTGTCGGGTTAAATATTTTAGTCAGTTCCTGGTTACGGTATTTAGCACCAAAACGGCTTATGATAAAAATTTTCCCGAATTTCTGCAAACGAAATTTAGAAAAAATTTTGCTTTTGCTATTTTTTTGCCCTTGCTTGCAATTTTCCCTTCGCTAATCACAATTTTTGCCGGTTTTTTATTTTTAACAATTCTTGGATTAAAAATTTTATTTTAACAGAAAATAAATAGATGCGTAATTTTGATTGCCTTGAACGACCACTTTCACAACTTTTCTATCGTTATGGCAGATTTATTGCCTTTAATCCATTACCTTTAATATTTTTTCCTCTTTTCATCACCATTTTTGCCATTTCTGGATTTATTTCCTTAAATTCAATTACTGACGCTATTTATCTTTTTACACCGGCAAATGCACTATCAAAAACTGAAAGACAAATTATTCATGACAAATGGCCACTTTTTAATGGAAGTTATATTCCAGGAAGAGCAGTTACACAATCAAGGGAAATACAGGTTTTTTTAAAAAAATTTTGAGAATTAAATTCTTTTAAAAAAGGTAACTGTGAGCACAAAAGAATTGGGAAAAAATATTTTGACAATGCCGTATTCTGACATGGTTGTTGCTTTGGACAAACAAATTCAACAGGATGTTAAAGTTGAATATAAGGGACGTATATTTGGATATAAGGATTTGTGTCTTTCTGGCAGAAATCACGTTTGTCCAGGAAATAAACATATAGGGTTGCTTTCTGGATTATTTCAACATGGAGTAAATATGACATATCCGATGATTAAACTTGGAGGAGTGTAAGAAAATTTTAAATAATTTATAAGAAAATTTTCCAATGATATTTAAAAATTAAATTCGTTGAGTGTACTAGCTCTAAATCGTTATTAAAATTGCTATGTAAATGTGTTTTACATAAGTATATTTTTCATCCGTTCTTATAAATGCTCTCTGGTTAAGTGGTATAGTTCTGCGATTTGTTAGGGACCACTGTGTGGTTCGAGTCATTTTCCAACATAACGCATTCCAGCTCCATGAAATTTCCTTTTATGAATTTTGTGGCGTTCTAATAATGCGGATATTAATTATTTAGTTGAACTCCAAAGGAGAATCTGTTCATAAAGGATTTTCTGACTAAGACGACTGAACAAATTATTGAAATTTTTTTATTTTTAATTTCGTTTTTTAAATTAGGCGTTATTATATCGGTGCAAGTCTTGGGGGTGTTACTGTTGGTTATGGACAAAATAATGAAATGATTCTGAGAGGAGCTCATTCGTGGTTAATGATCTACCATTTACAATTTTTTCCACCAAATGTTTCTCACTTGTCTGGTTTATGGGAAAAACAATTTCAATTGCTAATGCAAAATTATTCAAATCCGTTTATTACTGTTACTTATTTTCATTCACAGGTTTTTTTAAATTATATCCTTTTTAGTATTTTTAAAAATTTAATTTTTAATTTAAGACCCTAGCTGAAGAACTTAAAAGAAATGCAGATTCCCTCAAACCTCGATTTATTCTTGCCTTTTTTATTTTACTTTTTTTCTCTGCACTCTGCAATATGTCCACATGCAGGAAAAGTTGGTATATTGATTGGGCTGTCTCTAAACCCGTACTTGCCATTCTCGGAGTTATAAATGCAGGAATGGGAATTGTGACAGCAATCGGTTATTTAAATTTATGTTCAATGCCCTACAATGACATTGTTGGTGTAATGCCTTTTTTGGTTGTTGGTTTGTAAAATTATTAACGTCAGAAAATTTTCTCAAATATTTTTATCTTTAAGCTGTCGGTGTGGACAACATGTTTTTGATGATTGCTGCTATTCGTCGTACCAACCGGGCCTCTTCCGTACAGCGCCGAATGGGTGAAGCTATGAGCGATGCTGCTATTTCAATGTTCATCACAGCATTGACTGATGCTCTTTCTTTTGGTGTTGGTGCAATAACAAGCATTCCAGCTGTACAAATATTTTGTATTTATACCGGTGTTGCTATTGCTGTTACATTTATCTATCAGGTTTTTTCTAATCCTTTAATTTTCATTATTTGTTTTTAAAAAAGATAACCTTTTTCGCTGGACTTCTTGCCCTTTCTATTCATTGGGAATCAAATGGATTACATTGCATATTTTTGAGACCAACTGTTCCAGAGGATATGGATGCCCAATCCTCTTTGATGACACGATTGTTTTGGTTAGGCACTGCTCATCATCCAGACCCGAAGAAACTTGAGCTCAATCTGAGAGATTCTAAACCTGCTCATTTCTTTCAAAATTGGTAACAAATTTATATTATAGTCCTATTAGGTTTAACTCATTGACAGTTTAATTTTCACTTTAAAGTTATTGGGCTATATTTTTTATATGCGTATTCCCAAATATTTTTTGTGTATTTCTAATCATTTTTCAGGTTTGCCCCAATCCTTATGCAGCCATTAATTCGTGGATTGGCCATCGTCTGGTTTGGTGTTTATCTTATTTTTGCAATCTATGGTTGTACCCAATTGCGTGAAGGACTTGAACCAATAAATTTGCTAGTTCGTGATTCTTATGCAATTCCTCATTACCGAGTATTGGAAAAATATTTTTGGCATTATGGCGCTATTGTCCAGGTTTTTTTAATTTATTTTTAAATCAGCAATTTAAATCAACCTTTTAAGGTTGTAGTTAATAATGCACCAGATCTTGGTGATCCTGAGGAGAGACAGCGAATTCGTTCAATGGTTCATGCATTTGCTAATACTCGTCACACAATTGGGGATGATTCTGTTCAATTTTGGATGAATGAAATGGAATGGTATTATAGCGATCCAAAACATGGAATTGCTGGAGAAGGGTTTGATATGTCAAATGTGACTTCAGATGAGACATTTTATGGGCTGGCTAAGGTTTGTCTTTCGATATGTCTCGAAAAATTAAATTTTTCCCTTAATCCTATTTAATTTCTAATATTTTTAAACTACCTAGTTTTTAATTTTTTAGCATTTCTTTTCGGCAAAACAGACAGAGAATTGGCCAGAGGATATTAAATGGGGATGGCTTCCAGAGAAAGGATTTTATCGAATAAATTCATTTCGGTAATTTAATATTTACATTTTTTAGTTAATTTTTTGTAGTTTCCTTGTTGGATTACGAGATATTTCGACATCAGTACAACAACAAACTGCAACACAATTGTTACGTGACGTTGCTGCTCGCTTTCCCCGTTATAATATTACAACGTTTATTTTTTAACCATGCAAAAATTCTTTTTATTTTTTTAGGTTTATGCCGCTTTGGCTATTTACTGACCAATATGCTTTAGTTGTTCCTAATACTATTCAAAATATTGTTATTGCAATGGCTGTAATGGTTTTTATTGCTCTATTGTTAATTCCACAACCATCTTGTGCTTTTTGGGTTGCTTTGGCTATAGCTAGTATTGATATTGGGGTTATTGGTTTTATGACTTTATGGAGTGTAAATTTGGTAAATTTTAACTCCAAATTTTTGGGAAAATAAATAAAATATTTTTTGAAGGATGCCATTTCAATGATTACAATAATTATGTCTATTGGATTTTCTGTTGATTATTCAGCACATATAACTTACGGTTATGTATGTTCTACACGGTCTACGCCACGTGAAAAAATTCGTGAAGCGTTGGGAGCTTTGGGCTGGCCACTCACTCAAGGGGCTATTTCTACAATATTGGCAGTTGTGGTTTTGGCAGATGTTCCCGCTTATATGATTGTTACTTTCTTTAAGGTAAGGGGATTTAAAATAAATTTATCTGAATTTTTTGGGAAAGGTTATTTAAAAACTTGGGCTATATGCAATGGACTTAAATTATACAGGATATGCAAACAAAATTAAACTGGGTCCGAAAATTATCAGATCTAACAACACCAGACTAGCTTCTCTCTTCAAAGCATATCCGCACACAATTATTGTCTTTGCATATTTTGCCCAACCTTTATTAATTAATCTCAAACTTAAGAAAATTCATTTTTTCTATTATTACTTTTTTAAAAATAAAAAAATATTTTTTCAGACAGTTTTTCTCGCTATAACCTTGGGACTACTTCATGGACTTGTTTTCCTTCCGGTTGCTTTGGTGCTTTTTGTACGTGGATGTTGTACTGGTAACACTCATGTTATTCAAGTAAATTGACCAAAAAATAAATAATAAAGTGACTTAATATTTAATTTATTTTTTATATCTCATTTTTCCAATATTGACCAATCTCAAAATAATTCTAATATAAGCATATGTACTATATTTATTTATTATTTTACAGTCTTTCACTTAACATGAATATTTATAAAAGTGCATTTTAATAATAAAGTGCGTTCCAAAAAACCTCGACACCCTAAATTTTTCGGATAAATCGACTTCCGGTTGTTTATTTTTTATAATCTTTTTATATATTGATTCAGCAGATTAAACTACAATATTCTACAAAAAATTAGAATAAACTGATAATTTTATCAAAAGTTATAATAAATTTTCGAAAAATCAAGCGTTCCAAATATCCTCAAACAGTTTGTAAAATTATCGATAATTACGGAAATAAGGTAGCTAAAATTTAACAAAAATTTCCATGAACATAACTATCAATACTATATAAAATAGAAAAAAAAACTAAGTCGAAAACTGATCCTTCTTCGAGATCTCAAATCTCGAAAATCAACGGAAAATAGGGTTACAGTACTTTAAAAAATATTTTAGCCTATTTAAAGCAAATACTAAAAATTTTCTTTAGGGCTATATGAAAGCCCATAAAATTTGCTACAAGATACAAAAGGGCCCATCTTTCTAAAAAATTTATCCGTTGCGGCATTCAAGCTTAAATAACTACCAAGCAAAAAATAGCCTAAAAATGCACTATTATCGTTATGCGGCTATTCTAGCGTGAGCATTTACACGGATAAATTTTTTAAAAAATTTTGACATTTTGTACTTATAGCAAATTTTATGGGCTTTCAGATAGGCCTAAAGAAAATTTTTAATATAAGCTTAAAGGTCTTAAAATATTTTTTAAAGTACTGTAACCCTTATTTCCGTTGATTTTCGAGATTTGAGATCTCAATGAATAAAACAGTTTTCGTTTTAGTTTTTTTTTTCTATTTTGCATCCATATTGATAGTTATGTTCATAGAAATTTTTTTAAATTTTAGCTGCCTTCTTTCCATAATTATCGGTATTTTTTCAAACTGTCTGAGGATATTTGGAACGCCTGATTTTTTGAAAATTTATCACAACTTTTGATAAAATTATCGGTTTGCTAAAATTTTTTGTAAAATTAGGTTATTTTTGCTGCTGAATTAAGATATAAAAAGATTGTAAAAAAGTAAAAACCCGTAAGTCGATTTTCCGAAAAATTTGGGGGTGTCGAGGTTTTTTGGAACGGACTTTAATAATAATAATATTGTGATTTTTATTTATTAAAAATAAAAGGGATTTTAAAAATGGTTTTTGTATTTTTTTATTATTAAAAAAAGAAATTTTAATTTAATTTAAATAAAATTTGAATCAAAAAATCACTTTTTACTATTAAGAAATTATTTTTTTAAACGTCAATTTTAGTTTAGGTACTTTCTTGTTATGACGCAACAAATTTAAATTTTTTTAAAAAAGCTAAAAATGTTCAAAAATAGTAATAATAAGCATAAAAATTTTCCCCCTTTTTCCCACGTGTTTTCCCACCTCAGTGGGTGTTTGGCGGAATTTGTGCTTTTTTTGAAGCAAAAATGGGAAAAAATTTTATGGTTCTTTTTGAAGCAGATGATAAGCACAAATTTCCCGCATATATTGAGACCAGTCTACCGTAGTGTTTTGTTCATGACTAACTCTTAACATGCCTAACTCTTAACTGTGTTGAGCATTTTTAGCTTTTTTAAAAAAATTTAAATGTGTTGCGTCGGCTCCCATACAAAATACCGAATTCTTAAAATATGGAATCTCAAAATCGCGAATCGGCTAAAAAAGCTCAAAATATGGAATCTCAAAATATCGAATCTCAAAATATGGAATAGGCAAAAAAAAGCTCAAAATATCGAAAAATATCGACAATGCGGCAAAGGCCAGTTGAGTCTGAACAAAGTTGTGACCAACTTCTTCGTAAAAAAATTTTAAAAATAAGAGAAAGTATTTTTCTAAGGTAAAAAAATGTGCTGATTACGAATCTCAGCTCGGATTTTGAAAAAGTCGAATCCCGGACCCGAACCGAATTTCGAATCCCGAACCGAATTTCGAGTTTCCGAATGATAGCTCATCTGAAAGAGCACGTCGAGCTGCATCAAATGACACCAAAATCAATGAAATCCGACCTGATTGGACTGAGTTACAGACCCCTGAATAATCAGAAAAAGACCTGCAGCGGCACTCAAACGGCCCTTTTCGTTTTTAAAAAATTCGACATTTTTAACTACTTTTTAGCCGATTCGGTATTTTGAGCTTTTTTGGCCGATTCGCGATTTTGAGATTCGATATTTTAAGATTCCATATTTTGAGCTTTTTTGGCCGATTCCATATTTTGAGATATTTTTACCGATTCGCGATTTTGAGCTTTTTTAGCCTATTCGCGATTTTGAGAATTCGGTATTTTGTGCGGGCACGGTTGCGTCATAACAGGAAAGTACCTTAGTTTAATTATTGTTAGAAAAGAAATAATAGTTTTTTTAGAAAGTAAGAGAGAAAATACAAAAAATTGAAATGCGCCTATTTTGGTATATTTAATAAAATAAATTAGTTTAACGGAACTTAATAAATAAATAGAATCATTGAATTTGTTGTTTTCTTTTGTTTTCATAAAAGTAATAAATATTAGTATTTACTAGCTTTTATGTATAGCTTGAATAAATTAATAAGGTTGTGATTTTGTGAATTATTTTTTGAATTTCATTTTGGTTATTTTAATTTAGTAATAAGTCCACAAAGACCCCTCTAAATATAAATTTATTTCTGTACCGGAAAACAATATTTTCATTTAATGACGAAATGAAAATATTTAAGATAGGGCATTGTGCCTCTGGCTATTTTCCTTAATATTTGCACTCAGATATTTATAGTAAGATTTAATTTAAATATCCGCTAATTAAAACTTTGAAAAGGATTTAATTAAAATTTTTCGTCATTCTTTATATTTTTATATTTAAATTTAGAAATTATACTATAATAATTTAATTTATTATCGACATCCTTCCAAGATAAATTATAAATTTCTTTTCCTTCCAGCGGAGCGTTTTATATTGCCAAAAGCTAGACCCTGATAAGACCAGCTTACCCGGAGTAGTTCCTATGCTCTTTGAAGGTATTTATTCTTTAATTATGTTTAACAAAATTAGAATCTAATATGTATTCTAATATCTTATTTAAACAATAGTTCAAATAAAATATCTACATTATTTGCCTATATTTATTCATCAACTCCCACACGCGATGCGATATATCCTCCATATCTTGCCCTTCATTAAACCCTTAGGCTTCTTTCAAGTTTTTCTACTTTCATTCAGTCCTCCTACTTTTATTTGGTATTTAATTCATTGTCTTAATTTAAATTGTTCATATTAAACTAAAATATATTGTCTCAGAAAAAGATATACATATACGTATTCAATTTCTTATAATATCTCGTGGTATGATCGAGATTTTTTTAGCTCAAGATTTCAAAAATTCTCGATGACCGAGATTTTTGTGTAAATACTTTTCATCAAGATCTACTCTCGATCCGGTCTCTAATTTAAAACATCATTAAATTAAAATTAAAATATTTAATTTTTATATAAATTTTAAAGAAATAATTAATAATAACGAACTTCTTCAATTAATTAAAATTTAAATAAAAAATGTTCAATTTATTAATTCTTTCATTTTTTCTAATTATTCCATTCAATCAGTCAATTCTCAATAATTTCCCTTCAGAAAATACAATTAATGAAGATGAAAAAGAAGTTGGATCTTTTCCTACCCTTTTACAATTAGCCGACAGAGAAGCATTTAAATCACCTTTTGAGAGGCATCTTAATTATTTACCCAGGTAATTAATTTAATTTATAATTGAAAATTGAAAAAAATACTTTGCTAAAATAATATAAAAATATTGGAAATTAAAAATAAAATTTGAAAAAATAATTATTAATTATTAAGTTGCCCCTCTCAATTACAAAAATTTTCATTGAAATTATAAACTATAATTCAATTGTATTCTGATTAGTTGAACTTACTTGTCCCCTTTTTCTCTCTCTTCCTCTCTCACAACTAAGGTTTGTCGGATAGTTGGAAATCTCCGGATATCCGAATCCGATATCCTAACTGAAAATTGCCGGATATCTAAACTTTTTTCTGATTCGAATATCCGAATCCACCAACCTTACTCAAGACTTAATTTACTTTTTTTAAATTTTAGTTATTCTTAATAATTAATATTTTTTTAGAAAATTTATTTCCACAATTTTAAGTTCCTCCTCCACCGCCCAAAAACGTACAATGCGAAATGCATTAATCCGATTCGGACGTTCTCCACGTTCTGCAACATTAAGAAGTGCAATGGTCCGTTTTGGTAAACGTTCAGAAAATTCTTCAAATAATGAATTATTGGAAAGTAAAAGGAATAGTGCCCCACAACCTTTTGGTTATTTTTGATTAATTTAAATAAAAATTATTATTTTTTTTCTAAAGTTCGTTTTGGACGTTCATTCTCTTCAATACCTTTTAATGGACAATTTAATTCTCCATGGTGGATTGAAAGATTTGCTTTTCTTTGAAAAGAAAAAAATTTTTAAACAAAATTAATGACTGATCTTTTATAAAATTTTACAAACAAAATTAATTTTTAATAAATTTTTAAAATTGTTTTTTTGCGTGAGAAAGAATTAATAAAATTTGTAATAAATTTTGTGTTAAAATCAAAAATTGAAGTTATATCTTTAAAAATATCATATCAATATAAAATATTTAACGTGTTTTTGTATTTTTTGAAGCTTCTTGTAGATACATAGTAGTAAATAAATAAATAAACGTTAAATTAACAATAAAAGGCGAAATAATATTTAAAGGTAAAAAAGAGGGGAGAGAGAGGAAAGGTTTATATTTTATTAAGAGATTTTTTTGGAGGGTTTTCTATTGCGGGAATATATTTTTAAAATAAATGTTTTAACCAATAAATAAATAAAAAAAAGATTAAAAAAGAAGGAACCGCCTATAAAAATAAATTTATATTTATTTATTTAACCTTCAATTTATTGCTGAGAAAATTTTATTTTTTAAAGAAAATATTTTTCAAATAATATTTCTTAATTTAAATTAAATACCTAATTATCTTTATTAATATTGACATTTAATAATTACAAAATTTGTTTTTTTATTATTTCCTCAATCATTTTATATTTTTTTAATTTTATATTTTAACATTTCAAAAAATATTTTTTTCACAAAAAACTTTCCAATATTTAACTTTTTCTTAAAAAATAATCTAAAAAATAAATAGACTTTAAACTATTTTTTTGATTATTTTTTTAAAGAGTTCACATCATCCATGAAAGAAAGAAAGCCCTCTGTCTGTTGAACATTTAAACGAAATAAAATTTTTTTTGAATATTTTATAAAAAAAAATAAAAATATATAATAAATCCTTAATATTTATTTAAATTTAAAAATCTGTTTACAAGTCAAAACCAATATTTTAATGAATATTTTTCAAAAAAATTTTTTTTAATTTTCTAATTAAGTAAATTGAAAAAGGGATTTACAGTAAGAGTATTTAAAAAGTATTTACTATTTATTTGCTTACGTCTAGAAATATTTAAAATTATTAAAAAATATAATTATTTTAATATTTTTTGAGAATTTTTTTATTAAATAATAAAAGTGTTTATCCTCATCCTTTTTAGTGTTTATAGCTTTTACTTTTTATTTTTATTTAATATATTTTTAAATTTTCAATTGAAATTTATGAAAAAATTTTGACAAACAAAATTTTAATTTTTTCTCAAATACCTATATTAATTACAGCTTTTTGAAAATCGTATCCATGATTGAAAATCAAAATTCATTGAAATTTTTTGATTAAATTTGGAATATTTTTTTGAAATATTTTTTGTTTGGTAGGAAAAATAATAATTTAAATATTTAAATTAATTTTTTAACTTTTAATTAAATAAAATAATAGTTCAGATCACTTGGACAAGGTTAGAAACACAAAAATTAAAATAAAAACAGATTTTTATTTTGTATGGGTAGCCAGCCCCTCTCCTTCCCCCAAGAGTGGTCACTCCCTCACGCCTCTAAATATGTAGGTATTTCTCTCAAACTCCTTCCAGTCGATCAACGTCCAACCCTCAAAGACGCACTTAAATCAATACAACCGCGCTTTTATAATACTGACTTTTTTCTTTAAATATTTCTTTATTCATTTTTCACTTCCGATTTATTTTCTTTATGAGGCCAAAACAAAAATTATTCATAGTTACAAGAAAATATTTTTGTAATTGTTTTTCTCTCACATTTTTACTTGTAGAATTAATTAAACGAAATAATTTTAAATTAAGAAATATCTATTAGAAAGGCACATTCCCAAAAGTCTTTTTATTAAACCCTTTAAAAAATTCTAGTTAATTAATTAATTTATTTATATTTACTGTTGATTTCCTAGTTTAAAAATTTCTAATTATTTTCTTCTATTTACTGTTTTTATTTTAATTGTTTTTGGTGGTCAGAAGACAATTTGATCTACCACCTTTCTTGATTTTAGTGAGAAAATATTAAAAGTAAAAATAAAATTAAGAGAGAGTAAAGGGGAAAAGAATTTAAAAAATTAAAAAGAAAAAGATGAAGGTAAATGATTAAAAACAAAAAAAAATTCAGGTATTATTACAAAAGCTTGTATTATACAAAAGCAACACAATTGCCGATTTACAGCGCGGCGCAATTATCCAGATGATCGCGCAAAGAAATTAGAATTATTTTTACCTTTTTAATTTTCTTTTAAATCAATTTTTGAATATATTTAGTTATTTTTAAAAAGTTTTTTTCTAATGTAAAAAATTAATTAGAAAAATTTAAATATTAATATATTATCGTTATCTCGAGCCTAAAAATCTTCAAAAAACAAAGGTTAATGTTTTAATTTTCTCGACCTTTAAAGGTATCGAAAATTAAAAAAGATTTACCCTTGTTTTCCGTTGATTGGGTCTCGATTTTCGATGATGGGATTAGAATAGAACTTCGTTTCTTTTGTATTTTATATTAATATAAATAGATTTACTTAGTTGTCGGTTCTAGACCAAACCAAACCAAAAAACCGATCCGAAGATTTTCCAAGAACCGACAACCCTAGATATGCCTACTGGAATTTTTCTGGATTTTTTTCAATCGAAATTCTAAAAGGGTTTACGTATTTAATTTCCTAATAATCATCAAATTGTCCCAAAGTGCATCTTCTTTATTTTTGTCATTATTTTATTTATTTAAATCTTAATTTAATTTAATCATCATTTAATCATTAAAAACAATTTTTATTTATTTTCTCGTCTTTTACATAATTAATTGCTAAACAAATTGTTATTTTTGATCACTATTATTCTCATTAAAAATAAATTGTGAAAGGGAGGAAAAAACAAAAAAATATTTATTTTTGTTTATTTGTTAATTTAAGGAAACACTTTTGTTGCATTTTTTAAAATAATTATTAGTAATATATCTATTTTTAAATATATTTATTTTTGTATATTTAAAATTTTGTTAAATAATTTAGGGATATTGTTAAGTTCCTTAGATGTTTCCTAAATATTCTTTTGTTCCTTTACAAATTAAAAAATTAAAAAAACCCTTTAAATGCCTAAAAATATTTATTTGGTAATCTAAATTAAATTTTTAGTTTTTAAAAAATAAATATAAAAATAATGTACAAAAATGCAGAGGATTTAATACAAAATAAAACAATATCCAATGGAAAAGTTTCTGAAGGAAAATACAAAAAAGATGGTAAAAGTTTATAATTTTAAAGAATTATTTTTCAATAATTTTAGAATTAATTGATGCAGTATTTCAACAAGTAAATCTTCCAGAAGTTCATTTTATTCAATCATCTCCCCCCGTCTCCTCTCCAAAAATAACTTGTGTACCTCCAAACAGTGTTCGTTCAGAAATTGGAGAAATAAATATTTTTGAAGAAAATGTTGATTTAATTACCTCTAGAAAATCACCTAATACACCAGAAAGGCAATCAGCCCTTTCACAGTGTGAGGAGGATTATAATGATGATGATGATGAATATATTGATAAAGAAGGAGATGGAAATGAGAATAAACAACAAAAAGTAAAATTTAGAAAATTGGGGAGCAGCCAATGTACCGCCGAGCTATAACTTCTTTCAAAATTATGAATCCGGATCGCCTTCGTATTGTTCGATTCAGCTTGACGAGGCGCATCGACCCATACCATATGGTGCCTAATTCGACGATTTTTAACGAGGTTGTAGCCCAGCGGTACATTGGGCTTGCGATACATCAGTGTGTACCCAAAAAATTTTTAGAAAAATTAAACGTATAAACTTTAAGTTGAATGAAGAAATTAAAATTGATTCGACAAAAACAATGTTGGCAACTGGAGAAAAAATTAAAAACGAGGAAATAGAAATTCAACAAGTAGAAATAACATTAACAGAATCTTCTAGTCCAGAAATTGTTAAAAAAGAAGAAGAAAAAGAAGTAAAGGAAGATGAAGATGAAGAACCTTCAATAAATTTATTTTCACATAAAAACAGTTTAGAATATGGAAATATTAAACGTTCAACGAATATACAGGGAGTGAATGATGAGGAATGTGAAGAAATTGAACCTTTAACACCTTCGACTGGTAATTAATTAAAAGAAAAAATTTAGAAAAAAATATTTTAACAATTTTCCATTTTTTGAATATTTTTTCGCTATGAACAGCTTGTCAATAACAATTAATTAAAATAATTCTGTTAAATATTTTTTGCTTAACTAAATAAAAATTTTAAATTTTATTTAAATAAAGGAGAAGGTTGCTTAGATTCAGTTCGTTCAATAATTGCTACAAATGGAGAAACTCCAACAAAAATATTAGAAAATAGTGAAGATGATTGGAGTGAACAAAATAATAATTTAATTGATGATAATGAATGTAGAAGAGTAAGTAGTACAATTTCGAGGGAATTAGTTAATTCTGTTATTGAATTGGCTATTCAGGTATTTTTAAGAGAAAATAATTTAATAAAAATTATTACTGACATAATCTAAAAAAGTTTAAATGTTTTCAAAAAAAATAAAATTAGATATAATTCTGATTAAGACAAATTTTTAAGTAGAAGCTTTAATTTTAATTTAAGAAAATAATTTGAGATTTAAATTAATTAATTTTCTAATTAAAAAATAATTTTTAAAAATAACCAGAACACAGAAGAATTTGAAGATGAAGATAATAAAAGTATTAATAATGAAATAGAAAATACAAAAATTAAAGAAAAAAAGAAAGATGATTTCCAATTAGAATTAAACAAAAAAGTTGTACAAAGACAACAAAATTATGAAGAAATTGGAATTAATAATTATTTAAATAATTCCTCTAATAATTCAATTTCTGGGTAATTTTTATAACAAAATTTTGTTAATATTTTAAAATTAAAGCCAATCATCCCCAAACTCAAATTTTCGAGATATCCACGTCAGAACTTCTTTAAACGACCCTTCTTCACCATTTAAACAATTAGCCTATACAGCATTTGAACCCGAAAAACAAGAAATTATTCGAAAAGAAATTGGAAGTTTTGGACCTGAAGGAATTAAAAAAATTGTTGATAAATTCCAAAATGTTGCTAAATTAAATAAAAAGGAGGAGGAGGAAATTATTGCCGAAATTAAAAATAAAAAGCTTAAAAATAAAGTTTTTGCTAGACAAAAATCAGCACATTTTTATATTGAAAAAGAACAAGTCCCAAAACAGCAAGAGGATCAAGTAAATTAAATTTGGAAATAAATATTTAAATACAGAGTAGTATGGGCACACCCTAAGGTATCGCAGGCCCAAGGCTGTAACTTCGTATAGAATTGTCGAATCTAGGGCGCCCCTGGTATAATTCGATTTTTCTCGTCGAGGCGCAGCGGGCCATACCACGGCGTCGCGGATTCGACAATTCTGAACGAAGTTATAGCTCTGCGGTACTTTGGGCTTGCGGTACCTTGACATGCTCCCGAGAAATACAATTTAGAACTTTGAATAATGATAATTCTAGTCTTTTTCCAAAAAAAGAAATTTATTTATTATTTAATTCCTAATTTAGTAACTGCAGTTAATTTTTGAACATTTCTAGATCATTAAAAAAATTTATTTTTTTCTAACAATTTTTTTAATAATTTCTCTCTCAATTCAAATTTACAAAAAATAAAACAAATTTTTCTAGCCAAAAAGAAAAAGTACTCCACATCCAGTTCAAAGACAAAGTTCTTTACAACAACAACAACCTGAAGATGAAAACAAAATATTAAATAATACAAAAAATAATTTTTCTCTTTCTCGCAGCGAAATTGTTATAGAATCTCAAAGACCGGTTGCCGATATTCTTAACCAATTTCAGAGCTGTCATTACAGCCATGCTGCAAATATTAAAAAAGCTTTAAATGAAGAAAATAATGATTTTTATATTAGAAAAGTATTTTTAATTAATTTTAAATTTTAAATTTAAATATAAAGGTTCGTCCAAAATCTTTTGGAAGCAGCGACATGCAAAGAAATTTTGGCAAGAATAATTTTGTTTGGGCAAATAACAACAAAAATAGTAAAAAAGGAATTTATTTTTTAATTTTAAATTCCGATTAGAGTTGGGGACGATCCGGCCCGGTCCGAAAGATCGAGTCGGGCATTGAATTTTGGCCCGAAAAAGACTCGGTCGGGCCGCCCCGAAAACCCCAACTCTAATCCCGCTAATAGAAAAATTTAATAGAATTTTCTTTAATCTTTTTACCTTTTAGAAAGGTAAATAAATTAATTCTTAATTAATACAGTGTTAATACATTTTAGATAGTGTACCATTATCCTCTCTTAAAAATAAGGGGAATTTTTAAGAGAGATCAACGAAAGAATCATTATTTTCCTTTAAAGATTCATCAAATCAACAAACACCCCCAATAACTTGCTTTACAAAAGAACCAACTCCCGGTTCATTAGCTGCAATTCGTTTATCATTAAGTTCATCAATTCCTTCAACTCCAAGTGTTAGCCCAATATTATTAGACAACAACAATTCCCCTCCAAATGAAACAGAAAAATTTGGAAATAAACAAAAAGAAAATAATAATTTATTACACGGAAAGGACGGAATATTACCTAAAAATGTTGGACATTTTTATCGAATTTGGGGGTCTGCACAGGTAATTTAAAAAGTATAATTGAAAGTTAAAAATTATTTTATAGGCACAAAGTGCAACAAAAACAACAGAAAAACAGTCCAAAATAATTGTAAATTAATTTTTATTTGAAATGAGGAGGAATTATTTATTTAATTTTTAGGAAAGTGTTAACAATCTGGCAACAAGTGAAGAATAACAATAATTAAATTAGAAAAAAAACAAAAACTTTAATAATTTTAAATAAATTATTTAAAAACTTTTTCCACTTCTCCCTCCTATCATAATTCACAAAAAGTAGTTTCAGATTCTAAATTTTCCAATACTTTCTTTATCTTCATAATATAGTAATTAAAAATATTAAGCAATACATCTCTAATTAATTTTCGCATAATAATTTTTTTAAAAATAGCGTTTTATACATACATTATTTCATTTTTATTTTAATAGAAAGTTTCAGTTTTTTATCAATTCTAGAACCATTTATGTATATGTTATACATGAGTTGATAATTAGAGGAAATAATCAAAAAATTTTTTAAAAATTGTTTAATAAAAATATTAATTAATGATAAATGTTTAATTTTGAATTATTAATTGAATATTTCGTGTCCGGAAATTTAGGGAGTGGACATTTGGGGAGTGGACAATTGGGGAGTGGAAATTTGGGGAGTGAGCGGACATTTGGGGAGTAGACAATTGGGGAGTAGACATTTGGGGAGTGAGGATTAAAAAATAATTTAAAAATAGATTTTTTGGACAATAAAAATAATTTATACACTAGTAAAGCTGTTTTTGTGGAGTTTCAAAGATTTTAAAGATATTTTGATGTCTGTAGCCGGTTGAGTACACCCATAAAAGTAGGATAGCAACCTCCCTCGGGGGTTGGTGTGTCGGTGATCGGGGTTTGCCGGGGAAGGCATGTCGGGGTCCGGAGTCGGGATTGACTTTTCGGTCGGGGGTCAGAATTTCACTAGAAATTAGGGTAGCACAAAACCATTTAGCTAAACGTAATCGGTATACGGTTATGGGTTTTTGGTAAAATTAAACGGAACGGTATAGTCTTAGATAAACGGCATAAACGGTATACGGTCACTCTAAACGGCGTTTAACTAACCTCTCAAAATTCTCAAAATTTTCGCCTGCGGCGCAGTAAAATAAAGAGAATCTGGCTTCCTGGCCTCCAAAGTTCTCGAAATTTTCGCCTGCGGTGATGAAAAAGGAATAAATCTTGCCTCTTAGCCTTCAAATATTCGTGAAATTCTTGCCTGCGGCGCTAAAAACGATACAGTGGGAGCTTTGACATTCGACAAAGCTCGACGAGTTCTATAACCTAAGATTAACTGACCACTTTTTAATACGTTGAGCAAGGAAAAAAGTGGGGGAATTGAATTTTACCCTTTATAACTCCACAAAAACAGCTTTACTAGTGTATAAATTATTTTTATTGTCCAAAAAATCTATTTTTAAATTATTTTTTAATCCTCACTCCCCAAATGTCTACTCCCCAATTGTCTACTCCCCAAATGTCCGCTCACTCCCCAAATTTCCACTCCCCAATTGTCCACTCCCCAAATGTCCACTCCCCATATCTCCGGGAGCCGAATATTTTGAATTTAAAAGTAAAGATTAAATTAATTAAATTAATTTATCATCAATTTATTTATTTATTTATTTATACTCAATTCGACCCAAAAATATATTGGAGACAAAGACAAGAAAATAAAGAGCAATTCTCACCACCAATTCTTCTCATTTTGTGTTTATTTTTTTAGCCCTAAAAGTTAGCTTGAAGGTCAGTCACTTTGCTGTGTAAAAATCAATCAACCCTTTGAGTACATTCTTCTTTACTTTTTAAATAAAAATATATTTTTTTTTATTAATATACGAGCTTAAGTGTCCGTTCTTAAATAAATATATCCATAGAATTTTCTAGAAAGATTTTTTTTAAAAGTTATTTTATATATAATGGACAATGATTCTTTAATTGCTATAAATAAATAAATATATTATTATACTTAACAATATACTTCAACTTTAATAAGTTGATTTGTACATAAATATTCACTTTTCTTTAAATTAAAATTATTTAATAATATGTATAAACCTTATATATGTAGGTACAAATATTTACTTTCATTAAAAAATTAAATTTATGTATACCATAGGTATTCTATAAATGTCCACAAATTTATTTAACTTCTTAGTATTTTATTGTCCATTTAATTACCAACTAGTTTTGTCCAATTATTGACTATATGTAAATAGTATATATTTAATTTCCTTAATATATACCTGATTTTTTATTTGTTCGATTCAAATAATTTTTCGGTTAAAAACAAACAAATAAATATTCATTTAAAAAATAAAATTTAAAATTATCTCATTTTCTTTTTTTAATAAAAAAATAAAAATAATAATGATATCAATGTAAGTTAAATAAATTGTTTAAAATATTAAATTTTAATTTTAAATTGTTAATTTAATTGTGAATATATTTCTTCTCATTAATAATTTAAATTAAAAAATATTTTATTAAATTTATTTTTTGTTCAAAAAATTAGGAAAATGTTTTGGCGTTTAAATTATTGTACAGCTGTTCTACTTGCTTTAATCTATACTTGTAATACTTTTTGGATAGGTTCTGCAGCTATACATGAACCCGAATTACAAAAACCTCATCATGGAGATCATAAATTGAGTGATCAAGAACATTATAAAGTAAACATTTAAATTATTCAAAAGTGTTGTGGAGGTGGGGGGTTGTTAGGAAGGGAAGGGAGTGGGGCTCGATGGCAGCTCCGGTTGTCCTAGTCCACGGGAGATAGGTCACGCCTTATACCGTTACATTGATTTAAATTAAAAATTATTTTTATTTTAAATAAAAATACTTTGTTTAGGAAGGTTCTGAACACGAACCTAAATTTGATCATGAAGCATTTCTGGGAAAAGAAGAAGCTCAACAATATGACCAATTAACACCAGAAAAAAGCAAAGAACGTTTAGGGTAATTAATTGTTAGTCTTTAATTTTAACAATATAATTATTTTAGTAAATTAGTGCCTAAAATGGATACAAATGGGGATGGGTTTATTGAAGAAGAAGAATTAAGAGAACATATTAATTTTATGCAAAAACGTTATGTTGTAAGTTTTTTTGAAGAATTTAAGGAAAATTTAGGGGAAAATTGCAAATATAATTGCAAATATATATTTTAAACTTCAGCAGGAGAATTCCCTAATATTTAAAAGATTAATTATTAGTTTAGCATGAAAATACATTTAAAAAATATTCAATAAAATTACCGTATTTTCTCTATTAATTCCCCTGGGGAATTAATATTCCAACCCATCCATAGGATGGGGAATTATTCGAGGGAGGGGAATTAATCGAGAAAATACTGTACATATGAATATCTTATCATTAATGAGGAATTTTAAATAAAACTTTAACAGAAAATCTCCAAATCTTTCATAAAAATTATTTAGAATAACGATGTTGAGAGAACTTGGAAGAACTATAAAGACGAGCAATTAACAGATGGAAAACTTGGTTGGCAAGATTATCGTGATCTTGTTTATGGAAAACAAGTTGATGGACAGGAATTAGCTCCAGAATATGTTAAAATGATTGCAAGGGATGAAAGAAGATGGAAGGTGGAAATTTTTATTTGAAAGGAAAAAATAATAATTCTAAAGGTTGCTGATTATAATTCTGATGAGAAATTAGATAGAACAGAATATGGGTGTTTTATGCATCCAGAGGATTGTGACCATATGAGGGATATTGTTGTTGAAGTAATTTTTTTGAATTAAAAAAGAATATTTTTATTTTCAAGGAGACAGTTGAAGATATTGACAAAGATAAAGATGGATTTGTTGATTTGGAAGAATATATTGGGGATATGTATAGACCTGCTGATTATCCAGAATTGGAGGGAAAAGAGCCTGAATGGGTTGAATCTGAAAGAGAAATGTTTAAAGAACATAGGGATAAAGATAAGGACGGAAAATTAAATAAGGCAAATTTAATTAATTAAAAAAAATCATCCCTATACTTTAAATGCCTTAATACAAATCTTGGCATTTATCTTTTAATTGGGATTATTCTGAGCTTATAGTAGAGTGTATCCGATAATTACTTTTATTTGTTGCTATATTATACATCCATTAATCATTTTTATCTTACCATTTGATATAGCTTGGTCCAGAAGCTTACCCCTGGGGGGGGGGGGGGGGGTGTATTAACCTTTTAATCATTTTTTCAATGTGATCTTCTTATTTTTAATTTAATTTTTAGGAAGAAATGCGTGATTGGGTCATGCCTTTAAATTTTGATCATGCTGATGCTGAGGCAAAACATTTAGTTCATATTGCTGACGATAATAAAGATGGAAAATTATCTCCAGAAGAAATACTTGCCCATTATGATACTTTGTATGGAGAGATTTTTCTTTATTTTTTTAAGTTAAATTTTAAGTGTTGGCTCTCAAGCAACTGATTATGGTGAGCAACTGCAAAAACACGACCCTGCTGACCTTTAATTATTTGATAATATTAACTATTTGCCTTGTACTTGAATATCTAAACACGAAAATTATTTTTTTGGAATTTTGTTATTTACATAAATAATTGTTTTGGGTATTTTTATATTTTGTTGACATAAATAAATTTTTTAAATTTATTTTTGTTTATTTTATCATGTAAACACACTAACAAATAAGTATACATATGATTATTTAAGAACACATAATCTATTTTAATTAAAAAAATAATACTTCAATATAATCTAATTAAAATTTAATAATTTAAAATTAAATAAATTGTTAAAAGAATTTTTTACAAAATATTTTTCTTTAGTTATTTTCTTCTTTTTTGAATTAAATTTGAGAGGAATCCATTCAGAAGGAAAATCACTTCTTTGATAAAGCGAACGAGAATTAAAGTTTGAATGAAAGTAAACTTGAGATTTTATATCATTTAATAAATAACCAATCCACCAACCAAAGGAGGAAGCCGATGCAGTAATTATTAAAGAATTACAGATTTTTGTAGAAAAATAAATATCTTGTCCTCGAGGCATATTTTTGGGTATAAACACTCTTTTTGGCTATTTAAAATTAAATTTTAAAAGTATAAGAGATTGTGTACAGCTCAGAATTTAAATTACTTAACTTAAAATTGCATAGGATGAGATGAGGTTTTAAATGGATGAGATCTTAATCTACCGCGAGGCCAATCTACCCCCGATCTATAACCTCGTTTAAGAGTATTGAATCCGGGAATTATTTTATGGTACGATGCGCCGCGACAAGCTGAATCGAACTATACCAGGGTATCCCGGATTTGTCAATTTTAACGGCGGTAGGTTGGGTTCGCGATACGCTGCCCTGCTCCCATTTTAAACGAAGTTAATTGTACTATCTTTATAATAATTAATTTGTTTTTATTATTAGCGGGGGAGTAAATAAATAACGAAGCTTTAAGGATATTAACAAATATATCAGTACATCAAAACAAAGATTTAGCTAGGAGGACTGACAGTATATGTAGAATTATTTATTTTTAATATTTACCTCAATTCCATCAAAGCTCAAATTTGAAAGGAATTTTTTGTCTTCTCCAAGTAAAACTAAAGAAATCGCTTTACTTTTTCTTTTTTCCTATTAAAAATTTCAAATTAACAATTAAATTGAAATGCTTATTTTAAATTAAATACACCTTTATTTCATTAAAAACAAATTTTGTAGATTCTTCTGTAAAATCTTTTTTAGATGGATGATGTTTAGGGTATTTAGGTGTGCCAAAATCACCCAATCGTGTGTAAACACATAATTTATGGGAAGAATCATTTCTAAAATTTAAATTACAATTTCTATTTTTTAAAAATATTAATTTAAAGTAAAATACCTAAATATTTCATCAATATATTTGTCAACAATTGTTCTAACTTTGTTTGAAAATAAAAATAATTCTTTAATTTGATTCGTTAGATTTTTAAATAATTTATGTATTTGTGGAGGTGGGGGAGTTCTTAAATATTTTTCTTTTGATTTAACTAATTTATTGTAATATATTTCATATTTTGAATTATTTACAATTTCTTTTGGCTAGAAAATTAAATTAAAAAAATAATTATATTTTTCCTTTTTTAACCTGAATATAAGTAAATATTTTGTGAACAACAGGAAATGTTTCTTCAATTTCATTTGGTAAATTTAAAGAATCACAAGTCCACGCACTATTATTAAAAATTCCAGGATAACGGCCTAATTGTAAACCCCAAACATAAATTACTGCAAATCTCCACATCTTTTTTTAATTAAAATATTTTGAGTATATTTCTTCAAATAAAATTTTAATTCATTTTTAATCAAAATTCAATTCAAAATTAATTTCAATTTTATTAAATTTCGTTGATATTATAAAAATTTTGGTAATTTTATTGAGAATATATTAATCACATAATCAGAGTCAATAAAGTTTTATCAACAATAAATATCCACATTCATTAAATACAATTATTAATTTACCTCATTTGCAAACCCTCCACATTTTCCTTCCCAATCTGCAGGTATTTCAATCAAAAGATATTTTGATGTAGTTTTCCTCCAAATTTCGATTTCTGTTAAATTTATATATTTTAAATTTAATTGTTTTTGATATTCTTCTGTTTTATTAAAATATAATAAATTTGGATGAATTGTTGAATATTTTGTAAAATTCTTATATTCAGAAAAGTAGAGGAAATCATACGCTAAAAATTAAAAAAACTAAAAATAAAGAAAATTAAAAATCTATTTATTTATAGTGAATTCCCTTCAAATTGTACATTTTAATAACTTCTATTTACCTCTCATGAGAGGATTATATAGATATGTAATTTTCTAAAATCTCTAAAATTTCTTCTTATAAAGGATAAATGAATGGTTTTATTAATTAATTGTTTTTCAATATTTTATTTTTTAATTTTGTTACATTACTTATGCTTTTTAAATAAATTTTTCTAATTATTTAGTCTTGTCCGTAAATTATTATCAGCTAATATAGCATAGTTTTTAATAAAAAATATTTAATTTTAATATATTTAAATAACATTAATTATTTTCAAAAAAACCTAAATAAATTGAAATTGAAAAGAATGGAAGTAATATAATAAAAATATTTTTGTTTTTCATCTGCCATTTAAAAAGGAATAAAAAATTGAAAAAATATTAATGTTTCTTCTTTAATTTTCCTGATTTAATTAAATGAATTGAAAGAAAATATGTAAATCAATTAAAAGTTTTTTTATTATTTTTTTCTAGAATCTCGTAAATATATAAATCCATTTATTATGGAATAACAATAATAAAAGATTAAAAATTAAAATAACAAACAAAAAAAGAAATTAATTAATTTATTATTATTACAAGATATGAATCAGAAATGAGCTTTTTCTCTTTTTATTTTTCGGGAAAAACAAACTTCGTTTATAATTAAGTCGTTATAGAAAGATAATAAAATAAACAATTGATAAAGCTATTTATTTTTCTATAAAATAAACAATCATACATAACTTAAACTAAAAATATCAGGAATATTTTGAGTAAACATGTTTTCCTTTACAGAGGGGGGGTGCTTTAAATTTTTTTACATGTTTACAGAGGGGGGGGGGGGGTGTTTAAAAATTTTTTTTATTATAGCTGCTTTTAAAAGCTACATTTTTTAATAATTCGTTTTCCATTTAAAAATGAATCCGGTTATAAAGCAGGTTAAATTTTAGTGCCAAAAAAGCTACGATAATTAGCTATCAAAAAATATAAACATCCACTCTCCAAGGTTGAATATACCTGAATTTTAATGTCCTTCTTTAATAATTAGTTTAGTTTTTAAATTAAATTTAAGAGGAATCCATTCAGAAGGAAAATCTTTTCTTTGAAAAATTGTATTATCATCAAAATCATCATAAAAATAAATTTGAGATTTAATATCATTTAATAAATAACCAATCCACCATCCAAAAGTGGAGACTGATGCAGTAATTATTAAAGAATTACAGATTTTTGTAGAAAAATAAATATCTTGTCCTCGAGGCATATTTTTGGGTATAAACACTCTTTTTGGCTATTTAAATTTTAAAAGAATATGAGATTATTCTACGATTTAGAATCTGAATTACATAACTTGAAATGGCATAAGAAACCTTCCAAAATTCTCAAAATTTCCGCCTGAATGGAAGAAAACCCTTCACACCAAGCTTCGGATACTTCAATTAAAATAAATTTAGTTGTTTTTTGTTTCCTCCAAACTTCAAATTTAGTTAAATTAATATATTTTAAATTTAAATCATTTTGTTTTTGCCATTCTTCAATTTCAGTAAAAGGCCGTCCTTGAGATGATGAGGAATATTTTGTTAAAGTTAAATATTAAGGTAATCAAACAAAATCGTTAACTTTAAATAATTAAATTATTTAAATATTTACTTACTTAAATAAATAAAAATCCCAAAAAATATTAAAATTGAAAGTAATTTAAATTTATTTTTAGTCATTTATTAAATTTAAATAAAAATATTTATATTTTAATTTTAATAAAATCATCTTTTGATAAAAATGATTGGAAAAATTATTTTATTTAATATTATTGTTTAAATGGAAAAATTATTTTTATATTGTTGGATGTTATTTAATTTTTTAAAAATTTTTTAAAAAATATAAAGGAAAGAAAATTTTATATTTATTTAAGAAATTATTTTAAAAATAGATTTTTTACTCACTTTTTTGTTTTTTGTATCTAGAAGTTAAGAGATGATTTAATAAAAAAATATTTAAAATTAATATCTGACAAATTAGTAGTGATTTTTAAAGAAAATTTCTGCTTCCATAAATTTTAATTTAAAAAAATAATTCAATTATTATTTCATTTTTCCTTTCAATTTTTCCCTTCAATTTTTCCCTTCACTATTTGTCATTTTTATAGCCTCCAATAAAAACAAAAATTTATTTAAAATTTTGATAATAAATGTTTCGATGTGGATATTTTTTATTAAATATATTTTATATTTTTATCACTTTTTATTTGCAACGTGTTAAATAAAAAAGTTTTTCATCTCAAAAATTGATAAAAATAATTTATTTAACAAACTTTTTTGAATATTCGAAATTAAGAAATTAATATTTTCTTAACAAAAAAATACATTTTTGAATTTTAAATTATATTAAATTAAAAACAAAATACAAAAACATTGATGATTAAAAATTTAAAAATATTTAAATTGATATTTTCATAAACTAAAAACTAAGCTATAATTAACTTTTAATTTTCTTAATTTAAAAACAAAATTAAAATAAATTAATTAAATATTATTATTATTTTAAATTCCTTTTTAATTTAAATTTTTAATTAAAATTATTTAATTTTCCAATATACATATTTATTTAAAATATGAAAAAGAAAATTAAACTTTTCAAAGGAATTTTGACAATTTTTATATTTACATAAACAAAAAACTATTAAATAAATATTTTTATTTGTTTTTTAGCTGCTAACAATGAATCAATATTTTTTTTTAATTTTAAATGATAAATACATATTTTTAGTAATTTTTTATTTTTATTTCAAAATAAATAAAAATTGTTTTTAATTTTTTTTTAATTAAAAATATTTAGAATTTACAAACATATATTTAGACAAGTCTAGAAAATAAATATAAAAATTAATTTTATAAAAACTTTAAAATATTTTTAACACTGTTCTTACAGTCTAAAAAATAAAATAAATTTTCTTTAATTTTTTCTTGTTCCTAAAATATTTATTTAATATTTTTAAAATAATTTTACGAACAAAACATTTTATTTCTAAATTTTAATAACAAAAAATATTTTTATTATTTATGGATCGCAACAAAATAAGGGCTTTGAATACTTAATTATTTTCCCTCTAAATTATAAAATTTTTTTAAAATTTATTTTAATATTTTAAAACAATTAATTTCTCCCAATAATTTTGTCCCAGCTTAAATTAAATTAAAAAATAAAAACATTTGTAATTTTTATAAAAATCCCAACTCAGATCCATACTTTTCTCTTTATTTTTTAAAAAATATTCAAATAATTTAAATATTCTTTTTTATACTTTTCTATACCCAAAAACCTTTAATCTTTAGTTTTTTTTCGAAAAAATTATTTAATATAAATAAATATTACTTTTTTAACTCGTTGGCAAAAAATTCTTTTTTACTCAATTTCTTCTTTAAAAATTTATTTTATTTGTTCAGATTTTATTTAAAAAATCGATTATAAAAAATTAAGGATTTTTTAAATAAAATTTTGAGGAAAAATATTTAATTCTTTTTTCTTTCCAAAATTATCTATATAATTATCCAAACTCGAAGCTTTATTTAATGTTTAAAATAATTAAATTATTATTTTTTGAATTAAATAATACGAGGAGTGTTCAGTATGTTAGTAGTTAGTGGGAGGGGGATGTCGTGGCTGTCACTAAGCTAATCCCCGTCAAGTGGTGGAGGGGTCCGACAAAAACCAAAAGGGAGAGGTAATGCGCGGTAAAGATCAAAGGGAGTGGACACTCGTGGGGGAGGAGGGGTCAAATAAAAGGGAGAGTGCATCGGTAAAGATCAAAGGGAAGTGGGCAGTTCGTGAGGAGGAATGAAAAACCCAAAAGAGGGGTAAGTAATTTTAAAACATCAACGTCGCGGGTGTCACTAAGCTAATCCACTACCCGTCGAGGAGGAGGGGTCCGACAAAAGGGCATGTCGCGGCAAAGATCAAAGGGAGTTGGCAATGTCGCGAGCGAGGAGGGGTAATAAGAGAGTGGTCAACCAAAAGAAAGAGTTAATAAAATAAAAGAGGGTTTAGGCAATTTGTAAAACATCAACGTCGCGCGCGGTAATAACATGAAATCTTGTTGTATTCTGTTAATAATCCTATAAGTACTAATAATGTTTTTATAATCTTGTTAGTCCATAATTTTATTAAAAAAAACATTTGCAATTTTAGTGTTTAAAAGTAGTAAATTTTAGGGAGAAAAGTGCGCATTTAAGAGTTAGGAAAAACAATGAGCATAGTTTGAAGTTTGAAATAGTTGATTTTAGGGAGAAAAGTGCACATTTAGGAATTAGAAGTTGCAAAAAGCATAGTTTAGAGCTTGAAATAACTTATTTTAGGGGAAAAAGTGCAAATTTAAACAAACAAATATGCAATTTTTAAATTTTATTTAAAATCAACAGATTTTTAGGCATGCGCGCGTGTTTTGGTGTAATCCACTGAAAATCCAGGTATAAAAGGGTGGAAATTCTGGATTCTAGTATCA